GGTTTACTGGTCATCGGCTTTACACGGGTTTTGTAGATCTTCTCTTGATCGAGAATGATTGAGCAGTAGGCAGAGGGTAGGTTATCGGCTTCCTCTTCTTCCATGTTGGAGGAGCCACCCCTGCGGGATGCAGGGCGACCTTTAGAACCAGTGGTGCTATGTCGTTCAAGGGCAATAATGTTGTGTATTTGAATAGAAAGAATACCGGCGGGGAAGGTAGGATCAGGTGGAATATAGCTAACCCTGGTTTCTTGTTCAGAGTCGACTTTACTGTTTTTGGACTTGAACTCCTCGGATTCCTGTGAAATTTTAGTTTCATGTTTTCATACAGAATGTGAGGGCAGGGGAAACTAACCTCGAAATCCCCCGGAAGCCTCTCATCAACACCACTCGTAGCTAGGTCTTGATTCATATCTCGCTTTCCATAAAAGACTACGGACCAATTAATATGGCCTGGCATATAGTGCCCATCCTTAAATCCCTGAAGTCTATCTCTCCTCTTGCTCAATTGTCCCCGGTTCCTCACCAGTTCCGTCACATCCACCTCAGTCCTCCCAACGATGTCATCCGCCGTAAACCTATCCGAATCCCATAGTGTCACACTCAATTTCTCTGACGCTTTAACTTCATCTGCGTTCACCAGAAGCACTGCAGTCTCATCCCATACAGGGTTCAGATCACCGAAGATAATCCTCGTGCTCCACAACGGCTTTGCGTATTTCGAGTAGCTTAATGTAACATAACAATCACTCTTCCCGTTGATATCCGCAGCCCTGATAGCCTCGGCACAGCTGATATGAACCACCAATACACCAATTGCGAGAAGCTCTTTCTTAGTGTCTTCGCCAACTAGGATTTTGGAGAGGTCTAATGTGTAGTTTGAGGGAGCGACGAACTCCTTTGCGGCAGTTTTGATGGAACTGTTGATAAAGTCTGAGATCACGGGGAGATTCATGACGTTGAAGAAACGCTGATTGAGTGGGACGGCAGCGATCTCGATTTTTGGCATACCCATAAAGGAGAATGTGGCTAGCTTGACGAATGGTGGATCTGGAATCAGTTGAATTTTTACACGGCATGTTCCTGTGCATCCCCTAAGCTCAACCCAAACAGCTATATCGGGAATTAGCAATATTCAGTGTACTGATGCCGGGAATTTTGCATACGTATCGGTGTTCCCATCACCCCCTTCACGCCAAACGTGAGGTGTATCAACAAATTTGCATTTTTCGCCTTGCTTGCAGCGCTTGAACCACTCGGGCTCGCCCTATACGCAAATGTAAGTTCCAATGCCGCCCACTCTCCCACTTCTTCCTGCTCATTCAACCTCTCCGTCGGGCCACCCGGAACTTCGCTTTCATTTAACCATCTCAGTGATAAAATTCTGATGGGATTCGTCCCCTGCCCCACATTCGTGACCTTTACCTCGTTCACAATCGATGGTATCGATGCCTGCATCACGTCCTCGAGAAGATCCACCATCGATGAAAAAAGATCCGCGTTGACTTGAGGCCACAGTTTCGCTATGGTCCCATTGAGCCATTCGGCAGACTCGTTTCCCTCAGAGCCCTGAATGTGCATGCGGTCGATGCCTTGTGTGGTTTGCGCGTTGTGGATGATGTCCGTCCAGACGCTCTCAACATTTCTCCACCAGGTTAAACCACCGGCGATGGTGATAAAAATGGAGATCGAGTATGGCAAAGGGAGACAGCCATTGAGGATGATGAAGGTGGTCATTACAAAGACGATATATTTCAGGGTTAGGTTGCGGAGCTATGGTCATTAGTCAAATTTCAAGACTCGCCTCATTTTCGCACGCAAACTTACCTCCTCCATGAACTGGTGCCATGCCTGTGGCGGGTGTATTTCTGGGTGTGTTTTCTCGATTTCTGGAGGTGGTGCATATTTTGCATCGCATATTTGGACACTGTCTTCCTGTTAGAACCCGCATCCAGACTACTCCGCAGAAGAAAAAACCCACGTTCTTCCCGTTATAGGATCCACCACTTTCTTTGAGTTCTCCACCACTTTTCTCTTTCGCTCTTCTTCCCTTTTCTCATTGTCCTCTAGGCTGCTTTCTCTTTCATTCGCATATACATCTGCCCACAACGACTCGACCCGCGGAACCGGATTCCTCCCTGAATAGAAGCGAGGATCCGGTTCCATCGCTGAAGTGTTTCGCCGATGTCGAGGCCTGATCGTACGGTGTCCTACATCATTATCTTCAGAGTTGCGGTTCTGGTCAGTTGTGGTTGTGGTAGCGACGGTGGCCATGGACAGCTGATATCTTCTTGTTTTTTTTCCCGTAGGGTTTTGCGCTGGGGGAGGATGCTGAAAAACTCAATTGACTGGCGGACGGAAAATATAGAAGGGATGAAGGAAGACATACTGTTCCGAAGAAGACTTTGTAACCCGTAAGTACCAAGATTGGCAAGCACACTTATGATTGATGCGACTACTGCATCTCCACAAATCAGGGCCCCAAGTTCAGTTCAGTGACAGAGCCGAGACAGAACACGGACGTCTGCTTAAGACAGCGTGGGATATTTAGCCCATCCGCCAAATCCGAAGTCGATAAACTGAGGCTGGGTACAACATACCGTTGTTACCGGATATCTATTGGGTGAATATGTTTCCCAAGAAATCCAAAGAAACGGTTGTTACGTGGCTGCTCTCGAACAAGGCACAGTCCACCAGTAGCTAAGCAGACTTTCTGCCACCATTACCTTCCCAATTTACGAATTACACCCGAAAACCGTTGAATCTCGTTCTATAAGTCTTGATTTCTGCTTCGATGTGTGCGTGGACGTCATAGTAATCAATAAAACCTCGTTCGTGTGATTGGCTGTTTCCGAGGAGTTACATTGGCACAGCTACGCCCAGTTCGTGACGCGTAACGGCTCAACTTGGCGACCGGCGTTTAGCCCTTGAGCAACCACCGACAACTTCACACGATGCTTCACTGTATTTACTGGAATGGTTCCCCGGCAGGGAACACATGGCTTTGAAAACAGGTCAATAGCATCAGCACGCATGATGGCGAGTTATAATAAACCCCAAACCTCCTCAGATATCAAACCTCGCGTTCACTCGTCACCACTGGCCCCTTCCACGCCCCTTCAAACATGAATCACCCCTCAAAGCTTATGGATGGCCTTCCAGGAAATAAATAAATTAAGCTTAAGACCGCCAAGTCGGGGATCTCCTGCACTCCGATCCCCGTTAGTTTACCTAATTAACCACTCCGGATGGATGCGTGGAAACAACGGCAATCGGCAATCTCGGAACCGCATGGTATGACATTTGACAGTTATGAGGGCTGTGTTAACTCAACCTGCCGAGTTCCCGGCGAAGAGGGCTGAGAGAAGAGCTGAAAAGAGGGACTTTGGCCCGGGAGGGGGCGAGGTTTATCGAAGGCCTTGGATGGGAATGTAGAGATTATGATAGCTGGTATCGACGGTGGTCCGTGCAGCGGTGACATATTCATGGACAGTCACTCGAAGTTTTAGGCGAAGGTGGTTTGGCCTCTTTTTACCCGCTGTGCCCCAGCTTAACAAAAATTTGCTCCGATACCGACGTTGTACCGTCTCGAATGCCGGATAATTAGGCGGAAGTCTACTGTTTACGTTTTATATAGTCTTTTAGCTAGGCGGAAGTGACATCCCTACCCATCAAGGTCATTATACTCCAAAAGCTTTATGATTAATAAAGCCAAGAAAGCTTTGTGCTTCGCCTTGAGACAAATCGATGCATCATTACCCCCTCGCCTCGAGGATCTTCTACCCGGTGTTAAAAGAGTAGGCCGCATTGCACGCTCTAGATGGTCTCTCCCAGTGAGCGCTTACCTCCTAGTATTATTCCTAGTAAGGGGCCACTTTCTTGTATAATCCACTAGGTGTCCAATCCTCTGAAAATATGTAGAACCTTCTGGCAAATTTTTGGCTCTTTTTCTGAATCGAGCCCTCTTTCCTTCACACCATCAACCAAATTTACAAAATCCTCTTTACTGAAAGCGACTCTCCCTATTGGTTCGGTGTGTCAGTATCACCTCCTGAAGTTGTTGATTCACACCTTGGTTGATTGAGGAATTATCCATGATTGTAGAGTATACGCATTGTGCAATTGCATATGCTCACTGCCCTCCATGTACCCCTCACAGGACCCCTTCAACCACATAGTTTTTCGCATCTCTTTATTATCGATAAGACCAGCCCCTCTCCATCAACCCCTGATCTCTGAACATGATTTCATGTAGTTCGCGGGGGAAATTTGGTTGACTCGTCAGCAGATCTATGTATGGTTCAAGACCTACGATGTGAAAGAGCTAAATGCAACCAACCTCACAGGACGCAGAGCCGAAATCCAAATAATTCTAGATATTATTACCCCTTATAAGAATGATTCATGGATGCCAAAAATTGACGGCACAGGATACTCGATGTTTGCCGAAGTGCGGGACAAGGGTGGCGCAGGAGCTCGAAGGCCAAACACTACAGCCAAGACCGATCACTATTTCAAAGTAACTGTATAAGTCTTGTACGGCTTAAACGCTGTGTATGAGTTCAAAACTCAAATACTTGCATAAATTTTAACAGGTGTATGAGGGAAGTTTCCAACGAAATAGCGTTTCTGATACTTACATCCAAGTATGCATGTTAGCCAGCGCGTGTTTCATGATATATCACTCGAGTTTCATTGACACAAATTGGCACAAATAGAGTTGAGATACAACACGATCTGATTCTCTGAATAAGAATATATAAGATTCAAACCACTCAAAAAGACGCTCGTGTGAAGGGACGACATTAAATAACGGCTAGCCGGTAAGTTCGAGTGACGCATGGGACAAATTATACCTAGTGAACCGCAATCGTGCTCGGCACGGTAATTTATGGCATTCTTCCGTAGCCAGGCTTGTAACATCACTCCTCATCATCCCAACCACTTCAATTGCAATATACCATCTCATCCTTCATCGAAATTCTGACCCAATCATCAAAATGTCAGGCGAAACAGGCGGGGACAGCGATAACCAGGCGGCCATGCGCAGCATGGACGAGGTCGGAACACCTCACAACCTACAGATGGGAAGACTTTTCTACCACTTTAGATCTACTCCAGATCCCTCTGTAAGTCGAGAGACAGTTGTTGTTCCTCAATTGGATTGGGAAGGAGTGAGAAATGAGATGGAGCGATTGTCCATTGAGAATCAGAGACTGAAGGATATCATCATCTCCATGCACCTCAATCCTCCTGCAACAGGCAGTTATCGGAGCTACCAGGGCCATGCATCATCAACATCTGCTGGGAACGGTCACAATCTCGAACGAATCATAGGGGCAGGAAGCCTTACTTCAATTTCATCAGTCCCATCCCCGGGATCAAGTGTGCGGCATGATGGCAGTGTTGCTGATGATTCTGTGTCTATCTCTTCTTTATCGTCAGATCGAACCACTACTATTACTAAAGCTTCTACTGTCCCAGCCAATTCACAACCAGAAGAATTTTTCGACTGCGCGAGGCTCGAAACACCGCCCGACATTTCATGTAAGTCAAGTATAGTACCTCAGTCTCTTCAGGTTGCAGATTATTGATATTCTCTGGCATAAATTTGCAGATAATGCCACTTCAGAGAAGGATGTTACACTGAATGAAAGTGACGACTCTTTATCAGATTGTAGCACAATTCGGATCATCGAAGTGGAGGACGCTTTTTCACATATTGATGTTGAAGCAGAAGACCAAAATGTTGGTGTTAATAAGCAGTCAGACCGCGAAGGTGATATCCTTATCGGTGTGGTTAGCGAATCAGAACCGGGATCCGAGTATCCCAGCCGCCTAAGACCTTCAAACAACTCACTCAATGCCCACGCTATTTCAAGTGTTGAGCAGGGTCAATATGGAACAACAGACTTCTGGGTAAACCAGAGAAATAGTGCAAGGTCCAGTGGACACTTGAACTATGATGTCCCGGAGGACTTTGATCCCGAGCAGGATGATGTTTTGAGCGACGTTGAAACCGTCCGGAGTGATGAGGCGCTGACAGCCTGGGGAATTGAGCGTGAAACGGCCTCTATAGAAACTCGACCTTCGTCTAATGAGAAAGGTATTGAACACGAGAGTACTTGTAGTGATGATGAAGAGGGGTGGGAAGGTATACCTAGAACCGCCTTCTAGCAATATTGTCAAGGGTTTTTTTTTTTTTACTAATGGTTTAATAGAGTTCCCGAAAGAAATCAATTCAGCACCAAATCTTCGTTTGTGCAATTTTCAAACCTTCCCAATCCCAAATTCGCCGGGAAATATCTCCCGAGCTATCGGCAACATCAAAACCGAATCTAGCTACTTGGGGGAAGATGGTGCTTCAACTGTCACTGGAGATCATTTCTCGACGAGCACAACCAAACCCCTTATGAATTATAGGGTGCATGCTATTACCAAAACAAAAGAAAAGGCCAACAGTCATGAAAATTTGGTTGATCGGTTTGAGGAAAAGAAGTTGGAAATAGATGAGAGGGACGGAATGTTTCAGGACAGGCACTCTACGTTAGCTCCTGCCAGCTGCACGGGAACTGAATCCTATATTTCCCCACATTCGAAGCTTTTTTCTGATCCCTCAACCCAACAAAGCTTCGATGCCTACGGTCATAACATGACCCCCTTGACTCCCGTTACGTTAACAAGTCCTGCAGGACATATAAGTCGGTCTCAAAAGTCAGTTGAATGGATGAATCTTAAGCCGACAGGTATGGATGATAGTGCTCGCATTCAACCTTCTAGTAAGTTCATATCTGAAAATGAGCGCATCCTCTCGTCTTTTGACCCTATGGATGATGTTATTTTCATGCTAAAGTCTAAAGGCGAGAAAAACACCCTTGAGACATCTGATATCACCAAGAACCAAGAAAAGTCTGTGAATGAGCCAGGAAATGATGAAAGTTCTGTCCGAATTCCAGGGATTAAAGAGATGCAATTTCAAGCCCTGAAAGAGAAGGGGCAAGGGGACATTAGCTCTGGAAAGGTAGAGCACACCGTTGACAAAACGCCGAAAACTGAACCGAAAATCAGCCTTGAAACTCACGCTCAGGAAACGTTAGCCAAAAATGTGGGGACACCAGTCATTATTAATAAACCTTCTCCAAGAGTTACACCTATAGTCAACTTTTCAGCGAAAGGAAAACAGGGAAAAATTACCGGAGTCATTCCAAACATGCCTAACAGAGTGCCAAAGGCTAGTCGTAGAATTTCGTCTCCTACTACACTCAGAAGTAGAGGCTTGAATGTTACTGCATCTCCAATGGTAATTTCAGCAAAGGAGCAAAGCCGTTTGGAGGAGCCAGAACTCCATCACAAAAAGTCTATTCGTTTTTGCGACGTATTAACCTCGAACCCGATGAAGCCCGAATCTCAGGCCACTAAAGTCGACGTGAATAAGCCCTTGGCCTCCATTCTAAAATCAACACCTGCTGAGCCACTAACACATCTCCCGGACAATAATCGCATATACAATTACGAATACATCAGGGAAGTGGTTGTTTATAACCTTCCGAATGATGTCACATTGTCTAGCCTCCTTAGACAGGTCAGGGGTGGACTACTTGAGAAAGCCCTCATAGATTCACATGACTTGTCGGCTCGACTAGTTTTCGTGGAGCCTGAGGCTGCTAGGAGGTTCTACAATAACATTCACAGAATTGGCTTCTTTGTGCATACAGAGATCCCTGCGGCACAGTTTTCCTTAAAAGAAAGATTGATTCAGTGTAGCCTTCGCGGGTTCATATGGACTAATCATTCGTGCGAGATTCCCGTGCATATGATTCAAAACATATGGAAACACGGCATCACTCGGTGCCTAATCATCAGTAATTTCCCAAGAGACATAGGAGTTATGAGGCTCCTCGAAGATGTTATGGAGCTCTTAGGTTTGCCAGCTGTTGAGACAAAATATGTTATCGAAGGAGCTTCAACCGATCGGGATTTATCAAGTACTGGCGTATTCGTACGCATTGGGTTCTCCTGCATTCAGTATGCTTTCAGAGTAGGCAAAGATTTATCTACATATTCGCCGCTCTACTCTAGTATTTCTATATCACACGACAGAGATCCATGTGGGGGGTTAATAAACATGGAACCACCTAGCTGTTGGACAGGTGGAAAGGAAATTGGGAATGATAGGCCAGCGGCCTCGTCGCCAGCGGTAAAATCACAAGCGCCAGCCAAAAAATCAGCGCCACTTGCATACACTGCTGCTCCAACGAAGCCGACGATGAATGTCCGTGCCGATATCGTGGCTTTGTGGAATCAGTTTGATGACCAAAGTCACCCTGTTCCTGTAGAAAAAGGGCCGGTAAACCCACACTTCACAGCCAGTGCTCCTCCAGTAGCAGACATCACTATTGCGTTCAAAGGGTTTTCAATCCCAAAGAAAACACGAAAGTCACCTGGAGAATTTAATCTTAATATTGCTCATGACAAAATCATTCCACAAAAGGTCCAGATCGAAAGGAGCACTATCCAGGATACTCCACCACCGGCGGTGCTTGAGCAGGTCACTTATGACAACTGGGGGGTCGGTCTCTCAACAAAAGCACCACAACCTCCACTAGGCGCTCATTGGAACTACGGAGGACAGGATGTGGCACGTGAATATAATGAAGCTATCACCAAAAAAGCTCGCAGGATGCCGGAAGTCCTTAATACTCCCGATGAAAAGCCAAAGATTGGAAATATTTGGGAAGATCCTCCTTTTATTGATCGTATAGTTCACTTGAAGAACCTTCCTCGCGGCTTTCATATTGCTCGTCTTTTCCGCTTCATCCGCGGGGGAATGGTGGAGCACGTCGAGCTGATGCCACCAAACAGTGAATACAACACTTCGAGCGCAATAATTGTATTCGTCGACCCGGACTCGGTCAAAAGCTATAAAAGTTATCTCAAATCCCCTGGCCTTGCTGTTGAAGTGAACCAGCGTGTCGTTTTTGCAGAAAACATCAAGCCTGAAATCGTGGCAAATATCCGCTCGTTGGGTCACCACGGCGCCCGCACCCGGTGCTTGCACATCGAGTCGTTACCAAAGGGCACCATGCTAGGGGAATTCCTTGGAGTTATCGAGGAAAACATGAACCACTGCAGCATCGAATTTGAACATGCTGCTGTTCGTGAGTCTAAAGACTGGTGTGAGGCCTTTCTCAGACTACTCAGCATCGGCACAGCGGTCTTCGTCGCTCAAGTTTTGGAGAGGAACTATACTGGTATTACTATCACATATGATAGGGACCCGTGCGAGGGTCCGGTGGAGGAACTGGATAAGATCAATTTGGAATTAAGATAGGGATAGGTGGCAGGGTTCCTACACAGGCTTAATTGTCCAGTTTCTTTCATTTCAGTATTGTTCACACGCTCTCTCGGTACTATTTTCCTTCTATCACCTACCCCCCACATAAACTCAATAAACATTGGAGTACGTCACGCCTGTGTAATTAGATACAAGCAAAATATCTGTTTTCTCTTGGATCTCTAAGGATGATTGGATTGGCTAGTAGGGAGTTGTAATAACAATTAGAATAAATATTTCGTGACTTTATGCGCCAAGGCCGAGTGATAACTTGTCATTCTTGGCGACGAAGCGAGATCGAAGTAAATGAGAACGATTTGGGTGTCCTATACCTGAAAATTGATATTAACTTAGCAAATCTATGTTCATCCTAGTCATCACCTCTTTCTAGGAAGGGTACCCAGAAGTACATGTACTTTTGTATTTATAATTGGGTGTGCTTATAAATGATCGAACGCAGGTTTGAGAAAACTTGACTTATGGTCGGCGAAGGGCCGTGGACGCAACACAACAACCAGCGAAAGGGAAACCTAACAAACATCAATTTCTACACATCCTCTAGATACAGGAAGCAAGTAGGAATAGGTAGATAGCCTATATTAAGGGTAAAGATTCTGATGGTGATATCAGAACAAAAGATTTAAGAGTACTCGCTTAATATTTTTCTAGCATCTTGAAACATTATGTTTCAACTAACTTGATCTCGAGCCTCCTACTAGCTAAAGAAACTTCTTTGAAATATAATATGCACTCTTTAAGACATTCTCTATCAGTAGAAGAAGCTTTTTAGCGGATCGGTTGGCTGATTTGGGCTTGTTAGGTTTGAGCCCATAAGTCACATATCCGGCCCCAAGGTGAACGAACCATGGGGTTGGAAATGCTGATCCCCGTCCCCCACGGCCCACCCCCTGCCCAGTTACACACATGTCTTTGGGAATGGGGACAAAGCTGATATCATTTCTCAGTATACGTGACTTTTAGTTACGTATACTACAACTTCAAGGAATAGGTGACGTGACAGCCTGTCCTTAATCAGTCTCGTCAATACATTACCTACCATCTTACTTCTCATCCAATAGCTTGATCCCGTCATAGCCAATATTGGAACACACACAACACCGTGCAGTACCCGCTCAAAACCTTATATATGTAGCCAACTTTATCGCAAGGAGCAAAGTAAGTTTTGATCATCAGACCGATGACCGATGCCCCCGTCTCTTGGACTTTGGGCGGCCTTACGTGGGATCGTTTGAGTTGAGCACTTTGTTCAGATGGGAAATTCCACAACACACTACACCCATCACGGACTAGACCAGCAATAATCGGTACATCGCCAATCGGCCACAATTCGGGGCTTTCCAGGGCGGGATCTGCCACATGCAGAGTTATTTTCTCATATCTACATGTATATATCTCACTCTACCTACAAAGCTAGGGCTATTCGGAACCTCCCTCGCCTTGTAAGTAAATTCAGTTCGCAGCCTAGCTAGCTAGCTAGGCGCTGCTGCTTAGACAGTGCGTCTAGGCCGACCCCGCTAATTAATCGTTCCGAGTCGTCTCTCGGGGTTTAATTTAAAAAAAAGAAGGCTTAAAGTTCTCATTTACCAATATGACGACAGGTGCCGATAAAATAAGCTGAACTCCCCTCGTCCACCGTCGGCCGTTATGCCACTTCTAAGAGAAATTTGCTATTTTTTGCTGTCTGTTGCTCATGGGCTAGAAGCAGATAGACCTGACAATGTGTCACTTCAAAGTGATCAAATACACCGGCTGCAACTGCGAAGTCAAGCACGTCGTGTCCTGCTGCTCCCAAGGCACGTTGCGCCTCCAAATCACATTGCTGTGGAGGTGCGGTAATACTAATCGGGCTCTGACATATATAGGGGATGGTAAGGGTGACTGTGCTGGGGTGTCGATGTATGAGAGGGCTGTTGAAGGTGGGGTTTGTGGGAGAAGTGATTGTGGCTATTACTGCTGTTTGGTCAGTGGAGGAGGAAGTGGTGGCGGTGGGAAAGCTTGGGGTAGGGTGTGGGGTGTGCTGCCGCTTGAGAATTTGATAGCACTCGCGATGCTATGGGTAATATAATTGTAGGTAGGTGGGATTTACTGGCTAGATTTCGTGATTAACATATGTGCACGCATATATCCCGTAAGGAAACTTGGCTGACCTTTGATTGCAAGACAGGGCTTGAGCTATCAAACCAGTGCTTTCTTCCTTTGGGGAGGAAGGGTCTAATAGAGAATACCCACTACTACTAGCTGTATATAGCTTTCCAATATAGAGGAAATCCAAATCCACCATGCACTTGTGTCACTTGAAAAGCAGCAGAGTGATAATCGATGAATCAGCAGGGGGGGAGGGGGGGAATGTTGGATCAGGCAGGTACGCAAAGCATCCATTCATCCACCCGCCATCACCATCACGGTAGAGTATCACCAACCGACCAATGAGTAACGAAAATACCAACGAGTTAATCTAACCAGCCTATATCACACACAGCGATCAATAATAGTAATGATAATATAGCTCCTCTCTCTCGCTCTCACTCTACCCCAGACCTCGGCTGTGTGTTAAGCTTACCGCGGGACGATCGGCTTTGCCCCACGCAAGCGAGCCATAGCGTCATTCCGTCATTCCCCCGGCACGACACGACATCCAATTCTAATCTCTCATATCCATATCAGATATCAAATAATCGAGACGTCCTACAATAACACCCAGCCAGCCCTCTCTCGACCAATTCTCCTTCTGAAAATCTGCAAAAGACTGTCACAGAGCAAAAAGATGGCATCCCCAGACACTGGCTCACAGCTGATCGCCCAGTCCCTCCACTCCCTCGGCGTCAAGGTCATTTTCGGCATCGTCGGCATCCCCGTCATCGAGGTCGCCGAAGCTTGTATCGCCCTCGGCATCAAGTTTGTGTCCTTCCGGAACGAGCAAGCAGCGTCCTACGCCGCGAGCGCCTATGGATTCCTCACTGGCCGACCGGGCGTCTGCCTCGTTGTCGGTGGTCCCGGAGTACTACACGCAATGGCCGGAGTGAGTCCCCAGGGTTAGGGTTTTGAATGATTTGTCTGATGGAAATAGGTTGGAAACTCGACTGTCAATGCGACATTCCCACTCCTACTGCTGGCAGGGAGCTCAGAGACTACCGCCGGTCCTACAAAAGGCGCCTTCCAACAGCTTGATGCCGTATCACTGCTGGCGCCGCATACAAAGCTCGCAGTGAGACCCCCGAGCTTGGAACAGCTCCCGGAGAGCATTCGAGAGGCATACCGCACAGCTTTCTGGGGCCGGCCCGGCGTGGGCTTCGTGGATCTCCCCGCAGACTTCATTCAAGGCACTCCTAGAGAGAAAATCATAATCTCTCCGGTCCAGCACCAGCCCCGCGTCAGCGGCTCACCCGCCCAGATCCGGGCCCTCGCCGATGCGCTCAGAGGCGCAAAAAAGCCGCTTATAATCATTGGCAAAGGCTGCGCCTACGCGCGCTCCGAAGATATCCTTCACAAGTTCATCGAAACCACCAACATCCCCTTCCTCCCCACCCCCCAGGGGAAGGGCGTCCTATCCGACAACCACCCACTCAACATCGCCACCGCGCGCTCTGCAGCTCTCAAGAACACTGACGTCGCAGTCCTCCTCGGCGCGCGTCTCAACTGGATCCTCCACTTTGGCGAGACGCCGAAATGGTCTTCCACCGTGCGGATCGCGCAGGTCGATATCTCGCCCGAGGAGCTCGGCCGCGGCGGCACAGATCCCGCCCTCTCCGTCACAGGCGACATCACTGAAGTCGTCACCCAACTCCACAGTGCGCTCTCCGGGTGGCGCTACAGCGACCCCTCATGGCACGGTCTACTCTCTGCTTCGTCGACGAAAAACATAGCTGCGGCCGATAAGAAGGCCGCAATCGTCAAGAACCCGCTGGGCTACCACCGCTCGTTCACGCTGCTCCGCGAGCACCTGGAGCGCCTGGCCGGCGGCTCCCCGGACGACATCGTCTATGTCTCGGAGGGCGCAAACACGATGGACATCTCGCGCAGCATTTTCAGCGTCACCAAGCCGCGGCAGCGCCTCGACGCGGGGACGTATGCCACCATGGGCGTGGGGCTCGGATATGCGATTGCGGCCGAGATCGCCTACAACCACACGCGCGAGACGGGGACCAGCACGCGGAAGCGCGTTGTCGCCATCGAGGGGGACAGCGCGTTTGGGTTCTCGCTGCCCGAGATCGAGACGATGAGTCGGTATCGGCTGCCCATCATTGTGGTGGTGGTCAATAACGGAGGCGTGTATCGGGGGACGAGCGATAATTCGCCCGCGTGGGGGACGGAGGTGTGGGATGCTGATAAGGGGGGAGGAGGAGCGAGCAGCTGTTGCCGTCGACGGCGTTGAGCTTTGAGACTGGGTATGATGTTGTTGCGGAGGGGCTGGGGGGCAGAGGGTGGAAGGTGAGGACTGAGGAGGAGTTGGAGCGGGCGGTGAAGGAGGCGTGGGCGTATGGGCAGGGGCCTAGTGTGATTAATCTGATCATTGAGAGTGGGAGTGAGAGTAAGCTGGAGTTTAATTGGCTGGGGAAGAAGGAGAGTAAGCTGTAGATGTGATGCGGAGGTTGGTTTTCATATATCCATTGCTAGATAGTTGTTTTTTATGTGTTTTGAAGATTTTGTAGGATTTGATGCTTGATGTGGTTCGGAATATATATGTAGTAGTTATGCCATGTCTAAACAACATAAAGATTTTGATATTCTTCTTGTCCTTCCTGTACTAAATAATATTTGTGACCTAGCTCCACCTCAGCGCTTGCAATTGTAATCCAGAGCCCGGAAATATCCTAATCGCCAGCCTGAGTAGGATCTGCAGGTGCTCGTGCTCTCCACAGTTAGTACACCGAATCTTTAACGGCCTGGGGTCGGTTTATTCTTCCATCTGCAGCTATTTACCCTAGGTGGTGGTTTGTTGTTCATGTGCCATCACTCGTTCTTGGCAGTCGCCCTATGATTCGGGTGAGCTGGCCATGGGCGGAGGTGTTTACAAAAAAACTGATCCCCATTCCCGGATTTTCTTCTCGGAGGGTCTTACCGGGGCCGAGATGTCTACAGATCTAACCATCACCGCATGCTCTTTTTTTTTTTTTTTGCCTTTATTGCAGTGCGGGTGATAACCATTGTCTATACGAACCCCCCCCCTTTTTTTTTTTTTTTACTCCGCCAGCTTCCAGCCGCGGCTTCTGCCTCGAACACCCGATATCGAAAAGTCTACGATCCGCGTTTTCAATGACGTCTCACTGCCGATTTATATATGGGCTCAACAATACAAATACATTAGGCGTTTAGTTCTGCTAGAGACAAGTGATGTGTGAGACATGAGTAGAACCGGGGACTCTGATATAATCTAAACTACATACTAAGCTAGCCAGCCGGCCGGCTTGTGGGGAAATGATTACAATGTCTACATAGTAGTAATCCACGTTATTCTCAACTGAACCCCCGGCCCCACCCACCCCACCGAAACTCGGTTTTTTTTGTAAAAAAAAAAAAAAAAAAAAGCTTTTACACGTGGTACTAGGTGCGAACTATTTTCATAAATTAAAGTACCAGGCACGAATATACTCTACGGATGGCCGAACAATGTCATTACATCGAAGGGTCAGGGTTCTTCTTCATCTTGGCACACTGCCAAGCTCAATTATCACTTCCGGTGCAGCGTCCACTATGGGCGGGTGGTCTAGTGGATAGACTGCTCGTCAACACCGAGAGTACCCAGGATACAACCAATCACACATAAGATCCTGGGTTCAAACCAGGGGTGGGGGTAGCAGTCGCAAATGTCTTAATAAGTCGCTGCAGTACCTTTTGTAGTTTTGTACCTTTTGTGGTTTTATGGGGCTCTTTATTTTGTTCTTTTATTTTTCTTTCTTGTAGTGGAATAAGTTAGGGGCGCTATTTTGATGTTTGATTTCTCTAGAGGATGAAATTAATGGGGCAGGGAATCGGCCCTTATTACTGGCTTCCCCCGATGCCTTTGTGCTCTCGGTGTGACGCGTGAGGTCGAGTAGACAGCGAACTGTGTCTTTCTGTATAATATGTATTATTGTAGAGCACGTATATTGAGAACTGTCTTATGAATCACTCCAACTGTGGTTTCGTCGGTCCCCACGCCCCCAAAAAATGGAACGGGGAAACCGGTTATAGAGCCATGATCCCAGCTCAAAAAAACTTGAGCCTAGGAGGAGGAGTGTGCTACTGAGAGACTAGCCCGGAAGCGGCACGATAGAGTTTTACAAATAAGACATTAGAATATATACTTCCTGTTTGACACTTTGATAAGTGTCAAGATTTTCGTAGTTAACTGTAATACCATAATAACCATACATAAGCTCGTTAACAACTTTCACTCTTGTGTACCAGCACTGACCGATATCACCGCCTCTAAAAAAAGGTTGGTTTGTGAGTAATCGTTTGCCATATCAGTAGATAGATGAAAAATTCAGCGTACACCGCTCCAGTGGGTCGGGAAATGAATCAAACGATTCATTTCCCGGGCCGTTTGATGCATTTCCGTTTGATGCATTTCCATGATGCATTTCCGGGATGCATTAATACGGACTTAGTGAAATCCAAAATATAATAATTATTCATAGCTCAGGTGATAGATTCTAGGCTTTGTTAGCTGAACACCCTAGGTTCAGCTCCTCTATTTTTCGGTTTTTTTACACCAAGTAGTACCGCATATGGCTACCACTTTCGGAAATAGAATATTTTTGTGTCATGAAAGTACTCAAGAAACTCGTCCAAAGAGACTATCGATTCATTTCTCTGATGCCCTTCTACAGGTAAATCGGATGCCTTTCCTGGGGACATAGCCGAAAGCCCAGATGGTCACTTTCCCGGCACACATTTCCCACACAAACGTTACGTGATAAAACCCGATTCATTACCCAGCGCTACTAGAGCCGTCGAGCGCGAGCGCTTCAATAAACGAGTGATAGTCTATGATTTAATTCATGGGAGTATCATTTTTGCAGTACAGCGATGGGTAATAAGTGATCAGACAGAACGCCACCAAAATACGCGTTTGCAGGCAAAATTGTGGCTAGGCCGTCCGATGACTTAATACCCACCGCTGTACGGTTGACTATTTCGAATTTCAGATATTGGATACACACACGAAGGAAAAAGGAGGGGGATATAACAGTACATGTATTGTACCTATATATGACCAGTGATCGTGATTAATGCTATGTTTTTTGTGGCTTTGGATGAACCTCAAAAAGGTTGCAGACATTTTTAGGGCAGCGACAACTGCACAAGCTGACTGGTTGAATGACAAACAGGGGTCTCTACCAGTGAACACAGTGGCGCTCAGGTCAATTCATTGGGTTGTTACCCCAAAAGTAACTACAGCCGGACCGGAACTTTCCTTGTCCAGGATTCATAATCACGCACAATCACTCGCGGTTCCCAGGATACCCCACTGGCGATACACCAAACACAAATCTGGCTCAAGCCTGTATCTTTATCTTGAACTCTAATTTTTAAGCATACACAAGCCAGGACAAGTATGCATAAAAATCCCCACCCAGGTCCCCAAAGCTAAATCCCGTCAAGCTCGAGGCAAGAAGCTCCGAGACAAAACCAGTTACCGTTTCAAGCAAGGTCCCGACCAGATCTAAACGTCCCCAACAAATTTAACACAAACCCACAGAGGACCCCCCCCCCCTTTTTTTTTCTTCTTCTTATTGTCCTTTGGCCCCCTAGGAATCTTTGCCTGAAAAGAGCTGAGTTGATGCGGATGTTGACTCTCGCTATTTTGATTCAGAGCAAAGCGTGACAGGCCTAGCTCCCCCTTACAGATACCTATCGGGTTTGACACCTCCACCGGCTGCTTAAGCTTAAGCTTTGAGCTTCAAATATCCCTGGGGCGTAACTTTGTGGGACGCCCCTCTTAAGCCAGGGGCGCTGGTGCATGATACGTGACATCAGTTTTTTTTAACATGGTTGTCACGGTCGCAGTAGTGTTTTGGTTAGTACGTTACGTTGAACGGTGGGTGTAAGTCGCATTTTTTGCAAAAAGACTGTTGGTATGTAGTACTAGTAATTATCAAGCGAGAGATTATACTTAGTATTATTACACCGCATCTAATCAGTTCTGGAGATATTTAGACCTTGACGGCTATCATTCGTATAAAGGTGGCAGTAGGGTAGATGGAACAGGTGGCTGCTATCCAAGACAGGTGGCTGGAATGGATGTGTTACTACAAGTCTCAGCCCCCTACACTTGGTCCTCTCTCCTCACGCTGCTAGCTATCTGAGCCAATCGGTCAGAGCTTGCCACGAGAATTGTTAACGGAGAACCCAGGCCTCTTGTCAAAATTCGCTACCCGTCGATCCCAAATTCTGTATTACCAGGAGTGTAGATGAAACCGCTGCCGGCCGGTTCCTTCTGTCTAGCCTAGCCTTCGGTATTGTTCTCATGGCACAAGTCCCTGACAAGAAGGTATATTTAACTCGAAGGCTCCACCCGATACCGTATTGCTGCATTCAGTATGTATTCCGATCCCCTTTATTGTACAATGCAATATTTGGGCCATTGCTGATACAAGGGAGTGGAGCGGGGGCATATTAGAGCTTATAAAAACTTATATTTGAGACATTACATATGCCAATTGATGACCCTCTGGTGAAGCCACGGCGGAAATCTCACCCGACCGTACCGTATCGGCCCTCAAAGCTAAAATAAATACAACCGACGAGGATGAAACGTCAAATGTGGGGGAGCGTTACCCTTCCGCCGCGTAATCTAGTCTGTGCCTGGGAGGGTGGACAGTCCCGGGTTTGCCTCCGTGCCCTGCAGTGTCATGATTGCTTTTGGTCGGCAAACCGTTATACCGATAATTATTAGGGACTCGAATGGCGAGCTTAAGGGGATCAGATGACGTCGGTGGAGCTCAAGAGCCGTTTTCTCGAATAGATTTCTCTCGGGAACTCCCTCAAGTCCAAAAATAGGCAATACCCCCTTCAATATTGACTGAGTGATAAGTTGTGACCAAGCTGGTCGCCAAGAAACCTAAACAGTTAGACCAGGGTCCAATATAAACACCACACGGGCCTCCCCATGTCTCAGATCTCGCACTTGAAAATGGACTTTAGGAACCTCGGTTTTTAGAGTAAAGTACATGTACTTACGTACTTTACCTTAGAAGCACAGCTTCCCTTTTGTTCTATTGAGGTTAGTACTCTAATAATCACTATTATATTAGGCTACGCTAATTGATCGCCGAATTACAGAAATTTCCTAAAGACATCTGGTACAGATGTGCCGGGATTTGGTAGAGGCGAGACTTTTGCCATTTTCAGGGAAGTTTATCTCTCTTACCCATCTCGGAGATCACTAACCACCGACCAGGCCTCTGGGTGCGCGCAGCCGCCCAATGGGATGTCTCGTAGGCACGTGCCAGAATAGTAAAACCCTACCATCCACCCCCCCTTTTCTGGAGTTCACGCGATGGTTGAAGCGTTCGTTCGCAGGACCCCGCTGTCTCGTCCTACCCTAATTTTGGGGCCTTCGCAGTAATTTTAAGAGGACAAACCGGGCTGGTTCGCGGGTTATGATGTCAACTTCCTCGGCATACGTCAAGGGCTATTCTATAGAGGTCAGTGCGTTGCCCTTACAGGTTGCGGGGCGAAAGCCACCAATCTCACGGTCTATTTTGTGCTGCAGAATGGAGAGAGGGTAGATGTGCTACTCTCCGGGCCATGAAAGGGGTTCTCTCGTGTAGGTACTTTACTTTGCGGAATGGTGATTACTTTGTGGGAGGTACATGTAGCTATGTACTTGCCGTGCTTATCCTCTTCCCCGAACTTGAGATCACTTTTTTCCTCTCTGCCTAAAGGCGCGTAAAAAGTTGAGAGGGCTGAGCGAGTGAGATTTTGTGACCACACGGGAGGGATGAGATCGACCGATGTTGACATGACAGGTGGTCGCCCAGCTTATGTGGAGCTGGTCATCCATCAACTCACACCCGGTAATATGCATTTGCCAAAAGTGTAGAAATAATAATAACGATAGTAATAGTAATAATACAAGCACGCCAGTCCAGTAGAACCCCATTAAAAAAAATCCAACTAGTCCTACATACCCGAAATCTCGATCTTTCCTACCAATAACCAATCCACGGTATAATTTTTTCGGTCACCCCTTCCCTTTGTGTTTTTATATTTTATGTGCTTTTTTTATTTGCTTTGCATTCCCCACCATACCCAAGAAGCTTAATCACAATCCTCCTTTTTCCGCTTCATGCTCCTAACCTGCACTAAATGTTGTGGCGGACCTACCGCAGAGCCCCCGCACAGCCTCCCCAAAACCTCCCTCATGAATCCGGGAAATTCCTCCATAAGCATGCCCACCTCACTATCTACTTCCCTGAAATCCCACCTATAGTCTTCCCACCTCGCCGCCACGGTGGCGGCCAGCATCCGCTTTAGCTCGTCTTCTGGGGCAGATATGCTTGTGTAGACCTCTTTCACCAGCTCTAGCCGCCGATCATCGCAACGTGTCTCGTCTTTTACGAGTAGGTAGATCTTGAGTAGCGCCTCTTCCATGAGCCTTGCTATGCGAAATCGCAGGCCCAGGATGTATAGCCGAGCATGTGTGGAGAGCTGCTCTGATTTCTCGCTACAGTTGTGGGGGAGCGTGTAGTGTTGCCAGTAGAGAAAGTTTACGAAGAGGGCAATAATTGACGGGTCTGCGTCGAGAGCAAGATTTTGGTTCTCGGATTGTGGGGTAGGGAGCAGGCGGGAGAAGTATGGGGATTTGGCGATCAGGATTTCGCGGTGCACTTTGAAGGGCTTGCGGTCGCGGCCGGCGAGGAGGGTTACAATGGGCCCGTGGATTGTACTGAGGGAAGGATTAGTTTGGGTGTGGAGAAAAGACAGGATGTAGGTGCATACCTCATATTGTGTACTCGGGCTGAAAGTCGGGCTGGACCTCCTGAACTTTGAGGCGGGCGTGGAATACGGCGAGAAGATTGGTGATAGGGTAAGTAGTAAAGCAGAAGTACTCAAAAGTACGCAAAGCTGTTAGGTCTAAGCGAAGTCGTATTATGTATTCAAGCGGAGTCGTATCTTATATCAAGCGAAAGTCGACCAAGTATGAGAGATAGAGAACAGGTTCACTCGCTCTTTATAGATATTTCTTTTTAATTCCCCAGAATCCAGGCAGCGGGACGATGTTATATCCCTACGCATCCACCATTCCCCTTCCATCTAGCATCCCAGCCTACCGCATACTAACAACATCATATCGCACAGACGGCAGCCCGGTTGTCAATCCATCTGGCTCCTCTCAGGTCCATGGTCTTAGATACGCGTTGACGCTTTGCTTTGCCTGCTTGCTTCCAGTAACCAAGTCTTCTTTCCTTTCCCCGGCTGTGGCGTCTGAGACATGAATGGCACAGCGTGACAAATTATCTAAGAATGTAATATATATACCGTACCACCATGTCTTCAATTGGTGTGCTTGACGATGCTGTGCACAGGCACTGACTGGGTGCTGCATCCTCTTCTCCTCGACAGGACATATTCGCCGGGAAACTGCATTTCCGTTTTGCCTTCTCGACTTAATACTTGCTTTGCCCTCCCCGGTCACGGTATCATGCGTTCATGTTGTTTTAGATTTCGAATCGTGCCGCTCAAGGCCTCTCAGCTGGTCAGATGCATGTCTTCACTTATGTAGGTACCACCGTCACGCCAGAGTGAGTGGTCGTAACTCACGAATTGTCACTCACCCGCCAATACCCACTCTATGCCATTGTTGTAACGTGTAACTACCCCCATTTCTGGATGCTGAAGCATCCATCAATGTACTGTAGATCATGTTTAATTTAATGCAGGGAAGAAAAAATAACAGAAGAGAGCGAGGGACGGACCGCTACCTAGGGCGGGGTCAAAGGTTATTTCCAAAAAGTCCGACCGACCGGCCAACTCTTATCAGCACATAAAAAGCAAATTCCCCCGGAGCATTGTTTGTTGGGATTTTGTCGATGTTTGTTTTTGACAGGCAGCGCCGGGGGCTGAACGTCTGGAGTACGGCCAATATGTGTATCCACAAATTGAGAGTATATAAATCTGTTTCATTGCAACGCGGTAAAAGCGTTAATTTCTTTCAGTCGCTGCACGTCAGTGAAAGAGTATGGGGCGGGGTGGGATTGTGAATGGGGGAATTTTGGGGGGGGGGGGGGGTCGGAACGACACCGACCCCGGCCAGGCCTCCGCGAGAGTCAAAGGCTATTTCTGGTTGATGTTTATCTCCGGAATAGTATTCATATTGCCGGGTTGATATATCAGTTTTAGCAATTCCTTCTAGTAGGCCAATCCTGACGAATTTGATTCATCAGCTGGTTTATTGATATTCGTGGCACTTGTCCTCAGGTACCCCTCATTGTGGAGTACCTATGTGATAAAGAACAGGATGATGCTTCCGGAATCACCCTGCCGTTGACCAAGTTCCTATTGTTTTTAAAGAGGAACATAGGTGAAAGGGGTCTATAGTGCTGGAATCTAAAGCCAATTTAGTGTTATGGCGAGAGGTTTGCAAACCCACAAAGCAGAGGAATTAACCCACACGAGTAATAACCTTGAGGGGAGGTCTCTTGGAGTAGGTGCGCCGAGCCCAATAACATCTACTTATATTGTCTCCACCGATGTTCACCTCCGTGTCTCGAATGAACCCATCGATGGCTTCAAGGTCCTTCGATCTCGCGGGTCACGAGGTTTTCCTGCACAAGATGGTCGATCTGCACTTTAAAATTATTTTTTTCCAACTTATCAAACAAACCCCACATAGTTTGTTGGTGGGACAATTAGTCTTACAGATATAAAACAGTTCCCTTGATATTATAGCGTACTGTGGAGAATGTGATGAGGAAAAGAAAATCTGTCGCTCGAATCGTTTTTGGTATGTTCAGTGGTTGATGCCAAGGACTGTATATATAGTATCTTCTAGAAGAATCTGTTTGTAGGTTCGAGCTCCGTCCTAGTTCACTTGAGAGATATTGCTGATAGCGTCAGTGGATATTATTCAAAGGAACCAAAAATGACGTCCGAGATGTGGTGAGAGTCAACTCACTAGTAGTATCTCCAGATTTCTTTCAATGACAATCCTTGTTTAATTGACGAATCAGCAACGGCACGCGTGTAGTTTGCAGTGAGCTAGCCGAAATACTGGCAATGCTGGGGATCGAGAGAGTGCGTGGTACATTCTCTAGGGGTAAGATGTATGTCGTGCGATATATGTGTACTTATAGAACCTATGCGTCCAACATCTATCTGCCAGTTTTTCTCATACGGTGGTTTGGTGCGTGATGTCGGTTTGCCACGCAAATGCTGTCCGGAATCGCGATCTCATGTCATATCTAGACAAGAATCTTCTAGTGTTTTCCTATGGACGGAGCTAGTTGTCGTCGGAATACGAAGGGACCGACTCTCTGTGGAGAACCCAAGCGAAAAAAAAACCCATTATTCTTCGGCGTGCATGCATGCTTGCAATTGTAAGTACAATTTTTCCCGGGTATTCTTCGGAGCTCACACAGTTGCCCGGCCAAGAGATTAAGTAGCTCAGCCTCATCCGAATAAAGTTTGGAGACTAGAAGTGTGCGGGCAATTAATACAGACAGCTAGCGCTCGGCTGGTAGTGATCTATGCAAACTCCTGAATCTATTTCACATCTGCTGGTCTTGACAATCGCCTCCGGGCGGAGCACCCTATGAATCAGATTGGACACAACCAGTCAACTGAAAAATGAAAGAATCGATCTCAAGAAACTAATGGCAGGATAAAGTCAATTCGATGCATAAACACATCCACAACATCCAAGTGGCCATCAACCAACTTCCAGAAAAAACAACAAAATCCGATATAAACAAGAAAATCACTTTTCTTTTTTGATAGGGAGTCACATTACAAACTGCTACATAGGCATTGCTTATGCCGAGTGATAGGTTATGACCGAATAAATGTGTTATTACATAACTCATTGATGACCTAATATCTAATAAGTATATAATTATAACCTGTATATGCAATGTGCTTTTATAGTCTTCTGATTGGTTCATTGAGAGATGTTTTTGTTTCACTTGAAACATGTTGTGTTGGATATTAACATAGGGTATTGTGCTGAGTGGTGTTAGAGTGTTAATAGGGTTGCTACTGGTTCTGGGAATCGATAGTGGTTCGATTTTAGCGGTTTGGTAGCTGTTAAAGGGATATACCTGTAGTTTTAACTGGAGAAATTATCTGACTTATCCGTTGATATATGGGGATAATATATCAGAAAAGTCACATATTGACCAGATCAGATATAGTGATGGACTTTGCCTGCCAGGAGGGGTCGAGGGCCGCGCAGCGGCCTGAGAGCCCCGACTGACAGGCAAATAGACAAATAAGCCGCAAAGCGGCTTGCCTGTATATTGGACTGATTGATATATATATAGTACCGGCCGAAGGCCGGAAACTACTTGTAGTAGTTATAAATCTATAAAGGTAAGTGATTTTTCTTTGATTTTGTATATAGTCTTCTTGCAGTGCAACTTAATTGTCACTTGATCCAACCATATATATGAGTACATATACAGCCACTCTGCAAAAGTGTTCGTGATTCCGATTTCGGAGTGAGACATTTCTCCATATGAAGTAACCGCGGCGGACCATCAAGAAGCCCCCAAGAGAAGACTTTCCCAGTGACCAATGGCGCCCAAATTAAAGAAGAATAAGATCAATGACCTATCTTCTTTTTATATATAGCCACAAACTATATTATATATTTTTCGTTGTTTTGAATCTCAACTTTAATAACATCAGTATTACGGGTGCGCCACACTGCGCACTGACATTAAAACTATATCACGAACACTTTTGCTGAGTGGCTGTATGTACTTTAGTGTTTAGCTATTAACTTTATGCCATTAATGTGGGAGACAATTGAGCTTGTAGGTACAGCGAAAATTGAGTAGCAATGGGTTCCATCAGCCAGGATTCTTGAGAGATAAATATAGATGTTTACCAATAAGTGTTGGTTCCTTTATATCTGTTGTGTAGGGTGGCGAGCTTTGTATGCGGGCCGCGTGAGTGGGGGTAGGATCCAGGTCTGATTATAGGTGGCATGGGGTTCTGCTATCAACTACTGGTACATATAAACTCATGCCAGGCGTTGAATGGGATATATAGAGGAAAATGGAGACCGGGACGATGCGTGTGATTATGAATTTCCCTGAATAGGGACGTTCACTGAAGGATCATAAAGTTTGAGACTTCCCCCCTTCATAATTGTCTAATACCTAGCCCAACAGCTTAACTAGTTCGTAGTGCTGATGAGGTATTGAAGTCGCAAACCCTCACTCGCGGGACATATAAAGTTGAAACATCAATATCGTCAGAGATAATAATATGCCCAGCATAGTTTTCAAGGGCTCCGATAAAATTTATTCTCTCCTATCGACTCCTGTTTAGTCCTAGGGTCTCTTAGTTCCGATACTGACGTCTGTCAACTGTTAAGCAACCCTCAAGTTATCGCTAACATCACTCATACCCTACATGAATATCTGTTCAAATGAGGTCTAAACTCATTTCTTCCTCGATCTTCATCAGCATGACACAATCTCAGATTACTCAAATCTTCAAACCCTCGGCGGAAAGCAGCAGACTTAGTAGGCCCTTAAAGGCTTCATAATGTCACGTTTGATAATATGTGAAACCCTTGGTGGACGTTCTGAATTCGAAATCAATGCCAAAATAAGGTCGTCAAACAATACGGAACTTAAATGTCAAATGATTTGGCGCTGGTTGATATGCGCCAAGGCCTTGGCTTCACGTCAGTTGGATGGAGGATTAGCATTTTCTGCGAGGCCTTGAAGGACTTTGGGGATTTTAAAAGAATTTAGCACCAGTCAAGACAGTTCTTCTTGGCCTGGGTGCATCTGGAGCAGAATGAAGACGATAGATCTCCAACCGCACCGTATCGTTGAACTGCAATCTCCTTCTAGGCTCAGGCTTCTTCTCATCTGCGTATTGATATATATAATCCTCCCCCGAATCATGCGCCTAGACTGATCGATCGCGCAACCCCTTGCCCGATAATATAGATTCCATATATCCGTCCCGATGCCTCAATTGGCTATATGACAGCAGCACTATATATATTGTTAGTGCTAGGACCCCTTTCATCTCAACCCTACTAAATGGTTGTTTAACACCCTTGCTTGTTGTATTTACGTACTTTAGTAGCAGCAGCCAGAACCCCTGTTACCAGCCAACCAGATACTTATCGTACCTTGCATATCTATCTGGTGGCGGTCGACTCCGCGCTCCGAGATAATTTATTAGATATCTCACCTTCCTATTCCTGTTTGGAACAACTCTAATAATCTCTACTCCAACTGCACCACGAGATAACTCGATTGGACAACAGAGATCGTCTCCAGGAACAGGCAGGTGGGATGAACTCAGATCCGCCCAATCATCTCGCCAAGAGCTTAATTGCGCCCTGCGCGATTGCTCATGCAGATATCTGTCTACGGCTGATAGTAAAACGCGGGGCTTGCTGTTCAGCGCTCGTGAATACTGCTTGTAGCTGCACGTGGACTTGGAACTGACACTTTCAACACAGCTACACCTTCTCATCGATCCCATCCCGAGGTTTTCCCTGAAGTTCCCGCGGTGGTGGCGACTACATCCTTAATCCCAGAGCTAAAATATATCGGAGAGTGCGCCTTGGTGAGGGGTATAAAACCGGCAGATACTGCTGCCTATTCGCAGAGTTCCAGCGCGTGTGAATCCACCTACTCACTCTCTTGTTACCAGCAATGAGGTTCCTTCTCTTCGCCCCAAGCTTTCTCCCCTCCCTTGTTTCGGCCGTGACCATCTCCGCGATTAATGGTCCCGCCTTCAGGTCTCCCTACGAGAACCAGAGTGTGACCAACGTCACCGGTCTAGTCACTGCAGTTGGCCCCTCTGGTTTCTTCCTGCGTGATACCACGCCTGATAGAGATGTCCGTACTTCGAATTCGGTATATGTGTTCACTACATCCGCCACTATCAGAGGAAGCGTCGCAGCGGGGGATATCGTCACGATTGACGGCAAGGTTTCGGAGTACCGATCCAGCAAGGACTACTTATACCTTACTGAGATCACATCGCCGACAAACGTGCGAAAGATCTCATCGGGGAATGCGGTCAAACCAGTAGTCCTGGGTGTAGATAGGTCTCCACCGGCGTACCGGTACTCTGCGCTTGATGATAACGATGTTTTCGGTGTTCCAAACAATAGAACCTTGGTGTCCGTGGTCAATGCCACACTCCAGCAGGATAAGTATGGATTGGACTTCTGGGAAAGCTTGAGCGGGGAGCTAGTGTCTGTAAAAACACCAGTAGCACTATCAATGCCAAATAACTATGGCGATGTCTGGGTTCGTGGGAGCTACAGAGTTACAGGAAAGAACTCACGAGGCGGGTTAACAATTGTGCCCGGCATTGGCGCAGATGCGAACCCTGAAGCCATCCGTACTGCTCCTCAATCTCACCCACTATTGACATAAAGCTAATTGACCCCTGCAGTGATCGGTGACCCTCTAGACGGCACTGACAACGCCGCCACAAAGCTCGGGGATGACCTCGGCGACATCACAGGTGTCATAACCTACGCCTTTGGCTTCTACCGCATCCTCCCGCTCACCGCCCTTAGTGTCAAGTCTAACGCTCTCCCACTACTTCCCCCGCCCACAACCCTCACATCCACCGGCGCCTGCTCAGGCCTTACATTCGGCTCCTATAATGTCGAGAACCTTACACCAAACTCTACACACCTCCCTCTCGTCGCAGAGCATATTGCAACATACCTAAATACCCCCGACTTTGTCTTCCTGCAAGAAGTTCAAGACAATGACGGTGCCACAAATTCCACCGTGGTTTCCGCAAACATCACTCTACAAACCCTCGCCGATGCAATTGAGGCGATTTCTGGTGTAGAATACAGTTATCTCACCATTGACCCCGTCGACGACAAAGATGGCGGTCAACCAGGAGGAAATATCCGTGTGGCATACTTCTACAAGCATGACCTCTTCTCCCTCCGCAACCCTAACCCTGGCTCAGGCTCCGAAAGGATCGAGGTCCTCCCCGGCGGCGAGTTAAACTTCAATCCTGGCCGTATCGACCCTGAAAACGAGGCGTGGACAAACTCAAGGAAGCCACTGGTGGCAGCATTCGATACTGTGGGAGGAGAGACAGTATATGCAATCAATGTGCACTTTGGCTCTAAGGGCGGGTCGTCGTCGCTGTACGGTGATGCTCGGCCGCCGGTAAATGGTGGTGTGGACGACCGCCAGAAGCAGGCGGAACTTGTGGCGGGGTTCATTCAGGAGTTACAGGCTGAGAACGAAGGTGCACTCGTAGTCGCCGCAGGGGACTTCAATGAGTTCAGTTATGTGAGCCCCATGAAGGCTTTTAAAGATATTGCCTGGGACTTGGATGAGGTTGTGAGCATACCGGTTGAGGAGAGGTATACATATCTGTATGATATGAACTGCCAGCAGTTGGATCACATGCTAGTCAGTAGACCATTGAAGAAGGGCGCGAAGTACGAACATGTGAGTTTCCCTTCCGATGCGGGAAGACAGGTTACTGACGATGATAGGTGCACATCAATACATGGAATACGAAGGCTGCACAGGTCTCGGACCATGACCCAAGTGTAGCCATGTTAAACACTTGTAAGAGGTAGATCATATAGTAATGTGTAATATGTATATGGCATGGATACGGTGTATGTAAATTAGGAAGAGAATACAAACTAGTGATGCTCTATCCAAAGCAGATTGACATGAGAAACGGCTAAAAGCCCTGGTGTCAGGAAGGGACGGCCGGATCATGCTAACGACTTAGTCCAACAAACGGGTATTTTCGTACGAGAAAATACGGTGACATTTTTGGCTTTGTTGAATAGGTAGACCTATTTGGCCGAACCGAACGTGATATACCTTTACCATCCTGTCCCGTATGGGGGGTTTGATGGCCCCGAAAGATGAAACAAATGGGCCGTAAATCATATTAGGACATGACGTAGAAGAGATCCTTGGTAGAATTATCCTCCGCTTGGTCGCCTGAAAATTCATGCTGTTCCGATGAGTTCAATTGTCTATTCGGGGATTTGTCAAACTTCCCTTCGACCTACGTACCAGAAAGCACAAAACGAATGACATGACCTAAGTCCTGCATACCCTCATAGCTCAGCTAAGCACACGAAAAGGTCTGGACATGTTTGTTGGGTTTTCGGCCCACAACCCTCTGCTCGGTATAGTCAGCAGACCAAACTCTTCGCTGAACGAAAAAAAAAAAAAAACTGGCTCAAGTAATTCTATATAATACATGCGGAGTGCGGCCTTCAGCCGCCCAAATGTAGTGAGGAAATGAAGGCGCGGGCGGTACTGCGATAGTAATTTCTTAGATTATTGCTGTCATTCTGGATTATTGGGTCATCCAAACGTACAGGCACGCACTAAACCTCATCTCCATCTCTCCTTATATGTAATCTGTGATATATTAGCTCTAGTATGCACTCTAAGTCATTCAATGAGTAGCATTAGTATGTACATGTAGTTCATGATAAAATGGTATTAGGGAAATTCAACCTTCATATATAAAAATATAGCTGTAGTTCTGTCAGTGTTTGTTCTTTTATATCCATCAATTCCGGTAGATACACGCCTTTTAATGCCAGTTCCCTTCCATCTCGGGAGTAGTTCTTTGTCGAATGATATGCAATCAATATTAGAAATACACGTAGTGCGCTGCAACCAATAGGAGACGTTCCTTTCTAGGCCCTCTAGTGTTTTCTAATACCTAGCCTCGTTCTGTAACTCTGCGCCGTCTCTTTTCCCGTTAGATTTCTAAACCTTTCAATATTACGCTTCAAACAAGATTACAGAATCGACACAAATGTCTAAACAGAATATTGAATTATCTCAAGCATACATGATTACTGCAGTTATCTATCCTTATAGGGTATCATGATCTTTAGATTATTGACTGAAGGCAGCAAGATAATTCTAGAAATTCAACAGCACCCCGTGAAGATATATAGGGAGCTTTATAGCAGCATCAGATCTGAGTGTGACGACACAAGTGAAGTCAACCATTGTCATCATTTGCCTTATTGATTCCAACTCAGCCCTCTACAGGATGCTGATCTTTCTATCAATTCAATTGACAACGACCAGTCCAAGCCTCCTTTGCTAGCATTTTTCAGCATCAGACAGGACAAAGCAGAGGAAGTCGTTTTTCATCATTTGAAAGGGTATTAGTTTTCTGTCCTCGGGCCCAGGATGATATCTTTCGATCCATTAAGGGACCATGACCAGTCCAGGTCCTCCTGATGCCAGTACATACATACATACATTAGTGGAAGTATCAGAGAAAATAACCCAATAGGAGTCGTTTCATCGGGGCTGTTGGATTGACTTATAAGCCTCTGCCCTCCACAGGATGCAGATGATCTTACGGCCCAGATGCCATGACCAGGCCAGGTCCCTCCTGTTTTAGTAACCAGCATCAGAACATATAAGACGACACCTTGGAAGTCATTCATCATTTGCTTTTTATGAGCCCTCAGTGTGTTATCGAAAAATAATCTTAAAACCTTTTCCCTGCCCTCCACAGGATGCAGATGATCTTACGATCCAAATGGACCACGACCAGGCCAGGTCCCTCCTTTGTTAGTAAAAATAATTCCTCCACAGGATGCAGATGATCTTACGATCCAAACGGACCACGACCAGGCCAGGTCTCTCCTGTTTTATTAAATTAGCATCAGAAAAACATAAGACGACGTCTTGGAGGTAATCATCATTTGCTTGTTTTGAACCTTCAAATTTTATAATGTTTCCCCTGCCCTCCAAAGGATGCAGATGATCTTACGGCCCAGATGCCATGACCAGGCCAGGTCCCTCCTTTGTTAGTAAAAAATAATTTCCACCACAGGATGCAGATGATCTTACGATCCAAACGGACCACGACCAGGCCAGGTCCCTCCTGTTTTATTCAATTGGATCAGAATAGGACGACACTTATGAAGTCAATCATCATTTGCATCGTCAATCTTTTGCTTAAAGTTTCTAAGCTATCGCTATTATTTAACTCAGAAATCTGTAGTCATGTCAGTATTAGAACGAGCGACAGATCTTAAGGTGCACTCAGCGTTGACTAATATCACTCTTCATCTGGATCGTTCCCGACCACAGTATAAAGTCGGAAAACTTATTATATATATTGAGCAACTGTTTATACAGATTTACGCTTGCTTGATTCAGGACGAATGTTTTCCTATCCCTTGAAGAAATTTGTATATCTTTTGTATGTCAGCTGTCGTAATTAAACACGCATCGACCAAATTGCCCAACATAATATCAACTGGGAAATTTAGAATGCTAAAGGATCGGGAGATATTACATGATGTTATTTTTGCTGCTGCAAGAATGATACTCATCTTTTTAATGGTGTTGGAAGATGGTATAATGGTATTTGTTATATTGAGCCACTGCTTAAGCAGATTTGTGCGTAAATAATAGAGGATGGATAGTTCTTTGTCCTCTCGATGAAGTTCATTTATCTATTCGATGCCAGTACATACAGTTAGATGACGATCGATCAAATAGATATTAACAGTAAAACCAAAGAATAGGGAGACATTACTTCATATTGTTTTTATTTGTTGCTGCTGTCAGAGGGATTTTATCTTTAAATGCGATGGCGATGGAAGATGGTATATTTAAGTTATTTTCCGTATTTGAGCCAGTGAACCGTTTATGTAGATTTATGCTTCATGAATTGAGGATGTATTCCTCATTATCCTTTTGATGAAGATTATTTATCTTTTGGATGTTAGCCTGAATGACTAAATGGAGTTCGATTGAGATAAAGATGTATCAACGGCAAAATCGAAGGGGAAAATCTTACTTGATATTTTTAAATTCGTTGATGTCAGTAGAAAGATTTATCTTTGTCGATATGATGAAAAATAGCATAGTCGAAGCCTTATTTAATATTTTATTGTTGGGCTACTATTTATATAGATTTACGCGTGAATTATAAAGGATGGATTTTTTATCCTTTTGACGATGTTTTCATCTATCTCGACGTGTCAATCAATACATGCTGTTGATGGAGGTCGATTGCGAGCCAGTGTTTATAGCACAAGAAAAAGGATAAGGAAAACTTACTTAGTGCCGTTTATTTACTGCTGTTAATAGAAAGTCGTACTTCTCAGACGATGACCGAATGCTGATAGCAAGGTGGGTAGATCCTGCTGCTTTCAGTGTTGAGAATATATAAGTTGTTGAGAGAATGGCCGTCATTTGATGATATTGCGATGAGTAGATCACTGTTTTACATTCGTAAGATGAAAAAAGAGGATGACATCGGAAGCGGTAGAAAACTCACCATTGTTTTTTATTATAAGTTTCCGTTGGTTACATCTAATAGTCCGCTGCTGCTCATGATGGTGAAGTCTCTAGATCCATTGATAGCAGAGTGGGAAGGAATCTCAAGATTTTGATTCAGCTTCAGGAAAGACGGCTTCACGACTAAAGCCATCGGTATCATCATATGCATCATCATTGATAAAGGAACTAATGATAGAAAGAGCGAGAGAGAAAACTTAATATAATTATTCACTTCATTTTCCACTTATAAAATAATAACTTTCGAAGCCCAAAATATTCTGATATTTTGGTGTAGAGTGATGGTTGAGAGAAAAATGATGGAGGAGTAGAGAGGGATGGAGGATGGAAGAGAGAAGAGGGGAGGAAGGGATGGAGTGAGGAGATTTATACGTGGCACTTATTCTATGCTCACTCCTACGCATACGAGTATACAAGAGTCAGCCAAGTTAGGTTTTGCATTGGGAAAAGAAGCGTGCAGTCTCCAGTAGAAAGCTATCGATATACATATATGTATCTGTCTGCCTCTACCAGGGTTGGTATTAGCCAAGAGTCATCGAAATAAGGTTTTGCACTGGAAAACGAGCTAAACGCGGCCCATACAGTCAGAAAGGGATACAGCACGAGGAGGTCTACGTACCTCCCTCTGACAGTATCTACATTAGTTGATCAGGGTTGACAAATAAATTGCGGGAAAGGGAGTAGATTGAGGAGAAATCTTAAACAGATACATATACAATTCATCAAGTCATGCGCCTAATAATAATATAAATGTACCCATCCTTTTAGAGGTGTATACATGTACCTATCGATTGATACATCTTATATCGACTCAAGGTCGGCCGTATCGCATTATTACATGCACCCCTAGAAAGCTATCTCACCTTCTTCGAAAAACGTCCGGGACCGATCGTGTATACAGTGCGTCTACTACATATAATCTTGTTAACAAAAGCTGAGGGCACGCACATACCTACATTTAGTCTCATTTTCAGATATGTTCGTACCGCTTCTACATACATATAATTTATCAAAACTACTAGTAGAAGGCAGAATCCTTGACAATGATACCTCTTACATTAGCCTTCTGAGATATATATCCTCTAGCACAACGTACACAATCTAATATGTCAATAGAATAACGGCCATGGTTTACACACCACTCATATCAAAAGAAGAAATACATGTATACATGTAAAGTACATATATGCGCCACTGTGATCCCATGATGGGGATCGGAAAAAAAATAATCCTGATTCTGAGACCTACATGTATGTATCAACAACTCCGAGCTAACCCAGCTCTTACTCAACGTCCATCATACGCCAGCATTCGGTATGCTAATGATAACTCATGATGCAATCCGGAAAAAAGTAGGCCCGGTTCCGGGATCGAACCGGAGACCTGTCACAATTGAGAATTTAATTCTCGGGGAGAAACACGAAGCGACAATCATACCTAGACCAACCGGGCATCTGTTGTAACAGCAACGAAAACATTTTTAATTGCTAATATCGGAGCTTACATAAGCGATTGGTAACGGTGAACTGTACTGCATGTAGTATATGGCTTAAAATCCTCGTATCATGAATTAATCTTGTCTCAAATGAGTACTAACCGAGTAGTGATTCGTAAGGTACAACGCCGATGTGTGATGTGTCTTCTTGTAAACACCGTGATATTCTAGGAAGTATTACAGCGAGACCAAAGATCTATCGAAAAAAAACAAGAAATCTAGTAAAGATCACATACATACTTCCAAGCAAAACGAAACCAAGTATTCATCGATTCCAGTAAGTATTCCCGACATACCGAGGGTCCAGATTATATCAACATAGTGATCTCCGAAGTCAAGTATCATGATCTGCTGCTAGAAGCTAAAGAAGTGATGGTCAGAGTCGAGCAAAGTAAGTATGTTCCTCACGAAATCAGAATCCAAAAACGCCGAAGGTATATGAAGTTGACAATAAATTTAGTCTCAGTCAAACAGAAATTCTTGGAAAGGACATTTACCTCCATGGCGCTGTATTGTAGAATGAAAGAGGTGTCTTAATATCGGCGTGATCAATGAAATGACCCAAAAGCCCTTCATAGAATTTGATTTGATGTATCAGATAGGAACTTGTGACATTATTGTATGCATGTCCTATAGAATTTGCGAAGGTTTTTTCGGAAGATGAGATGAAAACTAAAGACACGTGATTGTGAATTGGAAGAAACCAAACACGTATAAGGAATAAAGGTTTCACGAAGTCTGGCTAGTATATAGCTAGAACCAAGGCAAATCTCGCACTTGAAACTACATAAGTCTCGACATATAGCAGCAGCTCCAGCTCCGGCCTGATAAACAAGCACATCTAGGAGCCTACCAAAATTCAAGCCACGTACCAGAAACCCCAAGAGACGATAGAAATCGGGATAACGGTATCAAATCCTTCAAAAAAAAAAATCACAAACACTGAAAATATTTGCTACGCAGCACGCACACCGGCTTACTGCAAAGTATAAAAAAAAATTGTATTTCAATATACAACGTATGCAGAACTCGTTGGACACACTCGTCCAACAGAAAACAAACTCCAATATATATCAACCCTCAATAATTCTGTTGGACACACTCGTCCAACAAAGCAAATTCCGATATATATACGGAACGGTCAACTCTCAATAATTCTCAGCTAGTATCTGAAGTCTCTCCCCGGCTGTGAGAAGGCTCGCACAGAGCCTCACCATCACCAGACTCCTCCAGCAGAGGGGGAAGACGATCCGAATCTTCAAACCCCGTGTAGCTTACCGGAAATAAGCTTCTTTTGGAGCCAATATTCTCCCACCAACCGGAGCGGTATTTCTTTTGGAAAGACGGCTCTGGCCCATCAAGGTATATGTTGGATAGGTCTGCATACGAGGATGGTGATGGAGGTACATGAAACAAACCATCATCATCATCAGAAAATGATGCATCAGACATGTCATCGCTATCCCCAGAGTAGTCGGACCCAGAATGGTCAGAGCGAACACCCACTCCTGACTCGAAGTTGTCAACAAGCTCGGACACGCTATCGACAAGCTGCTGCAACGAGGGAGTATGGGTGGTAGTAGTAGTGATAGATGTAGTAATATCGTTACTAGACTCCTCTTCATCCTCCTCCAGAATAGTGGGAAGGCGGTTCTCTGGCAAGCTGTTATCGGCCAGCCACTCCGACAAGGAAGTGATGGAGGTAGTAGTGGATATAGCAATATCATTACCGGGCTCCTCCTCATTCTTCTCCAGAACAGTGGGAAGATGATCCTCTGGCAAGCTATCCGTCAGCCAATCCGACAAGCGAGTGATGGAATTAAGCAATAGCGGATATATCATTACCAGAATTCTCTTCATCTTCCTCCAGAATAGTGGGAAGACGGTTCTCTGACAAGCTATCGGCAAGCCACTCCGACAAGCGAGTAGAAGTAGTAGTAGCGGATATAGTAATATCATTACTGGACTCCTCCTCATCCTCCTCCAGAATTGAGGGGAGAAGATCGGAATTCTCATAATTTGTGTAGCTTATCGGGAGCAGGCTACTTGTCGAGCCAACATCTTCCCACCAGCCAGAGCGATATTTTTTCTTTGGATCTGGCTCCGGCACATCGGGAAATATGCTTGGTAGGTCTATATAAGATGCTGATGGCGATGGGACCGCGTAGGAAAACCCATCATCTTCATCGTCAGAAAAGCAAGACATATCATCGCCGTCACCAGAATATTCGAACCCTGAATGATAGTCAAGGCTCCGAACAACTCCTTCTGGATTGAAATTGTCAACGGCAAGCTTAGACACTCTATCAGCCTCTTCTGACGAGGGAGTGGTGAAGGTAGTGATAGATGTAGTAATATCATCACTAGACTCTTCCAACAGAGTGAGAAGGCTATCCTCGGGTACGACATCGTCCAACTTCTCCGATGAGGGAGGGGTGAAGGTAATGATTGATGTATCAATATCATCACCAGACTCCTCCAAAAGGGTAGGAAGATGATCTGAATTTTCAAAGTCCATGTAACTTATCGGAAGCAGGCTACTTGTCGAGCCAACTTCTTCCCACCAGCCAGAACGATATCCTTTCTTTGAATCTGGCTCCGGTACATCGGGAAATACGCTTGGTAGGTCTATATATGATATTGATGGTGATAGAATCTCGTAGGAAAACCCATCATCTTCATCGTCAGAAAAGCAAGACATATCATCGCCGTTACCAGAATATTCGGACCCTGAATATTTGAGGTACTGAGTAACCTCTTCTGAACCGGAGACGTCTAGCTGCTCCGATGAAAGAGTGGTGGAGGCAGCGGTGGGTACAGCAATATCATCTTTAGACTCCTCCTCATCCTCCTCTAGAATAGAAGGAAGACGATCCGAATCTTCAAAATTGGTGTAGCTTATTGGAAACAGGCTTCTTTTAGAGCCAATATCTTCCCACCAACCAGAACGATACCTCTTTTTGGGAGACCTTGGCCCATTGAGACACATTTCGAACAGGTCCGCATACGAGAATGACGGTGGGGACGTCGCATTAAATAAATCATCATCTTCGTCATCGGAAAACGACGAGTTGGAGTTCATGTCGCTGCTGTCACCAGAATACTCGGGCCCAGAATTGTCAGACTGGAGACCGCCTTCTGGATTGGAACCATCAAAGGTAAGCTCGGACACGTTATTGAGGTGTCGCTCCCACATGATAGAGTCAGTACTAGCTGCAGTACTAATCCCGACGACAAGATTATCTAAAGAGACATTATCATCTCCAGCGTCTTCTACAGCTTCCCACCAGTTGTCCATGGAAGTGTAGAGTTTAGAAATGGAGGGCTGTGGGGTGCCGAACCCGTACTCCCCGGCAACATCACCAAGCGATTTGGAGGATGAACGTAATGTTGATGGTGAGAAAGAATTTCCCCCAGCTCTCAAGAACGGGTTCGTCTGCTGAGATGGCAGCTCCCCGCCGGGAGAAGAGATGGTCACCGGAAGAGAAGATGAATTGATCTCGTATGAAGACATGATTGAAGAGAGATACGATTGCCAATTAACAAAGCAAAACCGAAATGAGAGGATGACTCTTTCGGATAATGGTAATTACAGAGTTGAGAAAGGCGGAAGTGAAGACCAAAAGGAAAGATGACTCTTTTGGATGAGACAGTGATAATCGAAAGGAGAAATGCCTCTTTCGAAAATATGAAAGGAGAGATGGAAATGAAAACCAAGAGGGGAGATGACTCTTTTGGATAAGTGGAACTCTGAGAAGAGATACACGGAAATGATAATCGAAAGGAGAGATGGCTCTTTCGAAAAATGTGAGAAGAGAGATGGAAATGGAAACCAAAAGGAGAGATGACTCTTTTGGATGAGAGATGATTTTATGAGAGGGGCAGAAGTGATAACTGAGAACTAAGCGTAGCGAAATATTCAGAAGAATATCTCTAATAGCAAGTCAATTTCGTGGTTATTGATATATGAAACAGTTAACCAATGTGCGTGGGCAAGAAACAATACCAGAAGGATAGTCTCTGAATGTGCAACAAGGTTGAATCTCTCGAAGAAAATCACTCTATACGAGGCGAGAAACCAAACGGAAATCTCTAGATGTGTATGAGAGTAGTCAAGTGCTGGAAACTCTAAAAGGTTAGACTCCAGATACGCAGAAACACGGGTTTTGTGACGCACACAAAAAGTTCACAACTCCAATTTTTTGCGAGCAAATGTCTTAAGCGAGCAAGTGAAATACCGGCTCTAGCAAGGCGAGAAATTTCTTCAAGAAGCCTCTAGTTAGCGAGATAATTCAGTAGTTTTGAAAAGGGTTTAGTTAGACTGTGTACTGTATGCGCTAGTATAGCTTTGTGTTGTATGTGTAGATGCTGTGAACGTTAAAAAAGATGAGGAGGAAAGAAGGGTTCAAGGGAAAAAAACGAATATAAGTCGCGTTTCTATTAATAGGAATGGGCTAGTGGTGTTGGGAAAAACGTTGTCATTGAAAACCCAAACTCGCAAGAATCAATGATTAAAAAGAATGAATTAAGAGCTCTAGATTATTCTAAAAGAACAGTATTTACAATGGCATTAAATTGCGAGACCCAAATGAGTTTTTTTGCTCATTGTTGAGAAACATCGTGAACATACATGTTACATATATGTTTTCTAGAAACGTGTCCACATCTTCACCCGCGGCCATCTCGGTTACGAGAGCCTCAAATTTGAAATAAAACACCACAAAAGTCTTTCTACAAGACCTGCTAAATTTCTTCACGACTAAGTTGATTACCGTGCGACTCATTCACCTGTAGATATAGCGCTTCATAGGTGATCACTCGGATGCATATCTCCGCTTTGACCGCCTCCATATCCGCCACTCTGCATTGCACAACATCTAAAACACAAGTAGAACTATGCACATGCAACTCAGCCTGATAAACCCACGTGCTGTAAATTACATGTTCATAGATTATCACTCGCGTATATAGCGTTTCCAATATGCACATGTAGACCTTTGCCCTTGTCGTGATTCTATGCAATGAAAATCACGGTGCAAGATCCCGTCCCGCTACCGCCGAAACATACCGATCTCACTACCGAGATTTTGCACACCCCCCCGGTCCGTCACGGAGTGACTAGTGCATAAGTGGGAGCGAGCACGCTTCGTGAACATGCGTCCACAGAGAATATACACAACAACACAATCACGAGAGCGCGTCTTTGTCAGAGAGAGTGTTTACATCAAGAAAGTCACGTCACGTGGGAGTAGGACAGATTTCATATATACTCGGGGTGTCTGCGACATGGGGTATCACTCGTTTTTGTGAGTTTTGTGTGTTGTGCTGTGCGGTGTGTGGAAACGCGTATGCATATTATACAACCATGAGTACATGTAGACTTGGATATAGCCACAACACTACATAGAGTACATACATGTATGTATGTAGTAGTAGGATGATGCGATAAGTCGTTTTCAGAAGTATTGTCAATTATTAGTTCTACCCCCACGTTCTTCGATGGGGTATGTACCGGTACCATGGTTTCGGGTAGGGTGAGATGGGGGCTTTAATGCACGCGTGTACTCTACAGAGGAATTTACTAGTCGGTGTTCGATCTTGGGACTGTACCTGCGTCTCCTACTTTACTACATATTGCGTGATCTAATGCATCTTCTCCCGTCCTTTTTCCCGTCGTCCCATGCTCGTGGGACTACATGTAGGTGTTCTTGGCCTGACTTCAATCCTACCAACTTCGCTGACGCGAGCCGGAGTCAGCTTAGTTACATGTCCATCCGCTCCAAGCCCCAGTGGTTTGAGGTAAGATGGAGAACAACACTGTGGTCATGGGTCTACAAAGTGCATCTAAGGTAGCGTTCTCCGCTTCCATCTACTTTTTGGTAACTAGCGGTTCGGTATATCACGCCTGTATTCCATCCTCGATAATGTTCAAGTAAGAGATAGTGCTGTGCTGTGGGGACATCTTGGGCTCGAGGAATCACTTCTTGTGGGGGCTGCGTGTACTCAGTTTTTTTGTACGTATACGGGATGGCGCGATACGGTGTATTGATGTTTCCCCAGTTCTTCTGCTCCAAAACTACATTTGGTGGTCTGCACGCGTTGTGTATGGTATTTTCAGTAGATGGCTATGGCGAGAGACAGAATTATGGCACGCGAACAATCAATAGGGTATATTTCCAGAGGACAGATGGGATAATATGAGAACTCTCTTTATGGAATTGCTGAAACGTAGTCTCTTATCATCCAGTAGACCTCACCAGGCCAGATTTGACATGCACTGCTCTCAATGTGAACTCGACCCATTGTCTCTCTCTCTCCCGCCGTGTTCAACCCAAGAATCAAGTACATACCGGAGTCAAGAGCCAAGCACCAGAATCAAGAGCCATCACAGCAATACCAAAGTCAAACGCACATAGGGCAAATCCAACAAAAGATGCAAGTTCTATTCCCCTTCCCACAGAGAGATTACGCACAAAGGAAAAGGGAAGCTCGAAAAAAAAAAAGAAAAACACAGCTCTAACTTTATGAAAGTGGAGAGGTAACCACCGTCCTATCCTATCCTATCACCAACCAACAAACCCCGAGTCACAGAAGGCCCAAGAAATACTGACTGGGCCAACTCAGGCTGTTTATGCTTCCCTTCATGCGAAATGCACCCCCGAAACCTCACCAATTCTAGCTTAACTAACACTATAAATACCTACAGATGAAACCCGAAACTCAAAAGAAATAGAAAAAGAAAAGCGAATTCAAGGACCGTCCACCTCCTCATCTAGCCAGCGCAGCCTATCCTAACCAGCACGTAGCTGGCACATAGCTAGCACGCAGCCAGCATGCCTACAAAAGAAACCGCAAAGAAAGCAAAAAACCAAAAACAACAGAATCATTGACAGTCTACCCACTGACCTCGATATCAGCGCCCCCATCCACCCACACGCCCTCCCACCACTTATCCAGCGCATCCTTCAGCTTCTCGGCCTTCATCTTGACATAATCGAGCCAGTCCATAGCCTGCTTATTTGCCTCCGAGTCTTCGTCCGCCGTGCTATCTGTCGGCAGCATTGTTGCTGTCGGCTTCACTGCCGCTGTGGTCTGTGTCGGCGTCTGTGTCGGCGTCTGTGTCTTCGTCGCCGCAATGCTACTTGGGACTGGGAGCTTTGGCTCTCCCGATCCCCCCTTCACCTCGTCCTCCTTTGCGGGAGTCTCCTCCTCACCATCATTATCACTGACAAGTCTTAGCCCTTCAATACCCGCCAAAGTCGCATTACTGCCTCCTGCACCTTCCTTTAACCCCAATGTATTGCACAACATACGGTACACCTCGACATTGCCAAACTCCTCTACCACCCCCGCCTTCACCCCCGCCTCTTCACCACCATCATGCTCATCCAGCCGCCACGCGCCCCCGCTCCCATGCAAATGCTTAAACGACGGCCCCCGCGCAACAAATACCGCGCGCATCAGCGGGTGCATGTTATCATACCCGTGTAAGCCTGCCGGCGCATACTTGGCCCCTGGCGGGGCCGTCTTCACGTCGAACTCCTTTCTAGTAACAATAGCGTAGCCCGTCTCGGGGACGATCCAGAGTGGTGCGATTCGCGGATTTGCGGAGAAGTGCCAGCGGGCAGGCATGTCCTCGTCGCGCAGGAAGACATCCCAATGGTGATCGCCCTTGGCGGCGTTGGTGGCCACTTCAGACTTCAGTGTTTCGTGCAGCTGCGAGATGTTGACACCTGGCGCGGGACGCAGACCGTACAGCGGCCAGCCGTCAGTGTGGCTGATTTGCGACATGTCGATGATGTCGTCGAGATATATGAGACGGTCGTTAGATGTGCTCGCCATGCCGTGGTCTGAGACCACAACGATGTTGACAAGCTCCGTGATGTTGCGGGCGTCTAGTCCTTTCAGCAGCTCCGCGAACATGGCGTCGACAGAGCGGATCTCGTCGTTGGTCTGCGTAGTATTAGGCCCGTACTTGTGGCCCACGGAGTCAATGTTAGGAACATATGCGGCGATAAGCTGCGGTCGCTCAACGAGGCCCATATCGAGGAGCTCGAGGATACGGGCGGTCTTGCGGGAGAGGACTTCGGACCCGTTGTATCGGTCGAGGTAGGAGATGCCCCAGCCGTCAGCCGCCTCAGAGCCAGGCCACATGTGCACGGCGGTCTTGACACCCTGCTTTTCGGCAGTGGACCAGATGGGCTCGCCGCCCCACCAGGAGGGGGAGTGGGAGCGTGCGGGGTCGGTGTAGTAGAACTCCTTCTCAATGATAGGGTCGAAGAAACTGTTGCCAACGATGCCGTGGGACTCGGGGTATAGGCCGGTCACGAGCGTCCAGTGATTGGGGAAGGTGACGCTGGGGAAGCTGGGCGTCATGAACCGCGGGGAGAGCCCGGAGGCGAGGAAGGCGGTGAGTGTGGGTGTGAGGTGCCGCGAGAGGAAGTCAGCGCGGAAGCCGTCGAGGGAGATGAGAATTGTGGTGGGGCGGAAGGCATGTGTGCCGTTGGAGAGGGTGGCGGGCCGCGGGTTGATGGGGTAGGGGCTGTGGGACGAGAGAGAGAGTGAGGCGAAGATGAGCAGCATCAGGAATGTCAGGAGCATGCTGGTAACGAGGAGCATGGAGCGGCCATTTGGTTTTCGGGGCTGTTGGATGGGTTAGCTGTGTTCACCACGACTGACTTCGGGCAAGAACAAGACAAGAAGGTGCGTAATATCCGGATATCTGTGGGTATATATTGAATTCTCGCAGACCCCCGCAACAAGATACAGTAATGCCCGCAACGACAGGAAGAATAAGTTAAGGACATCGCTACGCAATCTACCCACCTTCCTCTCATATGCCAGCTTCTCTGCTAGCAGCTCATCCTCCTCAATCTCACTATCACTCCCCGTGTCACTCCCTGTCCCAATGCCAAACTCTCCACCCTCCTCCATCCCCAGCCGCTTCCCGCCCATCATAGCCACCACCTCCCTCACACCCTTCCGGCGCCCCATCCCGCGGACCTTCTTCCCAATCTTAATACTGCCATTCCCCACCTTGCGGCCAATACTCCCAAATAACCCCTGCCCGCCCGATAACAGCTTCTCGCGCTCCTCCTCCTCGCGAAGAACCTCCATGTCCCGTTCTCCGCCCGCTTCTTCTTCGTCTTCAGTGGCCTCGCTGTCGCTGTGGTGTGCGCGAGGGCGCGGGGAGGTGTTGCTAGGCACAGCGGCGTAGGCGGGCGCGTCGGCGTCGTAGGAGCGCCGAGAGAAGAGGCCTGGGGCCATGGTTGCGTTTCCTTTGTTTTCCTTTGTTTTCTTGGTAGGTTAGCAGCAGGTGGGGCGTCCTGAAGGCCTCTGTGTGTCGTGGAGAGCTTCGTGAAGCTCTTTCTTTAGGGTTAGTGGCGTGTGCAGTGAGCGAGGTGAGGTGGGCTGTGGTGGTGTCGACCAACAACTTAGCGAGCGAACCAGAGGTTAGTTAGGTTGGCTGTACTGCAGGGAAAATGGTGGAGTGGTCGGCCGGGTAAGTGCTCGGGTAGCTGGCTGCCGAAATTAGATTTCTCGGCATGATCTGCGATCTTCACAGTGGCTCACTCGCCGGCGGTTAGCGGGTTAGGTGAGATTCCCGCTGGGCTAGGGTTTCTGGAGTGGTTTAAACAGGTTTGGTATGTAGCCTTGTGTGGGGAGGAAATAGAGTGATTAGCGAATTCACCTATGTAGCTGCTGGTGGGGCTGTGCGGATGGCGTGGGGCTCAAGCGAGAGGCACAGTGCGTCATGGAATGTCACTCGCTTATCTTTGGTGCTGTGCCTCATGTGGGGAATAAGTAATCACGTCGTTGCTTGGTATCTTTAGGTGGTCATCCTCTGGATTCTAAGGTATGTGCAGGGTACAGAACTCTGCCTGTATGTACTCGGTGGGCGGAGTAAGCCGGTGCACCCCGCATACTGAAGGCTTGACTTTACTTAAATACTACGCCCATGGCTACATGTACCGGTCAGTCAAGTAACGATATCGGATACCTACATGTACCTATACTTACACACTCTACATACCTACTAATATAGCCAAAGCTAAAGGGAACCCGCCTGGAAGATTGCAGACTGAAGCTCTCTTCTAGAGTACACCGCAGTACAACGGGACCCCCGGCGCAATATTTCATGGCTACATTCGACGTCACTAGCTAGTGGTGGAGAACGTTCCATAGGTCGTACATGAGACCTAGAGCTACATACATGCTCCGAGAAAAAGGATCTCGATCTTCAACACAAGCAACCAAGCCACCGACAACTCCGTTGCGTGAATCCCGGTTTGCATGAACATCTTGTTTCTACGATGACGGGAGGAAGCTTGTATGGCTGAATCAGCCAACGTTGTGTGGTGTCGGTATGAAGTGTTCTGTCCTTCCGTTTATGGATAGCACCACCTTTATACGTTACGATTTCCTTCTATAGACTGATGGGCATTGGTACTATCCTGGCTGTCAGCTATGTATACTACAACCGTGGACTTATGGCGAGGAATAGGTGGTGTGACAAACCTATCCTGGAAACTTTGGTAGTCCTGTTAATATCATGACCACCGTTCCAACAGCTTGGTCTTGCTACAGCCATCGGAACATGCACCGCATTACAGTACCTACTTCTCCACATATATGTCCGGCTCAATTACTGTACCCAGGGTGTTGGGAAGTGATGCACATTTTGGTTTGACAAAGGCCAATTACCCCAAATGCCTGTATTTTGGCGCAACACAACACGCTCCCTAAATTCAAATTTCGGGTGTAGGGCGTCTCTACAATGGCTAAGAATTCATCTGGTGCTAATTGAATACAAAATAGCCATTCTTCAAGCAAGAAGTCACTATCCAGTAGCGAAAATCAGTGTTAAAAAAAACCAAAAAGTATCGATGACAGACCTTTTTTATTTATTTTTTCTTATGAAAGGAATCTACACACTTAAATTAACCTCAAGATAGACTTGTGTACAGATTAATTCTCTCGTGGTTATCACCCAATGCGCATCATTTTCCGACACCCTGGGTACAACGTCTTTATATTTCCACTTATACTCTACAACAGGCACTAGAAGGCGATAATGCAATAAGACTTGTTACTAAACGAGTGAAACTTAAGTTCATTACAATTGAAACATACACACACACACAAAAAAAATATATATATATAGCGACAGGAACACATCTCATGAAATCACCCAAAGGAAACCCGCACCCCACTACGCAGCCTTCTGCAACCTAACTGTCGCCAACGCCGGCGCCGTCGTCAGCGACGATACCAGCGGCACCTTCTCATACGGCAAATCATCAGCCGGCTCAATGCTCTCATACTTCTGCAGGATCCTCAGCACGGTATACGATGCCTCGGTCAGCGCATATTGCTCTACAACCCGTGTGTTAGCATATATCTCCCAACCCACAGCACATCACGGTACTACTTACGTCCCAAGCAGATTCTCGGCCCGCCGTTGAATGGAAGGTAGTCCCAGCCCTTGCCAGCGCCCTCCGCCCACCGTTCCGGGCGGAATTTGGCCGCATCGGGTCCGTAGAGATCCTCGCGGAGATGCATGGCACGGACGGAGTAGTCGCATCGCTGGCCCTTGGGTACGAAGACGGGGGACTGTCCGTCCGGCCCGCCGCCTTTGGGGAGAATAGTGTTCCTGACTGAGGTACGGCCATTGAGTGGGACAGATGGATACAAGCGGAGAGCTATCATTTTGTCAGTACTGTTGGAGGCCCGCGAAAGACGTGGGGGACTCACTTTCGTTCAGAACATAGCGGAGATAGGTGATGTCTTTGATCTCGGCGAAGGATGGGATTCTGCCGTCTTTTCCGTCGCCAATAGAGTTGAGGATTTCGGTCCGTAGCTTTGCGTAGACTTGGGGGTGTCGGGATAGAAGGACAAAGCATGCGCCGAGTAGGGACGCGGTAGTGTCCCTTCCTGCTAGTAGGATGTGCAACAGCTGATATCGTAGATACTCTACGTCCTCGTTCTGCTCCACGAGCGAGTCAAGGAATACATACTTCTTCTTCTCCGGTTGCGGCTCTGATTTCATCGAGTTCTTCTTGCCCAACGCAGCATACACAAACCGGTCCACGAGATCATGACAGATCTTGTTTGCCGCCTTAAACTCCTTGGGGTTGACCAACCAATACAGCCCTCTAGCCCTCATACGAACCATCAAATACTTCTGTGCAGTATCAAATGCTTGTCCAAAGTTCATTTGACCGTTTGCACGTTTTCCATCGTCCTCCTCCAATAGTGTGTTCACACTCTCCCCTAATAGAAATTCTGTCGCAGAGTCAAGTGTAAATCTAAAGAATAGCGGCTGTAGGTCCACAATCTTCCCAGCAGACTTATCGATCCATCCCATGAGGCGGTTAACATGGATATCAAGACTCTCGATATCACTGACCTGATCTCTCGAGAACTGAGGCCTCAGCAGGGCCCTTGAGTGCTCCCATGCCGGGCCATCGCTCGTGAAGATCCCGGGGCCCAGGAGAGGATAGAAACTGTTGTAGCGGGCAGAACCTAGGCCCCAGTCCTTGAAGTTGGTTGCAAGAATTGTTTTGATGTTCTCGGGCTCGCAGGTAGCGATGTGTGTTGCGCCGAGCATATATCCAGTGATGGTATTTCCGTACTGCTTGTAGCGGTTGCAGATGAGGGCGACGTGCTCAGAGGTGCGAGCGGCCTTGACGATACTCCACCAGTTCGGGATGCCGATCCAAGGGGAAGGGAACCTCGCGGCAGGAAGGCATTTGTTGGCGGTGGCGAAGCGGTAATTGGTGTAGGAGCGATATACGAATAGGATAAGCTTGCGGACAAAATAGAGGATGAGGAGCCCCACAGCCAACGATTTGATGCTGAGTGGGGGTAGATCCGCCATGGCCTTGATGTGAATGATGGATTGAGGAGGGGTGGTGGTTGTTGTGTGTGAGAGGTGGGTGGTAAAGCTAAGACTTCAGTGTTGTGGATGCCTGGGACTCTATATACTTTTTTTCTCGATGCCCTCACTTTTCCTTTTTGTTTTTTTCTTTTTCTTTATTCATGATCAATACGGGCATGTGCACTGCTTATAAGTAGAACCCCACCACCCCTTGCATGTATAGAGTCATGGAATTAAGATATTTCTAGAACTGATCACTCATGCGACAAATCAATGTATTCCCGACTTTCGCTTCACTATCATGAATAATCATTATATACATGTACGTATATACATTGCCGTCGTGGCCGTTAGTACGTAGTCGACGACAATCAATTCAATCCTTGGTTGCTCTACTACTATTTGAGGTTACACAAGGACCAGTGCTACGCGGCGCGCGTGGGGGGCACAGATAAAAATACAAGTAGAGTACGCAAGAAGGGCAAAGCATAATGCTTGATTCCATCAAGCACAATGCTTAATTCATTCCATCCGTCACTGACTCTTTCCGTTTCAGACTTCATTTTCCCGGTCCAAACCTCCAGCTGGCACCATGATCGTCACAGGCCATAGCGGCCAGGGGGTGGGCATGAAATGCCGTATCCAAGTCCCTATCGAATTCCCACAAACCCGATACCGTCTATATTAGGACATCTACAGGGCCTCAATCTCAATCCCTCACCCACCTTTGCATATATCGTCGGAATCGCGGCACCAGCTTGACCTACTCTACTCGCAGTGCATAAAACGGGCGGCGGGCAGACTCCGGGCGACGGGCAGCCGAGTCGCCGAATCTCTGGGCGGCGGGTAGCTGATTCGCCGAGTCTCCGGGCGTGTTGAGTATTTCAGGCCGATGGAGCAATTAGTTATCCCTTCGTGTGTTCTGCAGATGGAGGCATATTAGGCCCACGACGGCGTGGTTTCCAGTCCCTAGAATCGCCAGAAGAAGTCAAACGGTGACCTCACACCAAAACAGGTTCGCGGAGTGAGGGTTAGGTTTACTAGCCAGTAAAATACCTCTTTGAGGGATAACCTTCCTTTAGTGCCCGGTCCTGAAAACGCACTAAGGGATTTGGGAGATGGGCGATTAACCGTATATCCCCTCGTTCGTCATAGAAAAAAAGGGAGACATATTAGGCCCACAACGGTGTGGTGATATTTAGAAAATCTAGCTACCTATAGACTGTGGAGACACCAGAATATGTATCGGAGTGGTCACAGAAGGTGACTTCACAGCAAAAGAGGTTCACAGCAAAAGAGGTTCACAGCAAAAGAGGTTCACAGAGTGAGGGTTAGGTGTACTGCCGAGTAAAAGTTGCCTACTAGCTCACGGAGCCGGACTAGAGTAGGGTGCTGTGAGGTGGATGGAGTTGACTGTAGGTACATACAGCTTGCGGTAAGGTTATTGTAGAAATATGGGAGAAATCCTATTGGCTTGCCCAGCCATAGAAACCCTGTTTTTAGACCCCTGTTTCTACAATAATTCTATCTCTCACTGTAGAAGTACAGTAAGCAAGCCGTCCAAGAGTGGTATCTCTCCGGTCCCTCTTATGCAAGCTGTGATGCTGGTCGGACCGAGACCTCTTGAGGCATGGTCTGCATGGATGTGTCAACTAGAGTACCTACTCTACCTAGAGTAGTAGATCTATTTCCTGAACAATTGTCCCGTGTCTATGAAATCATAGGGTCCCATACAAAAAAGACCCATTAACATAGGTATCCAAGGCCCGAAGATATCGACCCATAGCCGGCCAAATAAACATGTGAAGGGCGAGATTACATAGATAATTATACAAAGCTCCGCGCGATTTTGTGATCCGTCGTCTGAACAAAGCGTGTCGAGTCGCACAACATTGTTCTACTGTACAGTATCCTGGGGCTGAACATGTTTTACTTGACACTGAAACATAAGAAATCGCCTATGGGGATTGACAGCTGACTGCAGAAGAAGATTTCTTTGTCTGCTTTTTCTTGGAGAACTCCGACTGGTAAAATACCCGAGCATTAGAGTACACTACGTAGGGGCTTACATACATATAGTGCAATTTTTTTGATGTTCGTGATGGGCATTGGATATTGGTTGTATCTCATCAGCTTGCAAAAAAAAAAAAACACTTGACGATGCTCTACGTACATGAAGAATAAGAATAGTACCACCTACGCTGCATGCACATACAAGTGTCCTTAATGTGAAAAAACTCTTTGATCATTTCATTAGGATATATTACAGGCCGCCGCCGCTCCGGTGAACACGATAGGAAGTAACCGCCGGCTGGGAGGCGTTTCAAAATGCACTTTAATTTCACTTTGGCTTCATTACTGACTGTACTCCTGTCCCGTGGTGGTATCGTGGCCATTTGCAGACGGGGTTCATCTTACTCATAAAAGTTTTTACAGTGGTGTCTAAGAGTAGGGCAACATGCATATAATTAATACACGATGTATCAACGGCTCAGTTGTGTGAGGTTGGACATCAAATGGAGGTTGCCTACATACATACAAGCGGAGTGCGGCCTTCGGCCGCCCAAATGTACTGAGGAAATGAGGTGCGGGCGGTACTGCGATAGTAATTTCTTAGATTATTGCTGTCATTCTGGATTATTGGGTCATCTAAACGTACAGGCATGCACTAAACCTCATCTCCATCTTTCCTTATATGTAATCTGTGATATATTAGCTCTAGTATGCACTTTAAGTCATTCAATGAGTAGCGTTAGTATGTACATGTAGTTCATGATAAAATGGTATCAGGGAAATTCAACCTTCATATATAAAAATGTAGCTGTAGTTCTGTCAGAGTTTGTTCTTTTATATCCATCAATTGAAATAGCTACACGCCTTTTAATGCCAGTTCCCTTCCATCTCGGGAGTAGTTCTTTGTCGAATCATGATATGCAATCAATATTAGAAATACATGTAGTGCGCTGTAACCAATAGGAGACGTTCCTGGTGACGACGAGGAAGACTATATAGTTTAGATACATAAGGTAGCGGCAGCATAGAAGGATAGTCGTGATCGGGGTGTGGGGAGGCTGCTCTCTCTAAAACTTCGATACTTGGATATTTGATCTGATTATGTCAAACCCCCACTGCCCGGTTCTCGTGCTTGTACCACGATGGGGATGCATACATATGCTTATTTTTGTTACCCACCAGAGTGCCCTAGTTTTGAAACTTTGATATAAACCCACGTACCCACTCGGCGCACTGTTCTCTGTTAACCAATATTTATGGCCAGGACCTACAAGCACCTAGTAGTGGAGTTTTCCATGACAATAAAATGCACGTACATAGGGCCTCTTTCTGATCCTTAACCGTAAAAATATCTCTAGCAATGATATTTAGGAAAAACCAAATACATACCACTAATAATTCGCAGGTGGCAAACCGACCTCGATCCCGACCTCAAAACCAGTTTTCCTTCCTGACTCATTACCGCCGTCGATGCTATCCACGCGCGCAGATTATCAATCAGATATAAGGCAAAACCTGCCTCCGCCTCAGGTTCCTGCAAGGCTATTCCAACCCACCCAATCCAAGCCAACAGCTCCATATATCGACCAGGAAGATTTCATGTCAGCAAGGCCTCGCGATGGAGAGAGCGTTATATAATGTAGTTTACCGGGTATCTAGAGAACTGGAATGTAACTGTGGATCTACGGTATCTACCTCGGGTATGTAGTAGTTTCACCGCGCATGAACCCCACCTAGGGGTGCGGGGAGGAGTAGATATTAAGGGGGATTAAGGGTATTACGTTGGATTTTGGATTTTGGAGGGTGTTATCGCTATCATGGGGCGTTGGGTTGGGCTGCTTGGGGGGATGTTTAGGTGGAAGCACTTACCTTTGGTTTTCTGGAATGCAAGTACGTATGAAGGTATAGAATGCTTTCATCGCATTGTGAAGTACCAATGGCAATGGGTAAGACGTTGGGTGCTGATTGTCGTGAAGGAAGTATGGGTTGGCGTGACGGTTCTAGCTATTTTGCTTTACTAAAGCACTGTCATTGCTTTCCCAACCACCGTTCCACGTCTTATCTATTGTATGGTACTTCAACCTAAATCAACTGTTCTCATGACGAAACCCCTCAAACCCCTTATAATCCACCTAACCGGACCAGAAAGGTTACAGTTGAGAATACGGGTCTGTTCTCGAGCTCGAGCTGCTATGTGCTTTTACTCTTGCTCCGACTGGGGGCCGGGTCGGGGTGAGGGTACCTTTCATGGACTTTGCAGCCAGGATATCCGCAAGTAATCCCCAACTATATTCTAGTTCCCTCGATACATTACCGCTTCCAGATAATATATCCCCTTCCCTTCGGTGACATTTATACTCAGCAGTTATGGTGCCGTCACAGAAAATCACTCGGAATTCGCCAATGCTTAAGTCGTAAAACTGTGATAACTAGGCCCCCCAAAAGATACTACACTCCCTAAAAATATTAACAAAAAATCAGGCCCGGCCCACCGCAGGATATACTCATTCACATGACAGGTAAAATAAAGAAAAATGCCATTCCGTGATAAGAATAAATCCAAACGCCCCGCAGTCACAAAAGGCAAAAAACCCAACCTCACCACTTCCCCTTCCCGCCGCCAACACCAAACAGCCCATTCTTCCTCTTCTCCACTTCCCACTTTTGTATCCAAACCTTCATTTCGTCCCTCCGCTTCGCGCTCCCTATATTGACCGTCGGGATTACCTTTACCACGTTCAGCCCACAGATAAACATAGACAGCTCCCTAAAGCTGCTATGTTCACTATACGGTACGCCAAAGCATTTGACCTCCCTCCCAGACCCTCTCATCGGCGTCATCTCCTCCGTGCTATACTCGCTTCTCCACGCCGCGCCATACAGCACCGTATTGACGGCCGGTGAGTCTGTGAGGCGGGAGTTGGGGGGTCTATAGTTCCACCCCGAGGGCCGAAAGCCAACAATGCGGTCAAAATGGGGTTTAAACGTGTTGAGATACTCCTGGAGGGTCTCGATCTGGATGTCCATGAGTGGGGTCATGTGGACTTGTGCTTCATGGGGATTACTTGTGAGGAGGTTATCAAGGATGGGGTCTTCGAGCTGGCGGCAGATCTTAAGTTTGTTGGGTGGAGCAAAGATTTTGGTGCCGAGGGCTTTGGCAATTCCGAGGCAGATGCGCTCTTTTCCGATGCTGTATGTACCGACTATGATTAAGAGACGGCCCTTTTTCTTGCTCGGTGCGTGGTTGGCGCCGGTCATGAAGCTTCCCATGGTGGAATTCTTCCCAGTTATGGGTTCTTCGACTCCAGTTTCTGCTTCTTTCTGTAGTTTCACACACATGGTCGCACAGGCTTCGATAACACCGTTCTGCGCTGGGAATGCATATTTGGGGTTTAGATAAGTTGTATCGAGGTATACCAAATCTATTTTCTGGCCCTTTAGTCCCTCTTCCCCGGGTGTTAGGAGCGGATGTCTCAGGTGTTCCGGGCTTGCCCGGAAATCACCACAATGTAGTATTCGTTTCCCTCCCTTCTTCGTCTCTTCAAATAAGAATAGCATACTCCCCGGACAATGATTCGCATCTAATCCTCTAACTCTGATTCCTTCTACTCCAAAGTCTGTCCACTCCTCCCACGGAAGCTCGCGCACGTATTTCGGGTCCACGCCCAGCTTACTCCTTACTAGATTTGCCGTGACACGAGAACAGTAGATAGGTCCGTGAGACCACTTTGAGCTAAGTCCAATATAATGATCGCTATGAAAATGAGAAAGAAAGTAGGCCTGGCAGCCGGGAACTGCGCCGTAGCGGAAAGCATCGACAGTGACCGGCCCATTGAAAAGAATTTTATAAAATGGGCATGTGCGGTCTGCAGCCTTCTTGCCCCGAGAATCTACCTCTGCTTTTGCAGCAGAAGCCCACGCTTGGCTTTCGCTATTGGTTGACATTAGTTTCGTGAACGCAGACGGTTTAGAGGAGGATGACGGAGTGATCACTGGCGCGCGGCCGAAGAACGGGGAGATCAAATTCGTGGCACCAGGTCTGGGGGATATAATCTGTTTAGACGGGGGAGTGGGGAGTGGGATTGGGGTACCATCAAGACAGTGATTGACGTGGTCGTTTTTGTCATTTTCGAGCAAGGCTCCGATATTTATTGCGCAGATGGGGCATTTAACTGCCCCACTGGGAGTGCTGTCTTCAATCTCGTCGGCTTTGGGAAGGCTCTCAAAGTATTCGAGGTCGCCGTCAAAGTCTTCGTAACCAGCCTCTGCACGAGAGGCAGGATCAAATCTGAAAGCTTCTTGTTCCTCGAAGTTCGGTTCTTCAGAGAAATCATCAATATCTTCATATTCCTCCTCTTCAAATGCACTGCCTTCTCTTTTGCGGGCTTTAGGGGTGACATTGCAGTCTTCTAGTTTTGCCTCAACTTCCGAAGGTGAACCATCCTCAACGCCTTCCTTCATAGGGCTATCGCTCGGTACTTCTGTAGTCTCTGTCGTTTCTTCCATGAATGCTTGTTCTCGAGTTCTTTTAGATGGAATTTTCTCAGATTTCCGATCTTCGGCCCTTTTCGAAGCGAACTCTCCAATACTCCTGTCTGCCCCCTCGTCAATCAACGCTGTGTCCCCATCTTCTTGGCCGTTTGACCCGACTTCCTCTGTACTTGAGCCGGAAGAGCTTCCTGGTCTTGTTTGCTTCAATTTCTTAAAGGGGGTGGTTGTAGACCCTTTCTTTGAAAATAGAAAAGATCTCGAACCATCGAGTTTCAGGCTTTCTGGATTGAATTTTGGCGGAGATCCCGGCGCCTTACTGTCTAGAGTCTCTGCACCGGCTGACAGAGGATTTCCGGGCAATGTGTCTGTCGGGGGCGCGGTCGATTCGATTTCGTCCATCATGGCCACATCAAGCTCATCGTCTTCCTTATTGTCGGCAGAGGGTGGCCAAGGTCGGCTATGCTTTACTCTCACTGGCGAGGAGTACAAATCGTCATCTCCTTTCGCCAATTGAAGCTCCCCCGCCAGAGTACGCTCTACCGACCAAGCACTATCATCGCCATCATCTTCATCCTCGGGCTCTGAAAGGTCGAGCTCGTAGCCTCCGTGCCGAATGAACAGGTCGTCATTCTGCTCACCCTTCACTACAATTGCCGCCTTGATGCCTTTCACTAAGCCCTTTGCCGGAGTCTTCACGTCTGCCGTTGGTGTAGCGGGCTTGAAGAAACTTAAAATGGAGGTATTCCCACTCTTCTTCACCCCTGACTTTCCCGTAGACGTCGCCGGTTTGAATGCCATCTTCTTCCCATTCCCGACTGCATAAGGCGTCAACAACGATTGCTTCGGTTTCCCCGTCGTCTTTCCAGGAGTCTTCGCCGGGGTTCGTGTCGGTTCTGGTGCTATCTTTTGCCTCTTCGGTGAAGGTGGCGAGGAGGTTATCGGTATTTGGCCACTATTGGCGACAGCATTTGTCTGCGGAACTGGCACTGGTACTGGCGAAGATGGAGACTCGTCCTCCGGTAGGGGGCGGGGCAGGGCGGTGATGTGGGGTTTTCTGAACATTGATCCGATGACGTTGAAGATGTCGTCGACGCGAGGATCTTTGGGTTTGGGTCTCGCGTTTTTGTGCAAGGAACAGTCGACCACGCGTTGAGTGCTTCAGATGGGGGAACCTCCGTGTAACCGCTGTAAGACATGCATTCACAAAAAAAAAAAGTAGATCTCCTCATAAAAGTGCAACATGAATCGGCGGGCTTGATTTTATACTGTCGCCATTGCACTTTTCTTTTTGATCAATTATACTAACTACATGTACTTAAATTGTTTATATTTATCGCAACAGCCAAAAAGGAACCAGTCACGCTTAATCACTCGCTCATGCCAAGCTTGTGTAATTGCATGCAACGAATTACATTTAGTACTCGTAGTCAGTACTATTAACGAGAAAATAGAGCAAAAGTATTATTTACTTCACAAGTGATGAGAAAAACATACAATTGACAGATCAGAGAGAGAAAAGGTGATAAAAAGCCAATCACAACATTCCATAGATACTTTTGATTATGGTAGAAGCCCCAGAAGGAAATAGAAACAACCGGTCACACCGACCAAACCCCACACATCACCAGGCGTATATATCACTGCCATCGGATCCCATGATTATCTAGAGTAGTGACAAGCGTATGGCCTCGGCTAGATCACTATCCTCTCTCTCCTGACGCCTTCTTTCCTCGTCCTCAACCGAAGAGCTTTTAACTCCTTCCATTTCTTCACTCGCCCCTAACCCTCTTTCCTCAACATTCGCATCCACACGAATTTCCAGCCCGTGTGTGATACCACCATTGTCAGACGCGTATAGATAATCGTCGGTCTTGGGATCGAAAAGCAGCTCCTGGGATTCATCGGAATCAAGCTGGTTGCCCGGGTATGGTGGGGGCTCGGAGTCAAATTCTTGGGCAATCGCATCGACATTCAGCCTGCTCAAGTCGCTGTTCAAGATAAGCATATTGATTATCTTTTTCTTTAGCTCCCATACCCCCAGGTTGATTTCAATCAAGTCCTGCTTGATCCTGGTCATCAGGCACACAAGATCCAAAACCCGCTGCCCTGGACATTTTCCTTTGACGGCCAGGTCCTCCAAGTCTTTGTAGGCATCAATCAAACGGCGGCATAATGCATCGACTTCGAACCGCTGAAAAGTCTGGAGCTGCACGTACAAGTCATCCAAGTCGGAGACAGTCATGACTAGGGACTCAGCGTCAATTTCTAACTGAATGAGAAATGTTTGCAGATGAACGACCAAGCTGGCCACCGACCCCACTTCCTTGATAATACGGTCAATCGGGGCGTTCTTAGGGTCGCTCGGGAGCGAAGTATGACTTAGAGGGGTTCCTGGAGGATATTTTGGAGGAGGAGGGGGTGGCGGCGAGTCAGGAGGTGGTGACGGTGGAGGGGGTGGGGGTGGTGTTTCCGGCCTGTGACGGGCAGTTGATGGGCCAGCACCACCACAGCAATCCAGAGTGATACACTTTAAATCGCAACAACCCATGATGAAGGATTCGATTGAGCTTGGTTTAATGGTGGAGATGTTTTGATGATGAATATGAGAGCTTCGAGGGATTAACTGGAAGGCTCTGGATAGAGGAAGAAAGAGTATCGTAGAAGCTAAGTACTTTTACAGATATCTTCTCAGGAAATGGTTTGATAGTGGTGGAGAGTATATGAGTAATACTTCGATGAGAAGACTGGATTTGCCTGTATAGAAGAAGAATTATCGAAGAAGTTTTGGTATACGTTGCTCGAGGGGGACAGAGGAGGAGAAGAAATAATGTGTTCTTATTACGCAGTTCTTCTAAGTTAGTAAACTGCGCAGGCCAGAGACTACATAGACAATATAGTACTGTTATAATTAAGCGGCATGTTGACGTATTCGGTAGTAATCATGCTTGAACTCAAAGAAAAATAATTCACCATTCTGTACTCTACGATCTTACATGGCTATTATCAAACATTCTTTGTTGTAATTTCAAGGTTAACATAACCTCTACTTTTTGGGCTTTCCAAGTAATTTAGTATTGAGAATAGAGAAGTTACTAATCTCATACAACACAGTATTGTATAATATCCTCAGCTTGAGCATTTGAAGAAAATAGTCTTCCTTGGTGGGTGGATCGGGCCAAAACAAATTCATTAATCATCTTGATCCGCTGCTCTCAATATGAAATACACAGGTAACGATTCCAGCAAGACCGTTCACTCCAAAATAGAGCTTATAGCTGAAAGAGTTGCCTTACTAGGACTGCCCCGTTTACAGCTCGCTCTTGATCGAGTATATAAAGACTTCTTTCGCATCTACACCCTCGATATACCTCACACCCATTATACTATGATCAAATTATGAAGATAAATTTCGCCCAAAACCAGGACAATACGCGAGAATAGTAAAGTCTAGGTAATCACAGTGCGTATCATATAATATCACTCGACGCCACGCGCCACCGCGCCATAAATATTTGTGGCGTTCGTTCAAGATTTAATTAATTGAACCTCGAAGAGTTTATAGCGACCCCATAAGATATAGAATTCATAACATAGAAAAAAACTCCAAGTAGCATCAAATTTGAACTTCCCTGCCCGCCTATCGAAACCTCTCAACTCATCTATTAAAATCGGCGTATTGTTTGCATCACTAAATTCTATCGACACACACGCGCCCCTTTGCCTTGCATGAGAGGAAGAACTGCCTTATAAACAGTTGGTGTACGAGTGCACATACATGATACATCTTCATACTGGCTGTATCGATCGACGCTGGAACTGGAACTGGGGCCGGAGTCGCTTCCAACGTATGTGTCGGCACATGTGGTTGCATCATAGATATACTCACCCGCGGCTGTGGAGTGATCATGGAAGTCCTCAAAGAGTTCGGCAAGATGCTTGTCGTGTTCCTAAGCCTGACTTTAGTAAAAATGTTCGTAAAAGTGATGGGTAATACCAACTAACCCACATGACTTCCTCTTGATTCGAAGTCTTAACACTCAATTTAAAAGCCCGCTCGGGGAGATCTTGCCCCCACGTCACAAACGAACCCTCGAGTTCATATGTCTCTATTAGCAGACTTTTGAGCCTCTGAAGGCAGTCAATCTCATAATCTTCCAGCTCTTTAGGGAACAGGCCTGTGAAAATATCTATGTATGGATCTGGGATAGGAAGATACGGAGATATTATGGGATTCTGTAGCCTTTTGAGATGTGCTAAAAGTTCGGATTCAATCTGAGTGAAGGCTTTGTCTAGCCAGATCTTGTACTGGGTAGCAAGTTGGGCGCGCCGTATGTGACGGATGAAGTCATAGGTGTCTTTAAGAGACGCACCGATTTCTCGAGGGGTACGGTGGTCCGGAGCAGGAGCGGGTCGACGATTGGTTCTCAAGTGCGCGTAGATAAAAAAGAGGGTAATGATGAAGAATACAGAGAGCTCGATGTAGATATCGCAATTACTTGGAATTTGTAGGAAAGACATCGTGAAGACCTATTCAATTTATTGAGGTTACTTTATGTGTTGTTAGACAAAAAAAAGAAGCAATAATTAAGGTTCCACGTAGAACATTTATAAACTAAGTTTAGGCAAAGAAATTGACAGGTGGTACAATCATGCGATAACTTGTATCTGAGCCCGGGTACGGGAACGTGCAGTTTTATCATGTGTCGGTGTGTTTCGTGGTTTTAATTTTTATAGCGTTTGCAGAAGGAATTACCATTTGATATCAGCAAACAATTTGCCATGTCAAGATTTAGGGGAAGTTTAAACAAACTTGAACGCATGGTCATGAATGACCACCATGAACTGGTGATGAACTTTTGTCATTCTTAACACTCAGTCATAAAGAATGTAGATCAGTATCAGGAGCCGCCTACTCCGGCCAAGCCCTAGACTCAACTGTAGTCCTAGTACTCATTTTCCTCATAGAACACTGAAACGGCAGGGGATGATCCGATCCTAGATTACAGGAGACCATTTTTCGTTATCGGCTAATTCAAATCATTCCAAGAGGTAAGTTTATTAAGTGCGTAAGATAGTAGCTATGTAGGTACATGTATTCAACTTGATATATGAGTCTAGGTCTTCTTAGACTGCTGCCTAAGCTGTGCTCCGGCCACAGCCAATCACTCGCCGCGCACCTCCTGTTGGCCAGGGAACCGGCGCTCAGCCCGCCAAGCCAAAACAACATACCCCTTCCACGATCACGGGCCGGGCACCTATCCCCCACAACACTCCCGAGGCCTCGGTACCTCTCCCAAACCCCAACCTCACCCTGTCGATCCCGCGGTAACCCCCGGTTTCTTATTCCACTACACTTCCAGCTCCTCCAGAAACAAAATCCACCTACAGAAAAAATGGCACCAGCTCTCCACCCAGCTGCCATGGCTGCCATGGCCGCAATGGCTTCTTCAGCTTCAGCTTCAACACCGAAACAACAAGCTCCACCGCGTCAACCACTCCGCAAGAAGCGAAAAAATAGATCACCGATCGTGGCGCGACTGGTGGTTGATGAGCTCCGTGGCGATGTCGGATATGTCTCTGAGGATATCTGGAGAGATGTGTTTGGGTTCATCAAGCAGGAGCCTAAGAAGCCCGAGCAACATCCTGAGATTATCAATGGGGAAACAATCATGATTGATGATGGTAAGCTATCAACTGTTACTTGTTTTCCTCTAGGAGCTCCAGAACGAATCGTGAATAAGTTCTAACAGCTATACAGAGGAGCCCGAAGAAGAACCAATACCCCCGACCCTCCACATCGCCGTAACACCTCTCAGCTCAGCGCGCGAAGCAGCTTCCAAAAAATGGTCTATCTTCCCCGTGACCTTCCTTCCCGATAGCTCGCAATTTATGCGCCTCGCGCCCTCAACAATCATGCTCCCTAATACTATGACTCTTCCCCCACAGCTTTCCGCAGCTGGTGAAAAGGGCGCGAAAGCCCTCGGGGTGCTCGTAATGGATGTAGTCCCTGTAGGCATAGAAACCGTGATCGTGAACGTCCGCGTTCCGGCCAATATGACCTCGCAGTACGACCAAGACCTCGAAGACCGTGTTAAGGAGGCACTGGCGACGCAGAAAATTGTCCGCGCAGGAGACGAGCTACCGTTGCGGTATGCACATGGAAGGATTGAGAGAGGCCAAGCAAAGATTGAAATCTGTGAGCCAGTGGAGCAGGGGTTGATATTGAAGGAGACGAAAATAGTAATTTTGAAAGAGAGAGAGAGTATGCAGAGAAAACAACGAGCTGCGGTCGATGGGATTACAGTTTTAGGTGGTGGACGCGAGCATGATGGGGGCTCTGAAGGTGAAGATTTAGGTGACGAGGACGAAGGCGACTTAGAGTTTTCCACATTCTTGTCTTTGCCCAGTCCGGGGCCCATCTCTTACTCGAGTATGAACTCGACGCCATACATGCGCAATGGGTCCATTTCTCCAAACTCGAGTTTACAGTCGAGCTCGGGCGGACAAGGGAAGGAATTTAAGACCCAGTCGCTCACAACCCCGATACCGTCGGGGCTTCTATTCCCCAAACCAAAGGACTACGATGATGATGAAGCACGAGTTTTTGTAAAAGTAGGAGATTTGGCAAAGTTGGGCTGCTTCTCTGGTGACTGGGTTAGGATATCAATTCCATCACCACCTGTAGAGGGCACTGCTGCAACGTCAATCAGGACTGCCGCCGAAGCGGTAGCACGGGGGCGTGGGCTAGCAGTTCCTACAGGGAGAGTTGTAAACGGAAGTAGGCCGGTCTCGCGGAATCAGCGTGATAATTCCTCAATGCGGAGCGACGACGCAGAACTTGGACGCCCGGTAAAGATCTACTCGCTTCCTGAGGGTTGGGAAAGCTCTTCAACCAACGAAAAGAAGAAGAAAAGGCGTAGTGAGAAAGGAAAAGAGATGGAGAGTGAGCTAAAAAAGGAAGTTAGTGTCGTCTACCTTTCGCCTATCCTCCTTGCAAACATCTCCCCTTCAGTATCAATGGCTCCGGAGGTTGTATTATCACCATTTGAGATGCCCACCAAGTCTCTACGTGATCCGGGCCCTACTTCTCCTCCTCCGGCCAAGGAGGTCACACTACTACGCATCGCATCACCTACCTCAACAGACCGGGCACTTCAACCTTCGCTCCTACTTCAACTAAAGTCCTACTTTGAGTCCTGCCGGCGAATCGTGAAGAAAGGCGACGTCATTGGTGTCGGAATTGACGAAGTCCTAGCTAGAAGTCTCTACGGAGATAGCGGTGAAGACGGCATCACGGAAGAACTTCTCACTGGTAACGTTGAAGAAGGTAAAGGCGGTAAGAAGACCTGTGTCGCTTGGTTCAAAGTCGGCAATATTGTCTCTACCTCCGACGATAACCCGGGCGACCGAAGTCCGATTGGCCGCCGAGGTACAGACCGAAAAGAAGCAGCAGAAGAGAGTGCATGGGGTGGTGTAGTGTTTGTCGACCCGGCAACTACGCGTATGGTGCAAGCTGGCTCAGAGAAGCGGAAGATTCCACCTACAATGTCCTCGACATGGGAGTATTACCTTAGGTTGTCGCCGCCACCAGTTAGGTTGGCTATTGAACAAAACAAGCCCTCTGCATTGGTTTTCCCAAACCGCTATATTAATCAGACGCAGCGGCGGTTAAGGGAGCTGGTATCTGCAGCCACATCTCCAAGGGCCATACAGCTGGGGTTGCAGCCTATTGCAATTCTACTCACAAGTACACAAAGAGCAATCGGTAAGAGGACGATTGCAATGAGGGCGGCATCGGACGTGGGAGTTCATGTTTTCCATATTGATGCGTACGACATCATTTCAGACGGCGGTTCGGGGGATGTTAAAACAGAGGGATTCCTTAGGGCAAGAGTGGATCGAGCTCTAACGTGTGGAAAAGAGAGCTGTATTTTACTCTTGTCCCATATTGAGGCCCTTACTGCGGCGAAAATGGGCGAGGTCTTGAAGGATATCGTCGGCCAGTTCAGGATTGTTGTTGCGACTACCACAGAAGTGGACAAGCTGTCTGACAACGTACGCAATGTTTTCACGCATGAGATGGACGTTGGTGCACCTGATGAAAAGGAGAGAGCAGGGCTCTTGGAGGCAATTGTCGATGAGCGAAGAGTTAGACTTGGGAAAGAGGTTGAGCTTAGTGGTGTCGCAGTCAAGACTGCAGCTTTAGTAGCCGGCGATTTAGTCGACGTCGTCGAGCGAGCTGTCGCAGCTAGCGGTGAGCGAGTCTCAAAATTAGCAAAGAAATGCCGCGCAAGAATAAAGAACACGGGATCTGTCGAGGGGATAATTACGATCCAAGATCTCGAGATCGCTGGAGGCGATGAAGCAACTAGCATCCTCAAATGCGATTTCGAAGTCGCAGTCGAAGCTGCGCGCCGTAATTTCGCTGATTCTATTGGCGCTCCAAAGATCCCTAACGTGTCTTGGGACGACGTTGGAGGACTTGCTAACGTTAAGAGCGCCGTTATGGAGACTATTCAGCTACCACTCGAGCGGCCAGAGCTCTTTGCGAAGGGTATGAAGAAGCGCTCCGGTATTCTCTTCTATGGGCCGCCGGGAACAGGAAAGACCCTCCTTGCTAAAGCAATTGCAACGGAGTTCTCACTCAATTTCTTCTCCGTTAAGGGGCCGAATTGCTGAACATGTACATCGGAGAGTCCGAGGCCAATGTACGCCGTGTCTTCCAACGTGCACGTGACGCAAGACCTTGCGTGGTATTTTTCGATGAGTTGGATTCAGTCGCGCCCAAGAGGGGTAACCAGGGTGATTCTGGCGGTGTTATGGATCGTATTGTGTCCCAGCTGTTGGCAGAGCTGGATGGTATGAGTGAAGGTGCTGAGGGAAGTGGTGGTGTTTTCGTGATTGGAGCGACCAACAGGCCCGATTTATTGGATGCAGCACTACTTAGGCCGGGAAGATTCGACAAGATGTTATACTTGGGTGTCAGTGATACACATGATAAGCAACTGACCATCTTGGAGGCGCTGACAAGGAAGTACGGACACAAATTCTCTGACACTTGGTATCTGTTATTGACCTGTGGATAGGTTCGCGCTTCACCCTACGCTTTCGCTGAGAAGAATAGCGGAGACTTTACCATTTACGTATACCGGTGCAGACTTGTACGCGCTGTGTTCTGACGCAATGCTGAAAGCGATCACTCGTCAAGCCGGAAGAGTAGATGAAAAAATTAGAATCCTCAATAGTCAGAGTGGTGAGAGTATGAGCACGGCCTACTTTTTTGACCACGTTGCAACTGAAGAAGATACTACTGTGCTTGTCGAAGAGGGCGACTTTGAAGAGGCGAAGAACGAACTCGTGGGGAGTGTTAGGTATTACCTCCGCCATCTGGAAAGAATCCTTTTTGAGCGATACTAATTGAAATAAAACAATAGTGCCAAAGAACTCGAGCATTACCAACGCGTGCGCGAACAGTTCGAAAAGGCTGAAGACGACGAAAGCAAAAAGAAGTCCCAAAACAAAGTGAAAAGCAAGGCGATTGAAATGAGCGTGGATGAAATGCCAGTCTACGACAACGGCAAAGCTCTCTTACTCGACAGATCTGGGCAACCCCTTGCAGACTCAGGTCTTCGCGCACGTCTCCAGCTTGATCTTGGCAGCGACACTGGCCCGGCTACTGGAGAGTGGGAAGACTCTGCAGCTGGTGATGACGAAGAGCTTTATGGCGGGGGTTCGTGAATCGAGGCCTGTGATGTTGAAGTGATAGGTGCAATGACCTTTCCGAGGGCCAGGCGAAAACTGGTGGTTAGGGACCTGGTTGAGTATTGGGAGAATGTGTTTGCGGACAAGTTTGACTAATTGATTAAAATATATATGGATTTTATTAATAGGATAGGATGGAGGGTAGGGTGGATTTATATACCAATTATGTAATTATAGAAATTTTGCATAGAATACTACAAATCTTGAGCCGGCCACTTTCTTGTAAATGGTGGGGACGGCCGATTGGGCCACATGTTATATACTTTACTTCTGACCGATGACCTATGTAAACTTAATCATAACATGATTCTTCTATTATCAAAGCAGCGGCACCCTTTCCTCCTTGTATGCTGGTTATATGTAATCGAGTGATCTTTGGTGATGGGAAAAACCTCAAGAGGGTCATCGTTGGCCGCTGATGCCCATCCAAATGGGTACGTTCGGTAGAGACGAAGTTGAAACGAAATATCTTGACATTCGGTCCTAAAACTCCCAAACTGCAAAGCTCAAGCCAGCTGGCAGAAAGAAACAAAACTAACTGGCTTTAGGTGGTTATTAACTGTCCCTGCAGGCGTAGAGGTCCGGGGTGATGGCTAGGTTTAGCGTTTACTAAAGCGAAATGAATTTATGTGTAAGTACACACTCTGTCCTATCGACTATGTATTCATATGGACCTCTCTGTCTGTCAATAAAATCAAAAACATATTCATCTCATTCTCTTCAGCAATAATGCACATATCCTCCGCATACTAAGTAAATTAATCGAACAATTCATTATACTCACAGATCATTATCGAGTAATATTCTATAATTTGCTAAATTAAATTATCCCCAAGAACCCGGAAGGTAGGGTGGTGTTTTACACAAACCTGAAGCAACTTTCCGATATACCAGCTACGAGAGGTGCACAAAGGAAATAATTACCTGGAATAGATGTTTGTCGATTTTTGATCTGGAAAATTACGTTTCGCTCACCTTAAGTACATAGTGGCCCCTGTTTCCAGAGTTTCGAGGTTTATCATCGTTAGCCTCCGCCTATCGCTGTCCACGGTTTAAACCCAGTCTTCAATACATTTCCAGCAGAACACCCCACCAATTCAATATGTTTCTTCAGAGTAGACGTTTTATTCTCGGCCTTTACTACGTGTTTGGGATCAGTTGCTACTCAACACCATCGATGATAACCCCTGCACCACTTGTGAATAGACAAACCGAAGAATTATCATCTGACCAGGTATTATGTGGGCTGAATGGCCTTGTTCCTAGGAATCAGTGTTGTGACCAAGAGCAAGGATGTAAGCTTCTATGAGAACATCATTTTTCACTTTATTAAAATCTAGAACTGACTCTAGGGGCGTGTCAAATGAGCGATGGGTACTGTGGTATTGATATTACCCCTTATTCTACAATTCTGGGTTGTTTTACTGGGTTCGAGCCCCTCAGATGTATACGCAGCAAGCGCGATGCACCAGTATGTTCATATGAGTACATGTATACTGATTCATCTTTAGTCCGGGCCGTCGAGTGCCGGCAATTGGCCAAGGTTGTTCAAGCTGGATGTCTGATTCTCGGCGTTACATTAGAACCTCGAGTTCGACAATGAAATACTTTAGTTGGTGAGTTTTCATCTACTGGAAACCTTTTATCGCTACATGTAGCTATATATATTAGACCTTATAGCTATAGTGCACCGTGTGAGTATATAATATACATATATACTGACACACATAAAGTGTAGATAAGAATTTCACTCGTTGTAGTTTGTTCGTTCAATCGGGATATACCTCCTGGTTTACATGCGAAACTTCGGCTTCAATTACATCAACTTTTGAAACAGTTATAATCATAACTATCACCCCGACAGATGATCCATTTACAGTTACATGGACAATAACATCTACAAATTCAGCCGGCACATTTAGTTCGACTACTGATTCTCCCGAACTCTCCAACCTACCAACATCAGGGTCTATCATTATGGACACGAAGCCGATTGATGCGTACAGAGTACTGGGCGTTGGTATTATAGTTGGCCCTTGTATAGGAGGATTGATCATACTCGGAATAATAATCACCCCGGCCTTCTTTCTACGGCAAAAGGGTCTAAGACGCGGCCTACTACTAGCGAACCCAGGTGCACTTGAGCCTCCTATTGAACCACAGGTACAGCCGTGTATCGAAATTCAAGGCAATGAACAAACTATCATTTATCACGAACTGGAAGGCGGAAACCAGGTCTCCCTGCCCATACCATCGAAGGGCTCTGCGATAGTAGTTGATTGATCCACTGGGTGTTATGTATTGTACCTACTCTATTCTGCAAAATATATTAGTCCCCGCATTGATTTAGCCAAATTCGAAATCTGCCTCAAGAACTGTGCGAAGCCGTTTGATACCACTTGCTCTTATTGTAGTCCAACCAGCCAATAAACACATTTCTTGGCATACTTATTACCCCTGTCTTGTGCCCCAGATTATGCAGACATCTGCAACTTTACCCGTCTAAGTTATCTGTAATTGGACAGCTTCCCCCTCCTCGAGTGATTGTACGTGACGCACTGCAAATAGAGTACGTACGTGTATCTACTCTAGTATCTACTACCCTGATTTGGGTCTGCTGCTGCATAGTGATTTGTCCGGGATGCTCATTCTCACCGCATGATGATGATTAGAGTGCCTCAAATACATGTATCTTGTTAGACTCATAGATCAATGTACCGGGCGTTGAGGGTAAATACGAAGAATCTGATAAGGGAATCTTGCTGTGAAATAGGTGTGTTTATCTTATCAGATTCTCGGTATTTATGGTTGACCCCCGGTACATGTAGGTATCCCCCAGAATCCCAATAAGTATTAGTTTGGTGGTACAACTGCCGTTACCGCCCGGCAATAGTAGATAAATGAAGACCTGGTATATATCCGTCGAAGGTATCAAAGCGTATTCCATTTAGAGCAAGGTCGTGGGAACTTAATTGGTTGTATTTCCGTGAGCTTTTTGGAGCTAGTAACCAGGCCTAGGTGTTACTGAAGTACAAGAGTTCAAGTCCTTGGCAGGAAATTCAACCAAAACCCTGCCAAGTCTTGAGGCACTTTCCCATACTAGTAGTGTACGTTTATTATGTTTATTCCTTTAGAGTTAGACTTAGTTAAGGTTTGTTTCGCTTGAGCCTTTGGGAAAAGACTTCAACTCAAAATCCTAACTACCTGATTGACCGATTGGGGAATCAGGTTACCGGAAAAATGAGCCAGAGTCTTTTCGCAAAGGCTCATACCAACTTAAATCAGCCATCGTGAAAAAAGAAGGAAAAAAACATAAAATATATATTGTAAATTAAGCCAAGTGATGTCCACGATCCCGAAGCCGACCTACCCAGAAATGAAAAAGAAAAAAAAAGAATACATCCTATGATAAATACGTAATGCTCAACCCAATATCAAACCTAAAAATAAACAGGTAAAAAAAAAAAGACTTCATAAGCGTCATCATAAGTAAATAGCTTCCAACCTCATAAGGACATGACAGATATTTAGGTACAGTACAGTATTATTTGAAACACCCTGAAAGAATTCCGCGGAATCCAAGCAAAACAAACCCGTCCAGTGCAAGCAAGAGTATAAACCATGATTATACAGACAAAGAAAAGATATCCAACCAACCAACCGATCCTCACTCCGGTCCAATAACGATCGCAGTAAATTCCGCTTAATTCCGCCAGAACAGATCTTCAAACAAATTCTTAACAGAAGTGGCCCGGATCCACGAAATGTTGAGAGTGTTGATTGTATGCAAAATCACATCCCTAAAATGCGGTAACGCTGGTAAACTTTGTCATCCCAATCCCTTTACTCGTTGTCTTCAACGCCGCCTTTCCGCCCTCCCTCCGGCTGACGCTACCGACACTACTAAGTAACCCGCCTTCCCCCTTCCCGACTTCCTTGCCCAGAGCATACCCAGCAGAGAAAGTAATGGCGCTCAAGACAATTATTGCGCCGGCCGAGATAGCTAGAGTCATATACGAGAAGTTTGATAAACTCATGACTTCATTCTCGTTGCTGGTTTCTCGTGTCCGAGAACGTGATCTTCGCTTTGATTTTGAAGATGATGATTTCCCTTTCAACTTCTTAGTATCTTTCATGGCAAGGCTCTCAGATGATTGTGAGCGTGATGCAGGAGCTGTTGATGTGGATGTAATTGAAAGACTTCGGGGTTTCGTGGTTGAGTTACTAGGTTCACCACTTTCCCTCACAAGCGTCAGATTATCAACTGCTACCCTACCACCTTGTTGTGGGGACTGGCTTGCTGGCAATATTTGACTTGACTTTGGAAGTCCCCTTGCTGCCGCTGCACAACTCAAAAGTGTTGACAATGAAGCCCTTAGAGCTGCGTCGTGGTCAGCCGCATGATTTGGTGCGAACGAGTTGAACCCATAAGCATGACTACGGTTTTGGCCATTATAACCTGTGGATGCCGATGGTGTGGTTTGGGCACGCCTATATGGCGGGCCCGGGCGCTGCGGCGGTACTGAGGACGGAAAACCTGTTCGTAGTCTTGCGTTGGAGTCTGAAGCTGAAGCTTCATCATCACTCTCATCGTCGTCGTCGTCCTCGGGAGAGGAATAGTCGTCAGAGCTCATAGTCATTGAGTGGATCATTGTCCCCATATCTTCACCTTCGCTCTCATCATCGTCCTCTCCTGACGACTGTTCTGGTTCAAATACAGGCACCTCTTGGGAACGTGCAGTTGGTCTAGCTGTTCCTCTGCGTCGCCGACGAGTCTGCGAGATGCGAAGGCCTGCGGTTATGATATGGTCGTCGGAGGACGATGTATATTGGCTATCGCTAGGGTGCGAAGCTACTTCAATCCAAGAATCGGATTCAGCTACGCGCAGACAGTAATTAGTTAGCTTAGCTTATCGACAATCACTTAGACGAAAACAGTTGAGTAATCTACAATTAAGCAGATACCAATTATTTCTTTAAATTTTTTAAATGAAGCCCGTTAAAGAGATAAAGCGCGAGCAGGAAAAAAAACTGTAGAAAACTAACCTCCATTGTTCACCGGTGCACTTCGAGCTCTCGAAAAGCTTCCCCCAGTTGCAGATCTCGCTGCCCCCGCTCCTTGTGTCGAAAACACCGATGGCTGCATCTCGATTTACACTATTCTATTCGCCGACCGTTGGTTGATTAAGCGATAATGAAGTTAAGCTTCGTCTTTGATCAGGAGCTTTAAAAAAGAAAAGATTTATGGATTGAGCAGTAGGTTGAAGCGAAGAAGGAGAAGAAGGGAATAGTTGAATAGATAAGAAAGAAGGCCCCTTCCAACGTTCCTGACCGTCCTCTTGTCTGTGCTTTATGTAAACCCCCCTAGATTCCACGTGTACTTGTCGTATTTCCTTTCTATGTGCTGCTCCAGCCAACCCAAGCCTAAAAAGCCGCAACCGCAAGCAAGCCCCGGGAAAAGAGAAAAAGGGGGGCAGGCAGGCAAGTAGAACGAACACGACAACCAAGCCCTCTCTGAAACTGAGCTGCCCCAACAAATCTGTACCTGTATGTCGTCACAACGTACCGCTATGTTCTCCCCCCCACGCCTGAGCTCGATATATTCACTCTTTACTTTTTCTGCCGACTCAAGTAGCTTTGCGCCCGTTCTCGTACGAAGAGTCGAAAGATATGGGTGCTTCTGGGGAGAAATTGGGGGGGAGAAGAGTGCCAGAGTGGAGTGAGATGGGATGGGGGAGCTCTGCTGCTCTGGTTCATGTATGGCATGCTAGCTAGGATATTGAAGGTAATCGATAAGCAATAAGCAATTAGCACCTGCGCCCTCCCAGACGACTCACGGATTGGTCTAGTGACCTTATTATCCCTACTATCTGCTTACGTCATGTACTCACGCGCAAACATACAAGGACTCAGGGCAGCCTCACAGCCAATAAACGCTATTAAGCACTGCCGTTAACCCTGATATCATCATCTTCCTGAGGCCGACCTTCTGCTAGATCTATTTTATGTCTTGAGGAAAGACATCATTTTGAGTGATCGAGGGGCTTGGCGGTAGCTATTAGGCTACCACAAAGGTCGCATGCTCTCACTACTTTCAAAGGGTATCCAATCAAGTATTCTCCATTGCTAACCGAGTTCCATGGCTTGCGCAACTGAAGCCAGACCGGCGAACAGGATTCCTGAATATCATATCAGAGACCGAGTGATTGACTGTGAAATACCTATAGCGGTAGTGGGGGCAGTGCCTTATCTGAGAACCAAACCCCACGGACAGGCATCATCCTGGGAAGAGTTTCGAGCTCCTTCTTACGCGTCCGGTTAATCTTATCAGATTAAATGTTGGGATCAGTCACAACGTTGGGGATATGATCTGATTAGATCCGGAGATAACACCGTGAGCGGCTTAAGAGAATCCTCAACAGTTAACCAAATTATTAGACTAAGATCGAGCTTTCCTTTTAAGAAAGCTTCTAATGTGGAGTCATAAAATGCCAATGCAGATCGCTAGGGTTTATAGGTATCATGTTGCTACATACGATAGAAAACAGGCAATTCCTGTTTGCAGCAATCAAGTCTGGTTCGACCTCGGACTATGTTAAGCTTGAGGTCTGCGGGCTTCATTTCTGGAATCGTACCATACTTGCATGGGCATATGCACATCTCCGGGAGCTATACATCTGATCACCCAATCATATGTCGATCAAACGTATAATTTATATCCTAGGGCATGAGACGATCCCAATAGTATTTGCGTATGTGCCGATAGTGCAATAAATTCATACCGGCACTAGAACACTTATGAGGATGATAAGCGTATTCGTATTCTAGAAGCATTATAGGAAATTATTTCATATCTCGAAAACTAACAACTAGTCGGCTCGGAAAGCTTCCCTCGGGATGAGGAATCGTAATTTGATACTATATACATCTGAGTTACTATGGTTTCTGAATGCTAATTATAATGTCAGGAGATAGTTAATTGCTAGTATAGGTAGAGCCACATACGAACGAAGGTATGGACGGATCAGATTGCCAGGGTAAACACAAAAAATGTAACACGGAAAATCCAACGAGCCTGGAGCTTTTGAACAATTGAATTATATTAGAGAAATCTCGAAAGTAGCTTCAAAGATCCTCTTTTTGATCATTATACTAGAACGTGTAAGAGAAAACACCAAGACACCCGCAAAAAGCACCATCGTAAACCCTATCTAAACCTCAGGACCTCGCAATACTGCCTCCCAGTATCTAACACTGTCCACTCTTTTCCCTTCTCGTAACCCTCTGCTGGCGCAAACGTAAATTTGCCTTCGGGAGGATCCAGGCCCATCACGAAATCCCTAATTATCGCCTCTCCCTGCTCTATGTACGAGCAAGGACCATATTCGACTTCGACAATGCATCCCTTCATCTGATCTCCCTGCGTCAGGTCCGCAATCCTCACCCGGAAATCATCCACCTCATATCCCGGCCCCAAAGCTCTCAGCGTTTGCCTTGGCGTCCACATTGGTGCCATCTTGGACCGTACGATGAGTTCAAATTCACGCTCGCTGGTTACCATCTGTTTATCGGCGAGTACAAAGAGCATGAACGGATGGTAGGAGAGATCAAGCCATTGCATAAACTTGTGTTGGGGGGCTTGCGGGGTCGGCTGCGGTGTAGTAGGTGAAGTCGGAGTCGCGGGTACCGGGGGTGGATTCTCGCGCAGCAGCTTGTGCTCGAGGGTCCAGCGGGCTAGGGGGAAGGGTTGATGGCGTTTGGAGAGCCGATCGGTGAGGATTTGAAGCGCGGGGGGATTGGTGGGTTCGGAGATGAAGTATAGACTGTAAGAGTATTAGAAGCTGAAGGTTTAGGCGCACAATGTAAGGGAGCGATAAATATACATACCCAGTTACAGGCATTGCGTCAAAGGCAGGTTTCTCGCGGAGGATGAGAGCTGTACGCGAGCTAGGTGTTGTAGAAATAAGATGCGGCTGAGCCAAGACTAGACCCCACGCTGTTCGATTTGGTAACTGACTCGCATCGGATCTAGAGTAATTTGGGGTATCTACATGTAGTCTATCTACCCTTGGCAAGTTCGCAGCTCCATCGGCTATCATCAATTGCAAGACAATTATCATTCATGAAGATAGTGGGGCACCAAAACGGTATGTGTACCTGAACTCCGAATCGGGTCGGATCTCTTCCTCACTCCTGATCCTTCAAAGGCCAAGCTAGTCTGCAGCCATTCTACCGCTCATTACTACATGATGGTTCCTAACCACTACGGCTTAATTAATTCGAGTTGTTACATCTAACTATAACTACATGTACATGTAATGTGTGGGTGCAAAAAGTTACATAATTTTACATACCAGTTCATTCCCTGAGGACGACGACAGGAAAGGGAATTGAAGAGAATCGGATCCAAAACGAAGGGACGTTTTATATACACCCGCCCGAGAGTACCGCGGATGGCTGGTAGTTGGTCACGGCTTATCAAACACCACACAAACTGATCAACTCTCATTGATTAAATGCTTGAATTATAACGATGCATTAGCCCCTAAAAAAACCATCTGACTAATGGAATATTTCATATCAAGGTACCTCGTGTTGACGGTGACTATCTACGGTGCCACTCAACACAAAATTGGCCGTATGGTGCACCCAATCTTAGAGGTCATAATAATCTGTTCTAACAGGTTTCTATCTATCGTGGTTGTAAAGTTACAGAGAACTTTTCATGTTTGTCATGATCACCTTTTAAAATTAGGGGGCACTATAAGAATCTTACACGTTGGCGCGCGCGAAATCTAAGTAATACCTCAATCAAGATCTCAGTGCCCTATTGATGCCTACAAGAATACGAATATTTATGGGCCAAGGATATATTATGAAGACTACATGTATTCATAACGCATAATCAAGTCCCGAGACTTCTTAATAGCAACAACCTTACAAAATTTCCTAGGGCTCAGTTAACGCGCGGGTATCCGATATGATTAGCATGTCAACATACTTGCAATTTCGAATAATATTTGCGGACACAGCTGGGTCTCAACCTTCATACTACACAACTACATGTACCTAGGTACTCCACAGAAATGAGGTGTCTCATGCAATATTTGACTTATACGGAGGCCAAGCCGGAGCCATTGTGGGTCCATAGATGCGTGTCTGCCTGGTATTTTTTTCTTTCTCGCGAGCATACGCCAATTGAGAAATCCGTCTGCAAATATATTCGAATAGTTCTAAATATATGCTGAATGACCCTGGTTGGTTGTGTAATCCACGTCACCTGCAGATCAGGCAAGCAATCATAGGCGCTGGCAAAAATCAGGAGGCGCTAAATTAAATACTGAGCGCGCCTATATATACGTCCGAAGAACACTCACTAGATAGAGCAGACATTCGCGATCAAAATTAAATACACCCAGGATTTCTTGAGAACATCAGAATCAGAAATATTCAGATATACACAGGGGCATATACACGATCAAGTTTACAAGGAATAATCCTTTATATTTACGATCGAACATGACGTCCACAACAATCGATGTCCACCAGTTCAAGTTGCAACCAGAGCCCAATATTTGGAAAACTGTGAAAATTCTTGGGAGTGGGGGTTTTGGAGAAGTTGCACTCGAAGAAAACACAGATGGAAAGCGAAGAGCACTCAAGAAAATCAGGGGAGTGCAAAGCCCCATGTTGAGGCGTGAACTGGTGTGCTTAACGATGGTCAAAAAGGTATATATAACACTGAATTATTTGTTTCCTTAAAAGATACTGATATTGAGGTGATGAAATATCAGAGACCAGATCTCTTTGTAGAATTCTTAGGATGGTATGAAGATAACGATAGTACGTACTTTTCGCTGGAGTACATGGGCGAGGGCGACTTAGGCAAATATCTTGCTGCCAATGGACCACAAACGGAGGCCAATACCAAGGAGATCACCAAACAAATTCTAGAGGGACTTTCGTTTTTACACGAAAGGGAAATTTGCCACCGCGATCTAAAGCCAGAGGTTTGACTTCATATTTTTTACCATGACTATGTGCGCTTTTTAATGGCTGGTCTCTTAGAATGTTCTGTTAGCTTCAAAATCGCCAATACGAGTCAAATTGACCGATTTTGGGTTATCAAAATCCACGGAAGGCTCGGGCCTTTACACATTAATCGGAACCCAAGAATACATGGCTCCAGAGATGCTTGGAGCATTATCCGAAAATCAAATGACGCGTGGATCATATACAACGTCTTTGGATATGTGGGCTTTGGGTTGTCTTATATACAAGATTTACACGATGAAAACACCATTCAAGGATGGGACGTTACAATCAGATTCATCACTCCCACCAACGGAAACACTTACAGAGTATACGGCACTGGACGGAATTAATATAATTGACTCATTGGATTTGGATTATATGATACGGTACTGCAACGGCGGAACCCAACTCCCCATTCATCGTCTAGTCGAACACAAGATGAGCAGCAGGGGGATACAATTCATCAAAGATCTGATGGCTCCCTATCCTCCGGGCCGGATCACTGCAGCGGATGCCATGCATTCCAGATGGATGTCAGAACTGCCTATCGATCAAAATGATATGATTAGATGCCAGCTTTCAGAGTTAGGAGTCCACCTCAGCGTTCAAGATACCGAGATATTGGTTCAGCAGGTAGAAAAAGCGCGGGAAATGAAAGTTTTGGAATATCCACCAGCTATTAGCAATAATCCCACGGTTTTGTTGGGTCGAAATGGATTAAAATTGCTGTTCCAATCATATGGGGTGGATGTTAAGAGGTTTGATCCTATGACTGGGGCAAGGACACCTCAAGCTTTGATGCATATAGCAGCTTCGGTCGGCTATACCACAATTGTTGAAATGGTCTTCTACCTTACACCTTTCAAAATTCAAAAAGACGAAGGTGAAGAGGATTATGAAGAAGAGGAAGGAATGGATTTTAAAACCAATGGCTGGACGACACTGCAGTTAGCAGCTAAAAGGGGATGCACCGACATAGTAAGATTTCTCATACAAAAGGGCGCCAACGTCAATGCCCCCGCGAGTCAAGAGGAAAGCGGTCGAACAGCTCTACAAACAGCGGCTGAGAACGGTCATGTGGAAATAGTAAAGATACTCCTAGACGCGGGAGCCAACATGGAAGCCAAAGGGTATTCCGCGTCTGGTCGGGGAGCGCTACAGGCAGCCGCACAGTGTGGAAACATCGAGATTGCCAAAATACTCTTAGATAGAGGTGCCAATATCAACATGCCACCTGCCATAATGTGTGGCCGAACAGCGCTGCAGGCCGCTTCGGAATCGGGACATGTGGAATTAGTCAAGTTATTGGTGAAGGAAGGTGCCAAAATGAATTCCAAGATCAGTAAAACGTCGGGCCGGACACCTATTCAAGCTGCAGCGGAGAGTGGTCACCTTGAAGTCGTTAAATTTCTTTTGGCGTCGGGTGCTCAGGTCAACGAAGAACCTTGTGCAAATTATGGTAGAACGGCACTACAAGCTGCAGCAGAGAAAGGGAACCTCGAGATGGTGAGGTTTTTATTAGAAAATGGTGCCGATGTTAATGCACCGGCGTCAGATACAGAGGGGCTTTCGGCACTTGAATGCGCAAGGGAGGGAGGAAATACAGAGGTGATAGAGTTGTTGGAATCCGAAAGTGCGAAGTGAATATTTTGTTTAACGCATGTACGGCCTAAAGCGTAGGCTTCAAGTTAGTCTAACGAAGTGGGTTGGAAGATCTTGATGACTGTTTTGAGAAGGATGGTGTTAGTATTCTCTAATCCCTTTCTCCCTTATAAAATGTCACGTAGTTACATATGTATATGTTCTGCCCGATACGCGGATTTTTCCAGTTCACGAACTGGGCGCCCAGTTCAGTGAGTTTTCCCAACCGGTTGTGCTGCTCAGAAGCACCGTACAAAATTTGAACGGGTTAACCTGTTCAACAAATTCATAGGATTTTGCCCCATTCAGAAAGTAAATGCACATAAGAAACGTACCCCCCAATAGAATTAATTTCCCAAATATTCCTTCTGGCCGATCGCAGTACTCAGTTGGATTGATATTATGTTAATCCAATTGAGAACCGTGTTCAATTGCCTTTTGATATTCTAGAATAAAACCATGAATTCGTTACTAACAAGAATTCTCATGGTTTAACGAATGAGTTGCATGAATGAGTATATATATGGGTAATTTTTTCCCTTACAATTATTGATTAAAGTTCATACTTTCCCAATCGTGCCCCGTTCAGTAAAGGTACCCAGTTCACGAACTGGTCATCCCATCGGGGAAATCAACTCAACCGGGCGCCCAGTTCGTGAACTGGAACATTTCGCCTATCGGGCAGAACATATAGGTTTGTTTAGGTATGCATTCTGCATTTGAATATCGATGGTTCATAAAGCAGAACTTTTATATCATACTCCACTATTTAAAATTGTGCCACTGAACATATTAGCTCATGTATTAGATTTTTTTCTTCCCTTGGTCGATTGGCATCATGAAAAATCACTCATAATTCGTTGATAGAAAGATGGAGTCTGTTGGTCTCAGCCCGGCCCATAAAATCGTCTCCAATGTTCCAATCTCACCAGGACCGCGAGTAATTAACTGGTAGGTAATTTCCCCTGGACGTTCACTCCATTTCTATTGTCATGAGAGGACATAGTTTTCGGCGCTCATGACCTAGTAATAGTTGATGATAACATAACCCTATCCATAATTGTGAAAAGCTGTAGGCTCTTATCACATCAAATCTAAGAATATTTGTAACTACGGCTCAACTACCTATATCTGAAGTCACAATATCTAATGGTCAAGTACCTGTAGTGATATTAAGGTCCTATAACACCTTTGTTGAGCTCATTAGACATAGACCTGGGAAAAAGGACCTCTTTCCCCTGGTATCCCGCTATATGTTCCTTCGCACCAGTCCATTTCCCGAACAAATTCCTTCATTTTAGCTAAAATTACCGTGTCCTTGCCGCCGCCGCATTGCTTGCTTCTATATTTCGCAAATTTCTGAGATTAGCGTAAGGCCGATTCCCGGGCGATGGAGCTTTAACAAACCTCTTCTTGTCGCATCCTCCAGCAATGCCGTATCCACCGCGTTTGCTGGTAGGTGCACATATCTCACTACACTACCTCTGATGAAAACACTTTTTACCGCTGACTAAATTCAAATCGTAAATAATTAAAAGTTCCATTGCCGGGAGTCTTATGCGCGTGGGTAGATACCAAATGGGGATACCGAGCTTCATCAACAACGTGGATCTCGTCTAGCTTGATGTTCAAAAACTGATCCACAGACTTGAGAGTTCCGCGGATTAAAAGGTCGTTTTTGAGCTCAATTGTAACCTAGACAATGTGAGCAATGAGAAAGGCGTGGGCGATTGCGGGGAGTATGTGTACCTCATGGTCGACAAGTGTCTTGAAAAAACTGCAAAGGTGTTAGATATATGATTCTTAGTATTCTGGGTAGGGGTCAGGTACCTGAAGAAAAGCATAGTTGGGGGCGACGGTGGAACTCGGGGAAATTGTGGCTTCGTCTAGAGGTGAAAGAACAATAGTGGGGTTGTGTGACATGACGTCCGGGTAATGTGCTGTGGGCCTTAATTTTGAGCCCCAGAGACCTTGAGCAGGGATAACCCGCACCATCATCCATGCCTTATTCGCTTGGTATGAATCGTGCATATCTTGTACCCATTTAGAGTGGGTACACCACGTTTACATGGTTGTAAGCACTTAAGGGAGAACTAAGCTTAAGGAAAAACTAAACTTAAGAAAAAACATACGTTTCAATCCCTAATCTATAGATCTAGTTGTCTGAAGGTTTCTTCGAGAGTCGGTGTTGAGCACGTTGAAATAAGTTCGCGATGATGGCCGCAATTTTACGTTCTGAATTGCTCAAATACGGACAGCAACTAATACAAGTACATATACGTACAAATCGTTAGGACTTTGCAGTGGTTATTCAAAGGAGAGAAATGAATACAACGTAGTGCAATAAACGTCTTTTTAATGTTTATGACGGATATATATATCAAGGGCTTCAAAATTATTTCACCGCAAACTACATGTATGCGCTCATTTCTATAGACTTCATGACAAGCTGTTAACACGCCTTTCAGACATGAGGCATCTGCCAAATATGTACATTGCTAAGTCAATCCATATTCTACCTACGGTGCTTATATCTACCTCCCCAAAGTACTCAAGAAGTTCTTTTCCTTAATAGCAGCCCTACTCTTCTTCCTCATCTCTCTCTTGACCTCCAATCTCGCTGCAAGCGCCTCCTCTGCACTGACCTGCACTTCCCCACCAATTTCCACCGTTGATGGTCTCATTGCCTTACTTAACCCAGGCTTCGCACCAGGAATGTTTTCACCCACACCCCCAACCGCTGCTACGACTCGGGTGAACGGATGGTTGGGAGAGGTGGTAAATGGGAGATCGATGGTTTGCTCAGTGATGGGAATGCGGATCTCTGAGTTGAGAGACTGAAGAGCGGCGACCTTTTCGGCACGCTTTTTGGCGATTTTACGTTCCTTTTTAGATTTTGCTATGGGGTGTACGTTAGTACTAGATAGTTATACCGATAGATAAATGAGGGAGGGCTCACAGTAAAGATCTCCTACTTCTTCTCCTTCTAGCCCATCCACAGTAGTCTTCTTATCCAGCAAGGACCACAGCCATTCAGGATACTCGGAGTCTTCCAGAGCAACTGGATCGCTCTTCCCTTTCAGGTAGTTGATATTCTTCAGCGGGGTTCCTGCCATGGTTCCACTAACCACTGTGATCTTTGGCTTCACCGCGATCTTTGGCGCGGCAGGAGTAAGCGGTATTGAGAACGGTTGTGCAGCCGACGTACTCGTAGCACTCGGCGAGCCCTCACCACCGGGGGTGCTGGACTGCAGTGGTTTGGCCTGGTTCACAACGTTTGGGTTTGCAACGGAGTAGGTCCGTACAGCTCTCAGCGAGACCGCCGGTTGAATTCGGCGAAGACAGAACATGCTGAGAGGCTCAATTGGGCGTTAATTCGTGGTTATTTGCCGATTTTTTGATCTGTTGTAAGGTGCAAAGGAAAATTTGGAGTTTCGCATAGTCGTGATGGGTTATGCGAGTCACGCGCATATTTGAGACTGATATAATGGCAGGGTCCACCCCACGGTGCAGCGGGGTTTGCTGCATGAGCAATACAAAAGCGGTTTAGGGCGGCTTTACCTAGTAAATCACGTCGCACACTGCAGCAGCGCGCAACATGCACAAGCGATATCAGAGAGAAAAAAGAAAAAAAAAAGCGAACGAGGAATTTTTTTTTGCGAAATCTTGGCACTTCCTAGGCTGCTGTGAAAAGTTATTTCAACGCGACTTTTTCCCTCCTCCGCTCATTTCTCCTTCTTCATCACACAAATTCTCACACTCCAAGACTGAAGTTTGCCGCACCGCAATTTGCATCTGAGGGCTTATAATCTCATATCTGAGGGCTCGTTCTGTTCAGTTGGCTTGTTGGCTTCCGAGGGCATAATCATATCAATCAATTTCACAATTGATTTTTGTGGGCACTGAGGGCTTCTTTCTGAGAGACATCTTCTACTGAGGGTTTATTGGCTTTTGTTCCTGTCCCAGTCCCAATCTTCTTCTACACCAAACAATTTCACCTTTTCTTCCTCCCAACTCCCCCCGCAACCACAATGGGTAAATCCACCGTTAAGTCTGCCAACGGCAAGACCTCCAAGAAGGACGCCTCAACCACCGTCAAGGCCGCCGCTACCACTAAACCCATCTCTTCAAAGTCCAAGGATATCGCCAAGAAGGCGAGCGCCGTCGTCGACAAGAAGTCCTCTAAGAAGGACAAAAAGAAGGCCCCCACCCCCGAATCTGACTCTGAGGACGACTCCGATGACTCTCACGACTCGGATGATTCCTCAGAATCCGACTCTGAGGAGGAGACCAAGCCTGCCCCCAAGAAAGTCGACGCTAAGAAGGCCGTAGCTAAGGACGAGTCTTCTGACTCGGAGAGCGATTCTGACAGCGACGAGTCTATGAAGGATGCCCCTGCCGTCGTCGCCAAGGAGGAGTCGGACTCCGACTCCTCTGAGAGCGACTCTGACTCGTCTGAGGATGAGAAGCCCGCTGCCAAGAAGGTAGAAGCTAAGTCTGAGGTGAAGAAAGCAGCTGCTAAGGAATCTGTAAGTTACCAATCCAAATTTTGTCTCCTTAGGATTTATCCTAAACTCCTTTCTTTCCCAGTCCGATTCGTCCGACGACTCCGATTCCGACGACTCCGATTCCGATTCCTCTGACTCTGACTCTGACTCTGACTCTGACTCTGACTCTGAATCTGAATCTGATAAGGCCAAGGCTTCCGACAGCGACTCCGACTCTGACTCGGACAGCGACTCTGACAGCGACTCTGATGATTCTAAGCCAGCCGCCGCCTCCAAGAAGCGCAAGGCCGACACTGAGGCCGAGCCTACCGTCAAGAAGGCTAAGACCGAAAAGCCAGCCGCTGCTGCTGCCGACGAGAACCCCAAGAACCTTTTCGTCGGTTCCCTCTCATGGAGCATTGACGAGGACTGGCTCCGTGGGGAGTTCGAGTCTTTCGGTACCATCTCCGCCGTACGCATTGTCACTGATCGTGCCACCGGCCGCTCCAAGGGGTATGCCTTCCCATTTGTCTACTTAACCTGAACAATTTATTCTAACATAATAAAGATTCGGATACGTTGAGTACGAAGACGCCTCTTCTGCTAAGGCCGCTCTCGAGGCTATGAACGGCAAAGAGCTCGACGGACGTGCCCTTAACATTGACTACTCCACTCCCCGTCCTGAGCAGGCTCCCCGCGAAAACCGCGCCAAGCAGTATGGTGATCAGAAGTCACCTGAGTCTGACACTGTCTTCGTTGCCAACCTTGCCTTCGATGCCGACGAGGAATCAGTTAAGGCTGAGTTCGAGGCCTTCGGTAACATCATCGGTCTTAGGATCCCTACCGACCCGTAAGAACGCCTACAATGCCTTTGTATTTATGTATATTGATACTAACTATATTCAGTGAAACTGGTAACCGCAAGGGCTTCGGGTACATCCAGTACGATTCTATTGACTCCTCTCGTGAGGCTGTCGAGAAGATGAACGGCGCTTTCATTGCCGGACGTGCTATCCGCACTGATTTCTCCACTCCCCGTGACCCCTCCTCCGGAGGTGGCCGTGGTGGTCGCGATGGTGGTCGCGGTGGATTCCGTGGCGGCCGTGGTGGTGGTGACCGTGGTGACCGTGGTGGCCGTGGTGGCCGTGGTGGCGGGTTCCGTGGCGGCCGTGGCGGTGGTGACCGTGGTGGCCGCGGTGGTGGTGCCAGCCGCAACCGTGGTGGATTCGGTGACTTTGCCGGGTCAAAGAAGAAGTTTGATTAAATGCTACTGATTGATGATGCAAAAAAATGGGATGATGGCAGTGCGGGTTTCTTGGCTTGATATGATTGATGCCTATTACTTAATAACTCTTACTACTGGGGGCTTGTGAGAATTTGTGTATGCATCTGTGGGCATATATTCTTGAGGGTTTCTTGGTTCCATCCTGGATAAGCGTGTACGATATATGGCTAGCTACAAAAAGTTTTTCTGTTTTCTTGGGTCTAATTTTTTGTGTATTACTTTTTTTCTTGATCCATTTGCGGTCTTAAGCCTGTTTGGGTAGGATTTTGCAATTTTAGCTGTTCTGAGGACAGTTTAGTGGTGTACATAGAATCATGAATAGGGATAATATTCATATCATCCAAATTACTTTTCATGCATGGCTTGAAGTTTTGGGTTGATAGATTATTAAATTAGTGGTCAATCTACCCTTATAATACTGATGAAACTGGCTATCCACTCCAGAGCTTTCTCCTAAAGTGCCAGCGCCATTGAAGAGGACTGGTATTCCCCCTCGCTCCCCTTGTTCACCCTACCCTGGCCTGACCTGCATTTGTTTCGAACGCATGGACGCAGTTCGATGTTTCGGTAATAACTGAGGTAGGCCGAGAAATATTCATAACCCCCTCTGGGACTACATATATCAACTAGCTGTTACCCGCTTCGGGCCCCGGCTGAGAGCTTATTTATTGACAACACCCACAACCCATTCAGGGAGCCCATCATCTTCATGATCATCCTTTGATAGAGCTACAATATAGAACACACCTAGTAGACCTTGCAAAGTGGCTTTGTGTTAAGCTATTGACGGACTGACGAAACCTGTTACCGCTCAAAGCTTCTCTTTCTCAACAACCGCCTGTCTCAATGAACTGGACTGGTGGTAGTCGAGCTCGAAACGGTAAACCATCTTCCGACACAGCCCGCATTCAAAAAAGTTACTTTGCCAAAGTCCGTGCCAAAAACTCGACCCCTCTCGCCCATGCAGCGCTATCTTTTGCTTTTGCTGGGGATGGCACGTCAGTTTCTGGGGGTCGAAGGAAAGCCCGCGTTCCAGAGCTCGATATTATCCTAACCCAGGAATCACAAAAGAAAAGAAAGGCCTGTGATATATCCCACGACCTGATGCCATTTGAAGAATTAGTCGAAGAGGCAGACAAATCAACTGAAAATAGGACTCATAGAAGCAGTGATATAAAGACAAAGAAACAACGTTTGTTAGAAAAAGATAGCTGGGTTTGTACAACACTGGCACGGCCACTTGTCTTGAGGAGCAAACAATCGGCGGTGAATGTGCGTCCCCAGGAAAGGGCTACACCTGAGATCTTGAGAAATCCTGAGCTATTTCTAGATCCTATTAATCAAGCAGGCATTGGAGATGGTCATGAAGGCCGGTCCGATGGGCCCAACTACCCTCGTTATCCCTCACTTGAGAGAGGATCTGTTGACCGAGGTAGTGAGCATAGGGGATTCAACGGTGGTGTCTTCCGCAATCTCAGTGATGGGGGATTCGTTCAGATTGGTGGTGAGAGCACCCAGTTTGGAGGGAGCAACCCAGAACAGCATGGATTATCAGGAAGGGAAATGTCAGATATTTCTGAGGAAACAATGCTATTTGATATTGAAGGGCGCCAGGAAGAGAATTCTCCACCCATGCTCCTGAAGGGTTCCAATCTGTTCGGCAAAAAGCATGATGTCGAAAATTTCAGGAGGCTTCCGGAGGATATTGGATTTAATTTGAATGATTGGAGAGTCAATCGAGATACGCAAATAAACGGTGGCTACCCATCTTCACCGTTGGCCCCGTATTCACAGGTCCCTCGAGAGTGGGGGTTGTCGCCTCCGGCCCCGGTCAATAAATTTGTTTCCACAGGCCAGGAAAAGGGAAGGGACATAATTGAAGAAATTGATGAAGTGGCTGCAGATACATGGACTAGCAGTCCATTTGAGGTCTTGCCAGCTAAACCCGTCCAGTCCCGAGTCATGCTCTCTAGACTTACCCAAATCACTCATAATGATCATGCTCAAGAAAGCTCCAGAGTTAAAAAACGAACGAGTAGAGAACACTTGTCGAATGATAGATTTACTCATAGAAACAACTTCTTAGACCGTCTAATTCAGGAAGATGTCCAGCAAATGCAGAATCAGTCTTTAATTGCGTGTGCATCCTCTGGAAGTTCATCTGCTGGTGAGGATGAAGGTGAAGAATGGATGCTGGGCTCAAATATTTCCCCTAGACCATCTCAAGGGGGCAAAGCCATTGATTCAATACCTACAGGCGAGGCTCAAGGTGGATGGGAAATGTTTTTGAAGGACCACACAGTCAATGAAGAAGAAGATATAGTGGATGAACATCAGGAGTTAAACCAGCCGTACCCGCAAAAGCATTCGACAGAGTTTGACACTCTAGAGGAACATCCAGAGCGCGAAAACCTAGAAGGAATTTCTCCTCAGATTGCCGGTGGTAAGCGCGATGGAAACGTCGAGGGCCAGGAAAATCAATCACAGGATTTTATCAGAAAGTTAAATTTAGAATATAGAGATGCGTCGGAAGTGCCTCTGGACGATAGACCAGTGAAGGCTCCTCCTTTGGTAAGTGATGGAGACAAGGAAGAAAACTGGAGAGAATTTCTTAGGTCTCCACAAGCTCAGCCGGGAGACAATCACAGTACGGAGGCGAAGGAAACCGTTGACCAGGAAGTTACCATAGAGAAACCTGGTAATACTCTCCCCGAAACCAATATCAGGCCGAAGTACCAACTAAGTGTTCTGCCACAGTAGATACAATACTCAATGAGGAGAAGGAGCCAGAAAGGACCCTAGAATTCGACAAAGATGAGGATAATGCTTGGAGGGCATTCGTATTTGCTGGCCTCGATGACGAAGTCGAGCCAGAACTTGAACCGCCTAGACCACCAGAGCCAATTCGCCGGCGCACAACAATGCCGCTCAAATCATCCTTGAAGCCTCCAAAAGTTATGTTGCCCTCTAGATCGGATCTGGAACCTGAACTCCCGACCAACTATAGTCCGAAAGAAAACACCTACGCCCCTTCAATGGCTGGCGCTACTGTGGGATCGGGGTCGGGCCCCAGCTCAGAAGATACTAGTTCAGCAGCTGGTAGCTCCCCTATTGCTCAAAGGACGTCAAAGTTCTTCAATTCCGGACATAATATCGCTTCTTCGCCTCCTGCAGTTCCAGCAGGAACTGCGTCTACAAGGTCAAGGAGCATACTTCCGATCGGCTGGAGGGGACAGGGTAATTTGTACTCGAGAAGTCAGCAGAAAACTTCAAAAAGGGAGAGGAGTGTTCAAAAAGATCAGATACAGAATCATGGTCAAAAAAAGGCTGCGGAAGAGGAAATTGAGGATATTGAGGATTGGTAGAAGCTATGCTTGCTCCAGGGTGATGTTTTGTCGGGCTATGATATGCAAAGGGGGATTATTTATGCTCATAGTATAGCCTGGTTATTACTAGAACTTATTTAGCATTAAGAAAAGATTAATCTATTGCTGTATGCCAAAACATACTATTATGTCGATAGATTTACTAGCTCTCACCCTTTAACAGCTTACAGCCTAGTTGTCCATTACTACATCCTAGTCAGCCGTGGTGAAATGGTCTTGATCATAGGCCATCACTCGCGTGATTTCTCCCACCCCCTCTCACATATCTCTATCTGCTATAGCTTCAGAACTCCCAGACTTAGTCTACCGGAGAATCCAAAATATTTAGCATTACCTCGTAAGTATAACGAATCAGTGCCATCATCCAGTAAAACCACGAGCCCACCGTAGAGCCAAAGCCGATGATAGCTTCATGGGTCATCACTCGGCCTTGTGATACTGAAGTCCTGGACCTATGCGCGGAATCCAGATTCGAAATAGATTCGAAACTCATGATAATGTGTTAGTCCTATCTGCAAAGTGTAAATGGGCGAGATGGCATTGGGGGTACATGGATGGTGGGTATACATGTAAATAGCTACGCGCCCGATTGCCACATAAAATACCAACAGGCCCTATTTTCAGGTGAGTATAAGGTGTAGCAGAAGCACCTAGAAATATGTGCTATGTAGTAAGGACCAGATGAGTCAAAATGCACTTAGGTTTTCAGGACAGTGTGTGGAAGTAGAAATATCATGCGGAGACTCCGAGTCTGGTCATGAAATATCACTCGGTGCGCTAGTCCCGAGAGAACGCGGCCGTTGCCACCGCCTCCTCTAAGTCTGCTCTGTGAGTGTTTGGAGTTGTTGGATGTGTGACTTTTAAGAAGGTAAAGTTACAGTGTGGAATATATTGGTGGAGGACACGTTGGCAAGAGAACTCGCTCTTAGCAATGTGTCCTCCTAGAGCCCTACTATAAAATGGATTGTATCAGCTCTAGTAGACATTGATAATAATATAACTGAAGCTCTAATACAGCTAATACTTGAGACCGACATTCATCCCGTCACACTTCAACAAGGCCTAATAGTGTGCACTTCGAGGTGAAGAGAGGATGTATCCATTGGCCTCTACCTCGAATTACTCGAAGTTCCCCAAGGTTTTGGATTGGGCTAACAACAATCATGTTGTTATTTGAAAAAAGATGCTAGGAATAATGTTTTGATGGACAGAAACTGAGGTACCTTCATCCCCATATGTCCTGAGCACCTAGTCCTATTCAAGAGAGAGTATTGACTTCTTGAAAACCCAAGTCTACTCAAGGCGAGCAGAGGATTGTAGTGTATTGAGACGTTTCGTAGGAGTATACCTCGACGAATATATATATATACCGAGGTAAGGCATAAGGGCGCCTCAACCTCTGGACCACATTGGATAGGATATCAAGACCTGTTTTTCTGCTTCATTTCTATTTATTGGAGCTATGACTGCGTCTTGCAGCTGATGGTTTTGGCAAGGGAACTAACTATAAAACTATTTACAAAAACGGGAAGGGAAAAAAAGCATGCTATCTATGCTATCTATTAGGCATCGACCTCCATCCCATCGCTTTCCTTCTTTGCCTCCTCATCCTCGTCTTCTTCCGCCTTGGGCGCCTCTTCTGCCTTTTCTCCACCAGCTTCCTTCGCCTTCCTCGCCTCCTTCTCCATCTTTTTCATCTGTCTCTTCGACACCTTCGGCGTCTGCTTCTCGCCCGTCCACTTCCACATCTCACCCGGCCCCACAACCGGCGCATCCACCAGCCCCCTCGTGGTAGACCGCACCGTCTCCGCCGCCGCCCTCTCGTCCTCCTCAGTCCACTCCCTCGGCAGTACCGCAAATACCAGATAGCTGGTATGCGTCTTAATCTCCTGCTCACCCCTCGTGACCAATCGCCCCTCCGTAATTCCCTCCATATCCATCTCCCGCGACGCCGCCTCCTCAGCATTTACCCCCTCGCCATGGAGATCCTGCTCCTGCCGCCGCACACGGTAGTCGTTCATCCACTGCAGGCGCTTCAGTGCCTCGTCGACGTTCCGGGGTCCTGCGCCGTCGGTGTAGCTCTTACGCTGGGCTCGACGCACCTCGAGGTGCCGGTGCTGGATCTCGTACATCTCGACCTCGACCCAGCCTAGCTTCCGCAGCACTGACACCGTGCGCGTCACCTGCTCGATACAGGGCGAGAACGTACATATGCGGACGGTCTCCGTCATCGACAGCGCCGACGGGATCGCGGGATTCGTCGTCTCCGGTGCAGGCGTAGTCGGCTCCGTGACCGGTCCCGGAGACGGCGTCGGCGTGAGCCCCGTCCGTGTAGGGAGCGGCGGCGTAGCATGCATCCGTCTCGTCAGATGCGGCAGCGCCAGCCATGGCGCCGGCAGATCCAGAAAGATAGCCGTAGCACCAGGGCTCACCCCGTTGCCGTCGCCAACGAGGAACCCGTCTTTACACACGTCCCTGTGCACGATGTCGACCAGGCCGTCGAGGCCATGGCGGCCAATCTCGTCGCGCAGCTTCTCAACCCGCTCTTCATGGTACTCGAAGCTCCACACGCGGCCCTTGCGGCCCTTGCTGATGTTCCCGCCATCCTCACGCCCGTCGGGGTAGCCGCCGTAGACGGCGCGGACGGCGGCGTGTGTGAAAGAGCCGCTGCCGGCACCGGCCTCGAGAATCACGCTACCGGGGCGCACGCACAGCTTGTGCAGAACGAAGGCGCTGTCGGGGGTGTAGACGACCTGCGTGCGGTGGGGGAGGGAGGTTGTCCATAGCTCTGCGGTGGGGGCGAGGATATGCAGGAAGCCGCTGTCGGTGGGTACGCCGCTGCGCTTGCGCTTGTGGCCAGGTCCGGTGGCGCGCACTTGGGAACCGTAGGGGATGTTGGTGAGCGTGTCGTGGGGGAAGTCGCCGAAGCGGGTGTTGAGGATGCCGTCTGCTGAGCGGGCGCCGGAGCGGGAGGAGCGTTCGGCGGTGGTGGTGGAGGCGGAGGGGGTGGAAGTGGACGGCGCGAAGGAGACGGGGATGAGCAGGTCGCGCTTGAGGTGGATTATGGACGGGCAGGAGGAGGTGCCGATCAGAGGGGGAGGCGCGAGGAACGGCGAAGGCTCGGGCAGGAGGGGGGCCATCACTTCAGCAGTAGCAGTAGTAGCAGCAGTAGTAATACCTGTAGATAGACTTGTAGACGCTGTAGATGCAGCTGATATTGGCTCTGGATCTGACTCGGCCATGGTGGTGTTGAGGTTGTGGGAATTGGAGATGTTCGGAGTGTTCGGAGGTGAGTTGAGTCGAGTCTTCTTCACCTTTCGCACTGAAAAAGTTGAATGCGACACACAGAGGAGGCTAACTCTAAAGAGGGCAGGGTAACTCGCTGCCTGTCCAGGGTTTAACCAACGAGTAATTGTAATACCGGGGGATTTGCATCAGGGACTGATGGAGAGAAGTGGCTGTGGCGGCTGTGGGGAAAGTAATTGGGCTGAGTTCTCTTTTTTGGCTTTGGCATTCAAATGAGCGGTCTCTTGGTGTTGGTGGGGAATGATCTTTTTTTAGGAGAATGTGGCATCGAGTGATATTCTGTGATGTGAGCAGGAGTTGGATACTGACGGTAACCTACAATATACGAAGAGTCAAAAATACCTCTTCATGCATCCATTTAAGCTGCAGCGTTCTTTACCTGATAAAAACTACATGTAACTATACTAGCTATACGCACATGTATGTATGTATATGTACCCACTCCTCTAATCTACGCTCCACATATATATCCTACACTCATACCACTCTACCTCTTCAAAGCCTCTGCCCTCTCCTTATGCCACTCCGGCACCACTGCCCTCACCCACACTTCCTTTCCCTCCTCCCCCACCACAAACTGGTCCCCACTCCTCCACTCACGCTCACCCCCATCATCCTCCCCCCTCGTCATAACCCCCAACCTGCACAGCGCCAGCCCCACATTCCCCACCTGCCCCAGCACGACCCCAGGCGCCCTCGCCCTCCTCCCCACCCTCCTCACCGCCGCCCCCACCTCCACCCCCGGAACCTCCATACTCGGATCATACACCACCCTCCCCTCCCCCTCCTCGTCTGCGGGGAAAGGAACAGGACTGAACTGAACAGGCAGCACCCGCCGCCGCACAACGCCGGTGTGGTACGTGCGGATCGTCAGCTCCTGCCCAACGTAGCACCCCTTGCGGTAGTCAATGGCGCCCATATAGTCCAGACAGCTCTGCTGCGGCAGCGCCGCCTCCGCCGGCAGCTCCACCGACCCCTCTGGCACGCCGCGGAGGTAGCGGCGCAGCTTGTAGTGGGTGGGGTCTGCCTGTGGGAGGCCGGTTGATGCTGCGTCTGTGGGGGCGGCGAGGAGGCGGTGGCCGAAGGCGGGGGCGCGGGTGTCGGTGATGTGGATGCTGCTGCTGCTGGGGAAGGGGGGGCTACGGGGTGGAAGAGGGTGGTGTCGTCCCAGACGGCCCAGACGGAGAGTGTGGAGGGGGCTACGGGGGAGAGGGTGATTTTGCTGCGGAGCTTGCGGCGCTGCAGGGTGGTGAGGAGGTGCGGCGCGGTGGGGGCGGAGAGCTCGATGAGGTAGCGGGGCTCGTGGGTGGGGGTGGGGTAGATGAATGCGTCGGAGATCATGCGGCCCTGTGATTCCCTCTCTTCCCCGTTAGTCGGTCAGGTGCCCCGGGGGAGAAGGGAAGGGAAGGGAAGGGAAGGGGAGAACGGACCTGCGAGTTCAGGAAGCACGAGTATGTGCCATTCCCGTCTGGCGGCGGGACCTGCGATGTTACGAGGCCCTGCAGGAATTTCGGTGCGTCGGGGCCGGCGACGGAGATGAGGGCGCGGTCGGGGAGGAGGGCGATTCCTTTTGCTGGCGGCGGCGCGGGGGGGGGGTGGGTGCTGTAGGTGCGGCGGCGGCGGAGGAGAGGGCGTCGGAGGAGGAGGAGGGGCGGTCGGAGGAGGGTCATGGTTGGGTTGGGTGTTTTTGAGATGGGCGGGGTGAGGGATGAGGGTGAGGGATGAGGGATGACGTTGGTGGGGGTGCTGGGGTGCTTGGCTGCACGGCTGATTAATGTTGCGGGTGGTGGAGTGGGGATTTTGGAGTTCTTCTACTCTAACAAGTGCTACTAACACAAGAGAGAAAGAAAATATCGAGATTTATTAGCCCCTGCAATTTGCAAAACTCACAATTGCTTTTAGCGCAGTTATGCTATGTAATTCACGAATTATAAATGGTTGTTAGTTTCGGTAAAGCCTTATATTTGGTTATTCCTCCCGTTCACGGATCGCGCCGGCGTGTATATATATATCTCTTGACTTCAAGATAGTGGCTATAATTGTTGAAGGCAGAGCTACAGACTGCGAAGTAGAGCATAACATGCCTGTACCTACATGTACGTAGTAATGAATTGCCTCAATGGCTGTTGTTGTGTTTTACGTACGTGTAGCTTTACCTTCCTACATAGGAGGAATGGAGAGCCTTTGAGTTCTCCGTGGAATGACTCTTGGGAGGGCCGTACGGGCTGAAGGGTTCTCAACTTTAAATGATCCTAAAACAGTTTATAGAGAAGAGGCCAAGAAGGTTTCAAGAATGGACTATTCTATAACTAGGTATCTACAAAAAGACAAAAGAAACGCAAGAAAGCTCTAATTGACCCCCCACCATCACCCCTACCTCCTCTTCTTCCCCTTACCCCCTTCCCCTTCCCCCCCATCCCCTTCCCACTCTTCCCACTCTTCCCACCCCCCTTCCCCTCCCCCCTCCCCTCAATATCCATCACATCCCTCCTACTCAGCACCAACGTCCCATTCCTAAACTTCCCCACACTCGGCCCAAACGCCCCCCTCTCCCTCCTCTTCCCCTCCCCCCCCTTTTTCTTCACCCTCACCTCCCTCTCCAGCACGATCCCCGCCTCCCGCGCCTCCCGCCGCCGCTTCTCCTCCTTCGCCCTGCGCGACTTCTCCATCCACACCCGGGCCGCCATCGGCATCTTGTGCTTCGTCAGGTCCCTCCCGCCCAGCGCCTGCACGCGCGCCTCGATCGCTTTGAGCCGGTTCTTGCCTGTGGCTTCGAGGTTCGCGTCGAGCAGGTGGGATTCGCGGAGGAGGCGCTGGAGGGCCAGGTCGTTTTGGAGGTGGTGCGCTTCGGTGGTGGTGTCTTCTTCGTCGGATTCGTCGGGTTTGGAGGGGGCGGTGGTGGGGGGGGAGGGCGCGCGGAGGGCGGGCGGTTTGGTGGAGATGAAGGGCTTGAGGATGCTTTTGGGGAGCTTGGCGGTTTTGAGCAGGGGGTCGCTGGCGGTGAAGTGGATTACTTCTGGCGCTGGTGCTGCGGTGCGGAGTGTTAGTGCTGTTTGTAGTGTAGATAGTGCAGAGATGTAGAGAAAGAGAGGGAGGGAAAAACGAACCTGTGAGCTTCTTATCTTCTTCTTCCGAGAGGCCCTCCCACTCACTCCCACTCCCACTGCCACTATCATCATCATCACCTTCTTCAATCACCCCAGTCTTCGCCTTCTTCTTCTTCCCCGAGTCCTTCTTGGCAGCCTTGGATTTTTTGGCACCCTTCACCTCCGGCAGCGGCGCAAACTGGCTCTCAAAGTGCCGCCGCAGGATCTCCATTGCGTCGGGGCCATTGTCACTGGATTCGGTGTCTTCTGTGTCCTTTTTGGGGGCGGTGCGTTTTCGCTTTTTGACGATTTCAGGCATTGTGGTGGTGGTGGTGGTGGTGGTGGTGGGGTTGCGAGTTGTGGGTTTTGATAGGTCCTGGGTTTCGAGGTTTTTAGTTTTGGGTTTTGCGGTGGTTGGCTTAGCTTGGCTTGGCTTGAGGCTCTGTGGTGGAGGGAGGGGAGGGGAGGTTACACAGGCAGGGGTAGAGAGAGTATCGAGTCGGAGGTGCAAGAGGCGGGCGTGTGGGGTTTTGGAGTAGCGATGATCCGTTTAAGAGTTGTGCGGTGATCATAGCTAAGAGTTATGCTTGTACTGTCAGTAATTTCACGCTTGCGGGATTGAGAAATCTGACTATCCCCAATGATGCACAACATAAAACTACATGTACTCTACATGTACTAGAGCCGTCGAGAATCTTCATTCCAGCACAAGAGCCTCGGTCCTCAAGCCTTAACGTCCCCGGCTCCCAACTGAAGACTGAAGACATCCATCCCACTTCCCCAATCGGGCCTGGTGGCTGGGTTCTGCGTTGACCGCCCGCGCGACCTCTCGAAAACAACTGGCGACGACGCCACAGACAGACAGAGCTACAGACAACAGACAGACAACATGGCCGCGACACCGGCAAAGGTGAAGAAGCTGGCGGACCAGCTGATTACCTGCATCACCGGCCTGACGCCCGAGGTGTGCTCTCTCTCCCCCTCTCCCTCTCTCCAGTTGGAGGTGAAGGACTGGCTGGAATTAGTTGTGTTTGTATTGACTGCGGCGAATGGTGTAGGAAGATCCCGCCAACTTTGGCCTCTGCCGTGTAGGTCCTTCCCATGCCATCTACCAAGAGGACCCCCAACTGACAGTGGGGTATTGGTATCTATAGGAATTCGCCCTCCGCAGCTTCAAGGGCTACAAGTTCGGGCGCACAAACCAGTTTGACGTAAACTCCAAGCTCTCCGGGTACCCCCCCCCCCCCCCCACCTCCCCCTCCAAGGCAAGCTCCCCAGAAGCTAACTACCACATGCCCCCCGCAGTCTCGAAGAGAAATTGCGAATCTACAACCGCGACGACATCGCCGACGCCCTACGGTCCCGCCTCAATGAGCTCCCCGTCTCGACCTTCACGCCCGAGCTACTCTCGCTCTTCCTCACGCTCTCCGACCGGCCGCTGGAGAACGCACACCTGGATGATCTGGATGCGCTGATCCGGCATGACCAGGGGCCAAAGGGGCTGACGTGGGCGGACATCATCGCGGAGGAGCCCTTGGAGGGGGAGATCTGGAAGGATGTGGATTTTGGCGCGGAGAGCAGCGATGAGTGGTCGGAGGAGGGGGAGGATGATGTGTGGGAGCGGAGGGAGGCGGAGGGGGGGAGGGGAGGAAGAGGAAGGGGAGGTGGGCGGAGGAGGAGGGGGAGGGAGGGAGGGGGGCGAGTGTGGAGGGGTTTGTGCTGAAGGGGGATAGGGAGGGGTTGGAGGCGCTCAAGAAGGCGCAGTATTGGGATGTGAAGCACAGGGTGAGGCCAATAGAAGAGGAGATTGACGTTTCGTTGGGCGCTGGTGGAGGTGGTTTGTCCTGCAACCTTGTCCGGTGTATTGAGTTTGTGCTTATGGGATTGCGCAGTGGAAAACATATCAATCATCTCCGAAGTCCAGGCTGTCCGTGAAGTCCTCTTCATGCTCCTCGGCCACCCGTGCGTCCTCTTCCAAAGCCTCAATGGCATAGTCTCAGTCGAGACTCCCGCGCTGTCTACGCAGTTTGCACTCCGGCATACGTCCTTACTCGCCTTCAAAGCACTTCTCAACTGGTATGGCGAGAAGGGCACACATCTCAATCGCATCCGCTACTTTACATCAATCCGCAACATCCACGTTTCACCAGAACAACAAACCTTCACTTCCGCTGTCACCGAGAAGCTCTTCCTCCTCGACCAGCGCCTCATCGAGATCGAGCAACGCTTCGTCGGAAATGCCACCACCAACCAGATCGCCTCCCTCCTCTCCCTCCAGTCCGAGCTCGAACCTCTCCTCCACCCCTACATCCTCCTCTCCAACATAATAGGCGCCATAACCAACCCCCGCACGCCCATCCCGCAAACCACCCTCGCCACCCTCCACCTCGAGCACCTCTTCACCTCCGCCTGCACCCTCCAATCCACCGGCGACCACCAAACCTTCACCTTCATGACCTCCCTCTTCTTCACCAGCCTACAGACCTACCTCCGCCCCATCCGCGCCTGGATGGAGCGCGGCGAGCTCCGCCCCTCCGAGATCTTCCTCGTCTCACAGACCCTCACGCCCGACCAAGTCGAGCCCGGCGGGCTCTGGCACGACCAATTCGCCCTCCGCACCGACCCGGCCACGGGCGCCCTACAGGCGCCCCGCTTCGTCCACGCCGCCGCAGCCCGCATCTTCATCACCGGCAAGAGCGTCGTGTTCCTGCAGCGCCTGGCCGAGCACCACCTACCGACCGCCATGCTCTCCACCGACGCCGCCAACGCCGCGCAGGACGCAGAGCTCACCGTACCCGACAGCGGTGGCGGCAGCGACTCGCTCGCGCCGTTCCAGGACACGTTCGCGGCGGCGTTCTCGGCGTGGATCGGCGCGCGGCACCACAGCGTGTCGTCGCGGCTGCGCGACATCCTGTACCGCGACTGCGGGCTGTGGCGGAGCCTGGATGCGCTGGACTGCGTGTATCTGTGCCGCGACGGGCACCGGTTCGATGTGCTGGCCGGGGCCGTGTTTGAGAAGATTGATAAGGGCGTGGAGAACTGGGGGGACCGGTTCTTGCTGACGGAGATGGTGCAGGGCGTGTTTGCGGGGGTGGGGTGTGTGGAGGGGGGCAGGCTGAGGATGAGGGGGAGGATGCAGGCGGGAGTGACGGTGAGGGAGGGGAGGAAGAGCGTGAAGATGTTGAAGGGGGTGGAGGTGGACTATGCGGTAAATCCTTCTAACGATACTACCCTTTTAAGGCATGAGACTAATGGTGTATGTAGCTGCCATGGCCAATCATGAACGTCATCAACAAGCAAGCCCTCGAAGCCTACAAATCCGTCTTCACCCTCCTGCTACAAATCCGGCGGGCCCAACACGCACTCAAGCGCCTCACCACCCTCAAGATCCTCACCACCCTCAAGCGCGGCTCCGGCGAAGGCGCACTCTACTACTCGCTCAAGCACCGCCTCCTCTGGTTCACCAACACCCTCTACTACTACCTCACGGACCTCGTGCTCCTCCCACAGACGGCACAGATGCGCGCAAAGATGGCCAAAGCCCTCGACGTCGACGGAATGGTCGGCGTGCATGCGGAGTTCGTAAACAGGATCAGGGAGCAGTGTCTTTTGGGGCCGAAGGTATGTTTGTAGTCACTCACCACCTGTCACTCGGGCACTCGGTTACTCCTCGGGGTTAGAAGGTTATAGTACTAACGAATGCAGCTGGCACCAATCCACCAGACCATCATCACGCTACTGGACCTCTCGCTCGCCTTCGCCGACGCGCAGACCTCCCGCGCCGCGCGGCTGCTTTCGCACTCCAGCGAGGACCTGTCCATGCACGACATCCCCCCTCCGCGGCGGCGCCCCGGCCCTGCCACCTCCTCTTCCTCTTCCGACGACGACGACGACGACGGCGAGGGAGAAGGGGAAGGGGAGGAGGATGATGGTGATGGTGATGGTGATGGTGATGAGACGAGCCACCAGGACGAGGGGGGCATAAGCGGCGCATGGTGGCGGCGAGCGTGCGGTTTAATGCGATGCTGGACTTTGTGAAGGCCGGGCTGCGGGGCGTGGCGAGGGCGGGGGTGATGCCGCATTTGGAGACGTTGGCGGAGGGGTTGGATGGCGTGGGGTGGGAGGGGCGGTATGGATAGTTAGGGTGGTGAGATGGGCGGGTGGAAAGAAGGGGGGGGGGGGTAGTGGGTAGTGGGTAGTTTAGTTGGGATAATTTTTATTTGTGCGTTTTTTTTTTCGTAGAGGATAGGATGGGTTAGAGCTGTGTTTTGGTGTATGGAGATCTCTATGGTGCGGATATCATTACTCGGGAAAGCTTGTTTTTTTTTTGTTTTTTTTGTTTTTTTTTAGAACTAAGCTGTCTCTCAATGCTCTGATATGTTCCCCCACTACGTACCTGAGCACCAACAATCATTGACCCCAAACCCCTGTCGCAGCCAGCTTCTTGGCAAAACGCACCTACCACCCAAGCTCCCAAACCCAAACCCAAACCTAAGCTTCACCTCACTTCACCTCCACCACTACCTCTTCTCCCGCCACCCACCATCTCCCCCACCACACACACACACACCACAATGGTACCCCCCCCCCCCCGCCCTCTTCCCCTCCCTCCCTACTACCTCACCCACTAACACACACACACACCAGTCCAAAGACTCCTCCCACACCTACCTGCACTTCGCCAGCGGCCGCATCGCCGACCTCTTCGAAGACTTCTGCCGCGACAAGCTCCCCCACGACGATGTATACGTGCCGCCGCACCACCAGCCCATCAATCCCGAGGACGAAGACGACGGTAGCTCTCCTCCTCCTCCTCCCCCCCCTCCCCTTGTTTCCCACATCCACACCTCAATGCACCCCACTAACGCAGCCGCACAGTGATCCCGGACCAGCACGCCGCCTTCGGCATCGCGCAGGCGCAGCAGAAGAAGCATGAGCCGGCGTGGAAAGACCTCGGCCTGGCAGAGCTGATGGGCAAGGGCCCGAAGGAGGGGGAGAAGGCGCCGAGGAGGCTGCCGAGGTAGATGTGTTAGTTGGTTGGGTTGGGTTTGGGTTTGGTTTGGTTGTAGCGCTTTCTGGGGGGGGGGGGGGGGTAATGGTAGTGGTAATGGCAATGGGATGGGATGGGATGCGATACATGGCTTTTTCGTGGGCTTGGTTTGGGTTTGGTGAAGTGAAGTGCGTGGGGGTGGATTGTGATAGATGGGGGGGCGGCCTAGGTATTTGGTACGGCAGTACGGGAATCCCGTGATACTAATTCCTTACTATACCGGGGCTAAATCTATCATTACCTCCAAAAGATGATCTATGTGGGTTTCCTTTTTTTCTCTGCAAGGAGTTTTAAATTAGAAGATTGCGGCGGTTGAGGAAACCGATTCGCTCAATGTTGTAGTGGTTAAACTTGACGTTGTTTTACTCTACAGAAAGCTAGCTATGTCTGTCGGCAGATTCCTAGTTTGCCAAAAAGGGAAACCTATCTACATGGTAATATAAATATGAATAGCATGGCTTTTGATTGGCACGATTATAATTGTTTCCATGAGCATGAGACGTCTCCTCTACATGGATGCCCCACATTTGAGGTTGCAGGACGCTAAACCTTGCGTAGGTTCCTACTAATATTTCCAAGATGATTCGCCAGTGAACAGAGCGAGCACGTCGACCGCCGGTAATAAATATAATTTTTGGTTAGAAAATCGTTTTTTGTACCCACGATCTTATTTACAAAAAAATCCGCGACTTGCGCGACTTTCCTCATTTTTTGTTCCCCAACCAACCCCACCTACCCCTCCGGTTACGTTAAATCATCAAAAAACTCCAAGATTAGAAAAACAGGAAATTTTTTTTTTCCACCAAATGCATGAGCATTCCTACAAATGAAAACAGAACACAAGGAAACGCCAAACAAACTCTGTGATCTTTACAGGGAGTTATGACGGGTGTGGTATAGGTGCAGGACTTAACAGCATTTGGTAGCGTCCTGGTCGATCTCAGATCTCAGCTTCTTGGCTGCTGGCTCACCATCGACAGCCATCTCATCGATTACGGGAGCAGGGTGGTCGAGACCCTTGAGCAATGGGGTGTCCTTGCCAGTCTTGATGTTGAAGTGGTATTGACGGATGATGGAATCACTAAATAGGTCCACGTTAGAAACACTCAAGATAACATCTCAGGGCTTGCAAGGGTAAACTTACACATCATCAACGTTCAATGGCCTGACATCAGCAAGCTGCTTGATGTTGGCAGTGCACTCCTTGCATTGAGCGTCGGTCAAATCCAGGTTCAATTGCTCAACACGGCTCTTGATTGCGTTCCATCCGGTCAACCTGGACGCGAAGTGGACGTATCTGGTGAGACCGAAGTCGGCGGGGTTGATAATCTCGTAGGTGCTTGGGTTGGCAAGGATGGCCTTGGCGTGAATACCGGCCTTGTGGGTAAAAGCGCAGAAACCAGTGATGTAGTTGTTGAAGGGGATGTTGACCTCAACGGCCTCAGCAACGAGGTTCTCAAGGTCACGAAGCTTGTGGAGCTTGTATTTGCCCATAACGTAGTCACGGTCGGCAACGATCATGCGAGCCATCAATCCACCGAGAGGGGTGATACCGTTACGCTCACCGATACCGAGAACGGAGGTGTCAATGTGGGTAGCACCAGCCTCAAGAGCGCAGTAGGCGTTGGCAACAGCACATCCGGTATCGTTGTGGAAGTGAGTCTCGATATCGCAAGAGACAACACCACGGAGAGTTCGGATGAGGTCGTAGACCTGGCGGGGAGAAGCACATCCAACAGTATCGGCAATACCCTAAGTTTCCCTGTGTGAGTCACATGTTTCGTCGAAAGCTTTATCCTTGAAGAATAGGAAGAGCTTACAACACGGTTCACACCGATCTTGTCGACGGTGCGGTAAATGCTGAGGAGATCGACGAGATCTGATCGGAAAGAGTCCTCTGAAGAGAAACGAATCTCGATGTTGTGCGACTTGACGAACTCAATGACCTCAATGGCGGCCTTCGCAATGTAGTCCATATCCTTTCCGTGAGAGTGCTCACGGAGGAAAGATGAAGTTCCAATGACGACGTCGACACCATCAACACCAGTCTGGACAGCAATTCGAGCATCATCCATGTGGCATCGGATGTGAGTCAAGATCTATATTACCGGGAGCTAACATAAGCTTTCTATATTTTTCCTATAACAAAGAAGGAACACAAACCTTAGCCTTCAATCCGAGCTTGCAAATAGCCTCACAGTCAAGTCTTGACTGCTCTGATGCAGCAGGGGAGGTCAATTCGATCTGAATTCAAATCGTCAATAAAGTGTTCCAAGCTAAAGCCTCGGTAGCTCCGGTATCTCCGGGTAATTGGGTGGGGGAAGCCGAATGTTCAAAAAAAAAAAAATGAAGATGAAGTGACTCATACGTAATCAACACCAAAATCGTCCAGCGCTTTGGCAATCTCAATCTTCTTAGCAGTATCGAAAAAGGCGTTGGCGAATTGCTCGCCCTCTCTCAGTGTGCTCTCAATGATCTTGAATGAGCCAACATTGCTGAGGAAGTCCGGTACGGGCTGGTAGGGGTTTCTGGTGTTGATTGGAGGGCGCTGAGTGCGGGATTCTGGGTCAACTGCCTGGAAGGCATCCTCTAAGGTTGATTGTTAGTATTGAAAGTTGACAGGAGGGGGCCAATTGAGCACTCAGGGACTGCGGAATTTTCACACAGCAAAGATCTGACGGAGGAGGGGAGCTATACTGTTTGGGGAGCCGTTAGATTCGTTGGCGGCAGGAGGCATGATGGAATGTGATTCTTCGAGATGGATTTTTATGGATGTAGGGGAGCTTTGGGTTGGAGATTGTATCTAGAGATTGAGGTGGGATGTGGTTGTGTTTTTTGTTGGTGTTGAGCGATGAAAAAAGGGAAGCCAGAGGACCTTATATAACGAGGGCCAGTCTCTGGGCAAGCAAAGCAGTACGGTAAGCAGTGTGGAGAACGGGTGCAACAACTATGACTCGTTCGAATTGGGCACGCTTTGTTTTTCCCAATCTATCTTTGTAATTGATGTGATAGAGCCAGGATCTATTTCTCTCTTGATGCGGGGGTACAATAAAGAACGAGCAGCGCTGCAGAGGCGTGAAAAAAAAAACCCAGACAAAAAAAAAAGAGCACTTTTTTTTGATCCTCCTGTTCTACCACATTTCCTTGGTTACCACTTCCGTTTGCAGCCTAGCTCTCACTTGAAAATTTCAAACACAACCGATGCCGTAATTGCAGACCCTTGCTGGATGAATTCTTTTTGTCCGGGGAAACACCCAATTGTTTGAGGGTTAGGGTTATATCGCGCAAAACAAGGGTCTATTTTTTCCACTGCGATGAGCACAAGACAAGGCAGGGGTAGCTTCCAACATGACCGAGCATCACATGTATCGAATTCGTCTTATCGAAGAGCCGCAATCTCTGCCTATCATCGAGCTACGGAAGAGACCCTACACTTGCTTGTTCAATCATTTGCTTTTTTGATGAATAAGCAACCGCGGCCTAGAACCTTGACCTGCTTGCAGGTTATACCCCTGAGAAAACATCTATAGATACGTTGCATGTATGGACTTTGAATACATAGTAGTTTATTGGTTTGTAATCACTTTTTCTCTCTAGCCTAAGTATGGTTATGAACTTTAGCAAAGATCTAACCCTCGTTGGTGCCTATGTATGCATGCGAGTGCGTATTCATGACTCAAATATTAACGAGAACTAGATAGAGACCTACATTTATATGCGAAGGGAATGGACTATTCACTATGTGCACTCCCGTTGCAACTACCAAATATCTATTGAATTATATATCTGTGGTTCGTAACATAGTGCAATTCATAATTTGAACTGTCTGCTTACTTTATTCTAACCTGTTAAAAAAGTGGAGTCATATGATAACGCTACTTTGCATCGTTGCTGTTGAATTCGGAAACTCTTCTATTGCCTTTTGAGGGCCAGTTCTCTAGCTTTAAACTCTTCTTAGCTATAGCCGGGCCGGTCTTAAACTCCTTGTGCAAGCCCAACACTCGATCAACAATATGATATGAATACTATGTCAATCATTGACCTTTAAGATAATCCCATCTAAGTAGGCGTAGACAAATACCAAGTTTTTAAAACTAGCGGGCTCGGTGTTGCCTCGGCTGTGAGCTACTCGTAAAATAGTGAAAGATAATAGACGTACATACATGTATATGCAATAATCTAATACCTCTTATAGCTCCTATGTGTTCATAATTGTTTTTCCATCGTCTTGTGGGGAGCTAGCTGGCAACGGAAGGAATTTGATATACATATACTGGTCAATTCTTTGACCGATTTTTGCTCCTGTTCCGGCACGTGCATGTGCACTCTAGCTACGTTCTTTCATTCATTAATTTTCGCAGTTACTACATGGTGAGGATTTTGAATCATACTATGGCTTAGATACTTATCACAAACCCTATTAGCTGATGCGTGCGTTATTATAGAGATTGATACATGCGTAGTTGGTAATATAAATAAATACCGTTGTTTATCTCTCTAGGGGGAGTGGAAATGTGTACCTCGAATATTAAGTAAAGTCGTCGGGAAAGTCGTTTCTGGGGTCCCAATGTTCGCTGGGAAATGTCAATATTTTGGTGGAGGGAAAGTCGTTTTAAGGGAAATCGGACGACTTTACAGACGATTTTTTAATAATTTACAAATGACTTTACCGAAGACTTACCCTATCACGCTTCTATCACCCATATTGGGCGTATACACATGGGGGGGATAAGTTTCGGCCGCCGGTGGTGCTTCACATGATTGACCAAGGCCACCGTCAATGAAACGAATCATCACAGAGCATCCTACTCTTATACCAGGAGCATCAAGCCAGAATTTCCTGCATGTATATGCCAAACAATAGATCCACCAAAATGAAATTGTATTCCCCAGCTATGACAAGCCATTGATGCCAGATACAATTTGATGACCCCATCGAAATATTCTATTTGGGGACCAACTATCTCGAGATCTAGGGGAGAGGCTTCATTGGAAAACATTGATTTTCCGGCGGAAAACAGGAAACCCCGGAAACAGTCAGTAAAGTCGTATCTTATTGCCTTTAGCAGGTAAATGCATCAGTAAAGGTGTCGGTAAAGTGTCGGTAATGGGACAGGAATGCCTTTAACACAAAGTAGGTCGGTTATTGCATCAAATAATGTGTATCTCGCAACTTTTTGTATGGGAAACGTCAAAATTGATGCATTTCCACTCCTAGTAGAGTCTCAATCGATTCTTTCTAGGCCTTCTATATATGACATGTAATTTTACCCCATATACGCATTGGCAAACCGTACAAAGTACAGCGACAGGTAATAAGTGATGGAACGCCCTGAGAGTTCAAACACCAAACGTTGGTGGCATTTTACCAAAATAGGTATCGCTGTGTTCCATCACTTATTACCCACCGCTGTACATAACTCCAATAATCTTTTACATGTAAGATACGAAAATGTAAATAAAAAAACGCCCATTCTATCCGCAAAGACACACTCCAATAATTGTTGGATTCATGCACCAAAGACGGCCGTGGTCTTTAGTCTGACTGGTCCGTAATATTGCGATGAGCCCTGGAATAAACCAAATTGTGCCAGCCCCTCGATCTCGAAGTCCTTATTTTCCTCCTAAAATAGAGGGATGTAAAGCGATCCCTATAATAATATATTAGAATATATATTCAAGTCCCATAAATCCGTCAAAAAGCATTGGCTTACCATCTCTTTGAGAATTTTTGTAGTTACCAGGACCAGACTGTGCTCTTTGCCTAACACCCTTTCCATAGTGACTAGCACAGCTGAATATTCCTCGACGGCCTTCTCAAAATCGCTCTGCAATGAATAGCACACAGCGGTATCAAAACGAGCTCTGAGAACATATATATGCTCAGGCCCCACATTCTCAGAATAAAGTATAAGCGCTTTTCTATACTCTTCGAGAGCCAGAGTATATCTCTTAGAGAGCGTGTATAAATATCCCAGCTGTTGATGGCCTTGAGCTATTGAAATATGGCCCGCTGCTAGACTCCGTTGCCTATATTCTAGGTTCGAAATGTGGCTCCCCGTTGCCGTCTCAATTTCGCCCTGGTAGATCCAGCAAGTAATCAGTGTGTCCATCACTTCGAAACATTCGGGGTGACACAAGCTTCTGCTTTCCTTATAAAAAGGTGCTGCGTCTTTAACCATCTTAAAAGCCAAGCGGAACTGTTCGAGGGCTGCTGGCGTGTCGATTTTTTCGGGAATACAGGCATGAGCTATTGCGAATGCACTCTCAAAAGTCTCTGGACCCATACCATATCCTGCAATCTTGCAAGATTCTGCCATATGATTTCTGAGGCATTCGATACGTTTTTCGAGGTTTCCACTTTTCTGATGGATCGTAGCCGTATCTCGAATAGCACGTGTAATTACAGAAGGGCAGTTCCAGAAATTCTCTTTAAGACCAGCGACCACAATAGCGTTGGATTCCAAGGCCTCGTCATATCTCTTTAGATTCATGTATGCCAGAGACATGTTGTTGGTCGCCATCAATGTCTCAAAATCTTCCATCCCTAAAGACTTTTGATAGCCTTCCACCGCGCGTTTGGCATATTCAAAGGCCTTGTCGTAAAGCCTCATGTTCCGATAGGCAACTCCGATTTGATCCGCCGCTCGCATAGAAATGACACTATTCTTTCCGCATCTTTTTTCAAATTGTTCCAATGACGTTTCGTACAATACCAAGGCTTTTTTGTACTCTCCTCTGTCGATGTAATGTTTGCCCAGATGGGTTGCAACATCCATAGCCTGTAGACACCATCTCCCATGTACCTTCTCATATTCTCCAATAAGACGCAAAAACATATCCTCAGGATTGTAGTATCCAAACTCGCCATGAGCTGATAGAACAATGCAAATTTTGCATATGGCAGCCACTATCTCAAGCTGCATGGTATTCTCACCGAGGACATAATAACTATTGATCATTCTGTAAATCCACAGTATTGTTGTGTAAATCTGTTTTTCGAACATCCAGTCGTGATTGGTTTTTTGGTTTTGAGGGTAATCGATAGCAGCCGCCGTGACGAGGATCGTCTCTCTGATCTTTCTTCGTTCTTCGACTGGGTCGGCAAGCAGAGAATCGTAAAGCCAATCAAGCATTTTTTCACTAAACCAAGCGGTGCCATTCGCAAAGTTATAAATTACCAGTGATGCGTCATGAAGAAATTTTAGGGCGACACGCACATCTCGCTCTATGGGATCTAGTAAGTACTCTTTCGCTCATATTTCAAGGTATCCAGAGAATGACGTTGGGATTTCACATACCTTCGCCTAGCCATGGCAGCTCATTCCTTGCCCTGTGGAGTAATTCTACCGAAACTTTCCCCCGAGTATTGGCTCCAATAAACGCACACAAAAACAACATCTCCAGCGAGAAACAAGGAAGTGATATATCCTCCCATGTCTGGTCCCCATTCACATAATTTAGTGTGATCGAAGGCCTTGTCAAATCTTGTGAAGCCGTGCTTATCCTTAAATCGGGGAAAGTTTGCAAAAGCTCAGGTCGTATATTTATCCGAAAGGTCGGCCTTGTATGAGGTCCCATTAATGGCCCACCCACTCTATTCTCGAGTTGATTATAAACAAGAGTAACGGAACTCATCATAAACGAGCTAGAATTTTAAGATGTTGTATCTTATATATAGATCTGGGGAAAGAAATGATGAAAGTTCTGTGAGTACTTCAATTGTGAGGATAGGCGAAGAATGAAACAAAAAAGAAAAAAGAAAGATAGACGAAGAAGTATATACGGTGTACTTATACAGATTTCCGCTGTTTAAGAATTATTATGTCATTCTGCGGTAGATTATCTTATGATGACACATAGCGCCGTGGTATCAAATTCACAGCTTAACCGCATTAATAAAATAGAAGATAGTCGAATAAAAAGTATGAGAGGAAATACCTAGGCCTTATATAATTATTCACGACACTTTCTTGACGTCACGATAGTTACCTCTTCAAGAAACCACCCCCAACCCAGTCCCCAGCGCTAGCCTCAGTCTCAACTTTTTTTTCCAAAACACTAACGTTAATCCCAGATAATGAATTCATCTCACATAAATATTGCTACCTGTAATGTTCCCCATTTATCTCCTCGGTGAATGCCTATAACACCTTGTATTTACAAAAAGGAGAGAGAAAAAACACCGAGTGATACACCATGAATCAATCGATTCATGTTATGCTCATTAAAAAAGACCTTTATTGCTCACAATTCACCCGCTATGTATGTATGTATGCCATAAAGTAATAACCCCACCGCGGTTAAAGAAAAGGCTCATTTAAAAAAAACTCCATCAACACCCTCGCATCACCATGAGCGAGCCCTAGGAGGTATTTACATCTGAAGGGAAGTAAAGTAGAAGGAAAAGTAAGAATCAACGGCCGTAGTTTATAACTGGATATAGAGCAAAGTCAGTAGAGAAAGAGGGCAACGTAAATATAGTCCCATATCAGTCGTCTTCAAACAGACCCTCGATGGCCTTATAGTTGATTTTCTTTGAGTAGCTCCTGCGCTGCAACATCTGCTTCGCACTCTCTGCAGGCGTCGCAGCAAGGTCCTCGCTAGTACTATCTCTTGGCCTCTTCTTCTGACGACGTTTTGTAGGCTTTGCGATACCATTGCGGAGGTCGGTTTCGCGCTTGAGACGTTTGACTATCCACCAAGGACACCCATCAGCCACAAACCACAAACCACCATCAAATAGAGATGCAACTTACACTCCTGCTCCCGCAGATAGTCCTTATTGAACTCAACCCAAATCCTCTCTTTAAGGTCCGCTTCATCCTTCCCCAGAAGCGCTCCCATAACTTCAATGTCATCATCCACATCCCTCAGGTCATCCGGATCATCGCTGACACCCGACTCATGATTCTTTGCAGCAAGCTCCTCGAGTTCCTTCCGATGTGCCTCTTTCAGCTCCTCGACAGCTTTCGTGGAGTCAGGTGTATCGATCAGCGCCATCATCTCGCTTTCAATACACGCCTCGGCAATCGCATCATTACGATCCGCATCGCCCGACAAGCCACTCTGATTCAGATCTGGCTCCGCATCACCTGATGGCGGTGGTGTGGGGTTTGCCCCAGCCTGGAGCAGCGCAGGATCAATCGGCACCTCGGGGACAACAAATCCATCTTTATCTCTCCTTGGCTCCACCGGGACCGCCGGAACCTCCACCCTCTGCCTTTTTTGCGCTGGCTGCTCCGTCTCAGTCTCTTTATCGCCTATAACCTCACCATCGTCGTTGACCTCCCTAACCCTTCTTTTCCTTGAAGGCTTTGGGCCAAAGCTAGGAGGATCATGGCCCTGCTCCAGCCAGATATTCCGGAACTCTTCAACAGTGAGATCACCGCTCTTCGTGGCCCTGAATTCGTCTAGACGCTTCTGGATAGTGAGGTCCGCAACCTTGACAATGTATACAACTTCTCTTACTGAGCGGCGGTAGTTGTTCATTCGTGCTGCGAGGAGAAGAGCTGCTCCACAGATACCGGATGGCCGTCGACCTTGAACCATCCAATCGCGGTTCATACGCTGAATAAGACGTAAAGCATCGTTGGCAACGGTGACAGAGTCGTCGCCAAATTCGAGGTGCTTGGCGAAACGGTGAACGTAGACAGTGGGGTCGATGTGGGGGAGGCGGACTTCTAATGTTTGAACAAGCTTAAGGTACGTTTGCCCGAGAGTAAATACGTTGATCTGGCATGAAGCTAGTTATTAACATTTGCTTGTGGTATCTGGGGAGGGGAAGGAGACTTACCCCGAGCATATCAGAGAAGTCAATCAGCATGTGAGAACTCTTTTCGTTGCGACAGGAGATATACAAACAGGAGGCGATCACATATTGGGTTTTACGACCTTTGGTGAAGTTGTTTGTTACAGCGAGCGTGAACCATCGCTGGGCGGTGTCGACGTAGTGGGAAGGACATTTGAGTGCTTCAGCGAGCTGTACGATCTTTCGCCTGCCTACAATTCGGAAGAGGCATATTAGCTACAGAGCTAACCTCTTTATGACCGACCACAACTCCGGGAAATAATTACTCCGATGTGGATTGGGAGAAGGCGCTAGATCGAATAACGCTAATGGCCGCAACAGTAGAAAGCCCTCCTCAAAACAGCTCCTCAAAACAGAACAAAAGAGAGGGAGAAAAAAAGCCACGGTCACTCTTACCATGCATAATGGCAGCATCTCGACTCTCCAGACTGGTCCCACTCCTAAACTTGCCTCCACCACCAACATGCGTCTGTCCCTCAGCGACATAACTCCCTTGCACCATCGCCGCCCCACTACTCGTCTCGCCAAAGGTGATCTCCGAGACGATCTGACTGTCTTGCAGGACCGTCCCGCAGTTCGTGCACACGAGCGTGCCATTGCTGTCGTCGAAGTCGGCGGGGTTCGAACTCGCACAGCCCGGGCACGTGTTTTTCGCCATTCGAGTAGGCTAACCGCTCGACAACAACAAAAGATTGCTGCAAAGGTGTAGATAAAGCTTGTACTTATAGTAATGAGTCACACACACGGTGACAGGTTGCATGGATTGCAAACTGGTGGGAATTCGGACCTGATGGATGTCTGATGAGAATGGAGAATCGGTACTCTTTTTTTTCTTTGGTGGAATAGAAAAAGGTTTGAGGACATGCAGGCAAGGGTGGATGATGTTGAAAAAGTCGAGAGATGCCCCGCGGTAGGGAAATATTTGGGTTAGTGGTCGGCGGGAAGACTTGGCGATGAGGCTCTCACCTAACCCTGTTGCTGCACCTTCTGGAGATCTCTAGCTCAGTAGAGTAAGGGGGAAGAAATGAGAAAAGGATAAGAAGGGTGAGAGGAACAAGAAGGTGAGATACACCATGTACCTTTTTACTCCTCCAGAAGATACATGTATCCTCTACATATTGAATACCACATCCACCCGCACACGCAAGCTTAACGTCGTCCGTCGTTTGCTGACATAATATGCTGCGGATGGCAAGAAGTAGCGGGAGCGTTGGCGAATTCTTCAACATAAGCTTTATGTACACAAATTTCTGGAATCGGCGAGATAAAATATAAGCTGTGTCTTCTCTTCTATGTCTTCATGATATCATACATCTTGAGGCACTCTCTCTATCAACTAGCCCCCCACCCTCACCCACACCGAGGACTCCCAAACTCAGCTGAATTCAAAAAAACAGACTGCACTTGCACCTTCACTTGCACTTCACTTGCATAATGAAAATCAAAGGCTAGACTAAAAACCACAACCAACGCTTTCACTTTTACCAATCACATCCCTCCCAAGGCCCGAACCCCCGGGCCGTCCTACTAGTTCCTCCAGAGTAGGGAAAGAAGCCTTATTTAACCGGCACCCAAAATCACCATCAATCACTCGCCAACAAATAGCAACCCATCCCATGCCATGCAACCCCTCCAGATGTAACTCTCCTTCCTCGGAGTGCCCCCAGACGTGTTTGCAATCGAGGCATCCGTCGATTGCTGTGTTGTGTTCCTTCCCTCCCATAGGTTCTAGTACGAGTACCAGTTGAATTACTCTACTCTACTCTACTCAAGTCTAGAGCACATACCTACATGCTCTAGAGTAGCTAGTAGTTTTTCTGAGTTAGGTAGGCCGTGCATCCCGGTCTACAAGCCAGCAATCTGAACCAATGTCTCACACGGGAGAGAGTAACCGCCTCCGATAACCCAAATGCAGTACAAAACCCTGATTCCTACTGTTCAACCTTTGATAATCCTCCGATATGATGCGGAGGATCAACCACGATTTGTGCATGTATGTTGCTCTAAGGGGGAAAGAGAGAGGAGGGGTATGTGTTGCCTGTGCTCTCGATTGGTTTTGACTGACGCGTGGAGAAATTCTATATGTATCCAAGGAAGGGCGCTCTTAAGCTTTTTCTCTTCTCTTTTTCGGTCGCTCTCCCCATTGAATTTCTCCCGACGGTTGCCATTCAGCTGTGCTTGAGTGTCCGCGTCATCATCTAATTTCCGATCTGATCTTCAATTTTCCCTTTTATAATCATCATCACCCTCGACCCCCCCCCCCCCACCCTCTCCAACCAACACACTCTCCCTCCGGGCGAGCGAGTGAGTGTTGCCTTACCCTCTCTACTGAGCTCCGCCATTATGTCTTTTATAGGCCGCCTATGTTCGGGCTTCGGGCTCTTTTCAGCAATCCGGCCCCGCCGCAAAACATCCCAAGGAAAGACGGCCCATAGCGTTGCCGGTGCTGATACTGGTATATGTAGTGCATGTACATCCTCTTCCGACAATTGCAATTGTCTCCATACACGCGGAACCATGGTTTCTACTTCCTCCTCTTCCACCACTAGCGACGATGCTACATCACCCCCAAGATGTTTGCTACTAGGACTCGAGGGAAGTGGGAAAACGACTTTCGTGAACAGGATAAAGACTGGGGAATACATAGACACGGAGCCCACGAGCGATTTTCTCGGTATTACTTCCAGTTGCAAGAAAGAAAAAATGTAAATCCATTGAGACTTTTCTGACAATTATATAGTGGAAGAGGTTGTGGTCAATAAAAAAGGCGAGACGATAACCTTCATCGAGGTTGGCGGCACAAACCGTCGAGGGATTCGGCTTCAATTTCTTAAGGCCATGCCAGGCCAGGCAATCTCAATTCTCTTCTTCATAGACGTCACTTCAAGCCCCGAGGCTCTTCAGAAGGCATTCGAGGAGCTTGTGTATGTCATAACGTATACGCAAGAGCGTGCGTGCTCGATCCACTATCTCGGCGTTGTTCTCAACAAGCAGGATCTTCTCAACTCGCCCCCAACTAGTCTGTCAGGAAGGACGAGAAAGAAGAGCTTGAGCTGGGGCACTAAGAAACCTGTACAGCAAAAACAGCCGCGAGTTGATCTGGACCTAGAGAGATATGTGGCGATGGAAGTTATAGAAGGGGAAGAGAATGAACGTATGGATAGCCAAAGCGAGATTGTGAAATGGATTCAGAAGGAGACCCGAGACGCAATCGAGAAACACAAACTCGCCCAGCCGGAGGAACTCGACTTCTACTCCGAACTACTCTATACCGGCCCAGATGGGAAAGGAATTAGTATGAAAAGAGGAGACGGAGTGCAGGAAGTCTACCATAGGCTGGTGCAGGGAATGAAGGCTGGAAGGGAAAGGCCAAGTCTTTCAGTGCTGGAAAAAATAGCAGAAGAAAAGTTATAGTGCAAGAGTTTTTTATGATGCTAACGAGCTGAAAATTGGTTTATTGGGAGTAATGGGGTTTTTCTTAGACTGACAATGGGTTCCTGCCCTATTCGCTCTATCAGGGGGTAAATGAGCGCCTTTGCACAAAACACTTTTATTTGTATTTTATGATTGATGGCTTTTCTCGAATATCTTTGTAAAAATGAAATTGCATATTAGTAGCACAATTTTTTCAAACAAATATCCTATCATTGTGTAAATTTCTGTACCGAATCTCGCTTCAATACCCGTCCCAGGGTGACCCCGGCCCGCTTAATTCGGCTATCGGATTACCCAAGAGATCGATGAAATGCCTTCCGGTAGAAATATACATGACTAGGTTGCCTACTACATGCAGCTTTCCGAGTTATCCGGCAGCATTACCAGGCCTTTACTTATCGTTGTGGGAACATTTGCTTTGCGATGTAGTTTCGTACTACATTGCAGCTTTAACCCTCAAGATGAAGTAAACCCGAATTTTCTAGAGCCCCTCAATGCCTAAGATCGAGATTCTCGCCGGACTTCGTAAATACCCAGAGAAAAACGACTTGTTTCAATTATGATAGCTCTGCGTTGGCGTGACGTAAAAACGCCCAAGTGCTTACTGGAGAAAAAAACGATGCAAATAGGATTGGTAGAATCCTAACGCCCCATGAGACGGGCGTACATACATACGTAGCGCATGCCGGTGAGAAAAATCTGATGATGTGGAGAGATGAGATGATGAGAGGGAAGTGGCGATAGAGTTGTTTCAAATGCCTGTTTCAGAACTGATGTAGGAGGATTGATTGGGAGGTTGGGGCATAGCTGGAAGCTTATCCTGAAAACACGTTTCTGGATCTGATTGCACTAACACCAACGGGAGATAAATGGCTTGGACTCTGTAGATCTGGGGATATTGACATCTCGACGGGTCTTGTTATTCCGACGTTTATGTCTCGCAACCGAGGGCTACAGTTATTATAAAGTTAAATAGCGCAGTACTATGAATCGAAGACATTCTAATTTTTATTATATTCTTAGTCATGATCGTATATCGCCAGTCATGAAATATCACGCGGATTGACAACAAAACCGAGCCATCCCTAAGCACCAACCCACCCCTGAAGCCCTGGGCCGGCCCGTTCAGAATCAGGCATAAAAGGGAACTAATGCAGGGCTCACTTAAAACTCATATAAAGCGCTTGGGCCAGATGAACTAGCCTTCAAAACTAGTGTTTTCCCCAAATGCCGGTTTTGGGACGGCGGTGATTTGTAAGTTCGAGCAGAGCCATCCTAAGGATTCCATTCTTCAAAACCGTCCTACGGTGCCGTGGTCCACATTTACACCAGGTATTGGCAAACAGAGAAAGGGGGGGGGGGGGTGTGATTAAATAAGACACTCAGTGAAAATGATTTGAATGATGTCTTTTAATTGGCTGCTTCTCACCCTATCACGCCGGAAGCCCTGCCAGTGTCAATATTGGTTCTACTCACTTATATATCCTTGGTACGTCCGTAGTACTCATCAAGCCTCCTCTCCCAGGACGATACCCGTAAATAAACACACATATATATGAGAGTAATGGCCATGGTGGATAGTGGGGGGGGTGAGGGTGTAGGTGGCCATAAGGGCTACGATTGATCATGGTATACACGTGCACCCGTGACTATCCTATCAAAAACGGAATTGTCGGTTGACCTGTCGGTACTGTACTAGTATGATGTTAGGCCCCACTATTTATAGGAGACAATGAAATGAACAACAAAAGTGTAAAATCACAATTAGTGGTAACTATAGTCCATAGCCCTATAAGCCCCCATCACTCGAGCTCTCATAGAGAAGTTATCAATTGTAATATGAGCTGGTATCTTGATCCGCATTCCGACCAACAGTAGATTGTGCCTTGAAAATCTCACCGGGATACCTCAAGAGAAAGACTAAGTGATTACACGTGATCACCTTCATGATTTATCACTCGATATCTCCTAGGATTCTTGTGCTGCGTTTTTGATTGGTTAATTCATTAGTGACCCTTGTTGGTATTTTATGGGCGTAAACAACTTTCAAAGTTCATTTGGTATGCTTTAAATCTTTGTAAGTTCAATTCTGTTAGGGTGGGGTCAGGGTCGAGTACGCGCGGTTTGTGAGCCTTGCTGGGTATATATAGGAGCTGTGTATATAGACCAGCATGTATGGTATATTGAAACAAAAAAAAAAAAAACTCGCCAGGATACAGATATAATATTATTAGTTTTATTTGATACAAGCTCAAGTCGAATACTTGTATACACATCGTTCCTTGCAGACAAGAGCACCGTGTCTCTACGTTTTAGGATGGATCTACGGCTTTGGCAATGTCCCCATGCATAGTATACTATGCATATGTAGGCTTAATGTTGAAAGCTAGATATAGGTCCAGAGGTTACGATGTTACCTCATGACCTATTTAATGACCTACAGGAGTCAGGCTGTAGTTATATCAAGTATCCATTCACTACGGTTGGCTTTTCAGGCGCCCTTCGTATATAATTGCGATGATTATATATTAGCTCCCAGGCTGTACATATGTCACGAGGACTGCTTTACAATGTGTATATGGACCGCCTAATAAAGGGTGTTGAGCGTAAGCGCTGACATTTGTACTTCGACAAATCCGCGGAACCGGGCTCTCGACTTTGATAGGCAGGTTTTCCGCTGGGTGCACTTTGTCAGCTGTGAGTTACTAGGGTCCTTGAGCGACAAACAGCCGAAGTAGTTGGCATATATATAGTCTCGTGACTACATGCACATCTGCAGAGGTTACCACCAAAGCCCAAGGACCCGAACGTGACCAGTTAGCTTTCCTGATGCGCTATATAAATTTATCAATCAAGATAATTATTTATCGCTACTACAATACCTAAGTCCATAGTTTAACTTTTGCAGTGTTAAGCCCTAACCGAAATTGCTGATACAGCTAAAAGTTAAGATCCTATAGAATGCATTAAGGGATTTTACCTCCTCCCACAAGTTTTCTAATCAACGCCCATGTAAAAAATATAAAAATAATCATCGTAGATTTTAACCACCGTGTAGACCTCCCTTCGACCAAATAATCTTTATAAACGATGGTAAGCTAGTAATTGGGTCTGCAAAAACAGAACAAAGAGTCACAAGCAAATCACGTGATTCGTTTCGGAGTGAGACATTTCGACGAAGCTGAGTTCGAACGTTGAGAGGCGACGTACTAAGAGCTGTAGAGGTTAGAAGTGTGAGTTTATAGGAGATATGAAGGCGATACGGGAGAATGAGAACTTAAGCAGGCATAGAATATGAAATCATAGAGTATCACTCGTGCTGCTACTATGATGTTTGTTTCCATTCCATGAAATGCGAAGACGGACACTCGGATAAAGTGTAGGCCCTGTAAACGTTAACCATCATCCATTCACCTCCCACCAAATTCTTCACCACACCTCCAATAATACCTCCCACCCCACCACACTTCCAATCACACCTCCCGCTACACTCCCATCATACTTCCCGCCATACTCACAAACTTCCTCTGCAGAGATTAACTTAATCACCACAACCACAACCATAACCATAAGCAAACCTCTTTTTTAATTCAACATGTTTTCCGAAACCATCAAACCACCGCAAACAATACTCACTTTCGGTCTCACTCTCGAGCTCATAACTCATCTTCCCAGCTCCCAAGATTCTATTACCACTATCGCCTCCCATCTTCGCACCAATCTTTCAGTTCCCTTCTTTTCCCCAGCCTCAGGCCCCTACACCGCCCCCACGACCCTCGTCACCGCTGCAGGCCCACAACTCATCCCCAGCTCCCCCACGATCCCCCATCCCGTCGTTGACTGGATCGGGGACCACCCATCTCCACGCCATTACCTTGTAACCATCCGTCACAGCCTCCATCGTGGTATCACAGACGCCATGGCTCATCACTCGTGTGGTATCGTAGTCGAAACGCCCATCTTACGCGCCTTCAGCGCCATCGATTTTGCCGTCACTGGTATCTCCGCTGCTCTTGGAGCTCTTGGGAAGGACATGGTTGAATTTACGCCTTATTGCGGACTCTGTGTCCACATGGGTCGCCGTGGGGGGTTCAGTCTCGATACCATAAAGGGACTGGCGAAGGCAGTCGTAGTGTTTGAACGTGACATAGAGATGTACTGGCACCCAAAACATAGATACATCTATGGGGAAGGTGGCGGCCGGTCTAATCGTGGGGATCGTAGCGCAGTGAAGTTAGTCGGGTTGATCGAAGACCTGAAGAGCGTTGGGGGCATCAGCAAGTTGCTTTGTGAGCAAGGCGTGGGGGAGGATTACAAGTATAACTTCCAGAGCCTAGTGGCTGTGGGGTGTATTGAGTTCCGCCAGGCGCAGGGGACGTTGGATGTCGAATGGATACAGTCGTGGGTAAGGTTTTTGGCGCTGTTTGCAAAGTCAGCAGAGAATGCGCCAAAGGATAACTGGGAAGAGTGGGCTAGGGGTGAGGGAGGTGGACTGGCGGAGTTCTTGAAGTTTGGGACTGATGATAACAGTGACGGTGGCGGTGAGTAAAAGATGGAGTATTATCAGTAGCAACTTGGTATAGGCGTCATGGGTTTTTTATCCGATTTTTTCTTCCTTTTTTGCTGTAACTCCGAATGGGTATCCCCTACGGCAATAATTTTAGATTCTCTACTCTGTAACATTCATATTAGTTTGATGATTTCTTTTTAGCCATCTTGTACTGTCATCTCTCCTCGTCTTTGTTATGATTAGTTTCACAGCCCCCTTTGTTTTTGCTTACATTTAGAGCTTAGACAGAATCTAAATAATACAACGGTTGCTTTCACAAATTTAAACCACGTATCAGAGGTTCTAAATACGTAGTGCAAGAACTAGCATCACAATAACAGCATTCTAATACCTAAACGTTATACTACGTAGTGAAACACTCCAAAACCCGGTGCGGTCCAGCAGCCCCCCCTCTCTTTGGACTCCACTTTAGAGTATACTATCACGGCATATTACTTCTTTACATGTAGTTATGCGCACTCTCACAACAGACCACCGCAGGAGAGTTATTACATAGTACTTATCGAGTGATGGTCCATGATCTAAATTGGTACAAGGTTTAATGGATCTTGTATTTGACTATAGATATGGAATCATATACTTCGTAGTAAAGCTATAGAGCGATCCATTATACATAATTTATTTTATTAAACATCTCGCATCATTTTTGCTTGTCTTTTTACTGTGCTTGTAGTTTCCTCTCTCTCTCTCAATTATGGTTTGATATATAAATCATGATCTCTATTGAATACTCTAAGATTCTAAATACCATCAATAGCTAGATAATAGGAGGTTAGGAAAGAGCCCGGGAATAAACTCCCTGGGTTAGTTGGGATCATGTGTCTTCTATGTGGTTGTGGGGGTAGGGATATTTAGTTGACTATAGAAGGATAAGTCCCGCCAGAGTTTTCTATACTTGAAACTCGCTGATAAATTTATTTACTGAACCCTTCTTTACGCGCTGTGGGACTAGTCATAGGCAATTAAGAGTCCCATTTTACGGCCTGGCATCTTCGAGTGATTTATTATGATGCTACAATAGCCCTATCGCAAGGGCCTAACAACTTACGTAAATTCATCGTTTACCCGTACAGAAATAATTGAAGAAAGGTAAAGTAAGAACGAAAATAAGTAGTTATTTTTGCTGGATGCACGTATGGCTTTTCAAATGGTATGTCGACAGCGAGACTGGACACGTCATTTTGACCCTATCTGTGTGCTAAGTACATGTAGTTACAAGTAGCCCCACCAAGGCCCATGCACGCACTTCACTCAAACAACCTCCGAAACGTAATCAACCTTGTGCTTACAACAGAGCCATTTTAAAGATCGAGTGATACAGCATGATTAAATGACGCCAATTAGGGGACAAGAACCGCAGATCTAAACTGTTCTAGGTATTGATATACGGGTCGTGCAATTAGCCCACTTACTTCGCATTGTGTCATTGCCTACCCGATATGACTGGCGGATTGATTGGGTATCCGTCCTCGCCTTTTTATTAGTACAGACAACCTCGCTGACACTTCTCTATCCAGAACGCCCCAGTAAACTTTTACCATCATCTTGCAAGCAGATACTTCACAAGTCACAGACCAGCCTTGTAACACACTGATTCACATAGTCTTCGTCACACTTCATGTGACTTCCCACCCTCTGCAGATCACTCCGTGACAAAGATCCCAAGAGGACAGAAGGATCAACTTACCTACTGACCCCTGACGTGACAGCTCATCACAATAAACAAGTCCCATGCCTTTCCCATCATAAAATGCCATAACACAAATACATCCACGGATGCCTCTCAGCTCACCGGTGGCAAAACGGGCTATCAAAAAAGCCCGTGCGCATTGACGATCTCTCTACATACCCGCCCAGCCACCCCCAACCCAGGATCCAGAGAAAGAAGGTGGGCGAGTTTGTGGGGCAGATATCGATTTTCGCGTATGTACGGCGATAGATGAGGATGTTGATCAACATCTTGGGATGTTTCGAATATAGGAGACGAGCGAATAAGAACGACGCACAAACACAGAGATTGGTGAGAGAGGCACCCAGCCTTGTCACTCATCATGATGAGCAAAAAACTACTAATATAAGTCACATCACGGGTCACTATATAAGGAACCACACCCACCATATACCGTCCGCTTATCTTCCAGAGAGGTATTCAGAACTTGGTTTTATTTCTGGAGTCAAGTAGATCAACCGTCATATCTGACGTCCCAATCTATAAGAAACCGGGAGAGAGTCACATACCGGCCATGGAATATTCTATCGGAAGATGGGGTGGCCGATAAAAACGAGACTTAGACTAGCTGGTACGCGGGGTAATGATCATCGGGACTCGTTACCGAATCATGCGCACTGATATTAGGACTCATCTATTTTTTTCTTGGTTTAGGCATGGCTGCCTAGAGCTATTAATCGGTAGATTATAGCATGAATTTCCCCTCTCTGTTCCAGAGTAATTTACTCCAGCTTTAGGCAGAGGTAGAGAAGGTTTCGGACAAGAAGCTTGTTGTTGTCATCGTACTAAAAAAGCACTTAAGCTTTCAATGTCTTGGCTCGCTCATCCATGAAATCACTGCCAAGCATCACGAATTCCCTCTGATATCCCTGCCAGAGCAAGCGCGGTATCAAACCATAGACATATCTACCGATCAAAACATGTCCGCCCTCCGCCGCCGCCTCCCCCGCCTACAGCGTCCTTACTCTACCCGCACTATCCTCCCCCACCCAAGCTGGTCGGTGCGCACGCTCCTACCTAGCTCCGACCCCTCCTCCACAAAGAGTACGCCCACAATCTCACCATCGACACTCGCACACCTCCTGCGCCTATCCGCGCTCCCACCACCTGCCGACCCGGCTTCACTTCACGACCACCTACACTTTGTACGCTACCTGACTAAAGTCAAGACCTTGGGCGTAGTGCCGATTGCGGCGATCCGAGACGAGGTCCACCTGGCGGGCGAGTACAGTTACGAAGATGTCATGGGCACGGAGGAGCAGCTGGACGATGCGGGTGTGGGCGATGGTGGGGACGTGTCATGGAACGCCGTGGATAGGGCCAAGAGGAAGGTCGGTAGCTTTTTCGTCGTTGACGAGGCGGTCGAGGATGAGTTGGTGAGACCTGAGGTCGAGAAATGATCGGGTTGCTGGATTTGGCGTTTTAGTTTTAGTTTTTTTAGTTTTTTTTTTTTTTTTGTAAATTTAAATTTTATATCTCCTTTTTTTCACATATGGATACCGAGGATCATCTATTTCGCTCGAGTCTGTTTGCATTAAGGATCACTCGGTGGCGATTTAGGACAGCTCACAATAAGGTGTAGTATAGTGCATACCCCTAATACCTACTCCTCGTAATTATTTCTTTGGCAACTTCCCCCCGCCTTTCGAACAATGCAAATTGCTTTTTAATGAGGCGGCTATAAACTTTTGTTATGACCTTATAGAAATGACTTTCGCACATATATCAAGTCCGAGGCCGCCGGAGATATCAATCATTAAAGACTATTTTGATCCCCTCTTCGATCCTCACGCTTCCCTTTTTACTTTTGCTAGTTCGGACCACATGATAACGCCAGTTGTAAATGAAGGACACAATATGCAGGAACTGCAGCAAGAATGAATGCCCACCCGTACTTAAGTAACCCGCCTACTCTTAAAACGCGCTCGTAGGGCTCCAAACGAAAAGTTGCTTATTTTGCCCCCGCAGCTGGCTGCAACACCGGGACCCCGCCAAAATAAAATAAGGAAATAAAAGGAAGCAAAGACCAACGTTAATTAGTCAATTTTCTTGCCGTGCTCATCGAGTCCTGTAAAGCACCACCGGGATCCCAATTAGATTAATTGTGCATATTAGAACGATAACAGAGGGCAGATTGACGTATCAAATGACTCCCCATGACTTACCATGTAGTTTCCACCATCTTTTCAGGCAACTCCACTGGTGGAGATCGAAACTTTCTTCGCGTTCGAACGGACACATGCACCTTGCGTAGTCATGACTCTCGTCATCCGCTGGACAGCGTCCCCTGCGCATCGTAGTTGGTGAGCCTTTTGTTTTCTTTTTCCTTTCCCTTTTTTTTTTTTTTTGTTCTCATCGGATTGCTGGTGACACCATGTGCACATGCGCATAAAACATGAGATGGTAAGGCAAAGGGCAGTGGGGGTTGAACTTACCATGGCACGTGATTGTAACCAACGTCACTAAAAAAGTGTATTTGATCCTTAGGGAGGAATAGAGCAGCTGCGACTGAATGAACTGGAGCGTCTCCCCATCGTTCGTAATAGAAACCGCCTTTTTTGTCGAGATAATCAAAGTATTTGGTATATGCTTCCCCACGCCAAAAGTTTAGATCGGCAATTTCAAAGTTGGACCAAAAGTGGCAGTTATTGTAATCGGTGCCCTCGATTCTGTAAATTATAAACTATTAGCAAAAAACTGTGGGGGCAAAATGGGCAGGTCTGGCAATTTAACTCACCCTTTGCTAGCATCATCGTCGGTAATAAATCCCAGCGAATTATCCCTTGCAATGTACTGTGGATGCAGCTTCGCGAACTCCTGTGTGGTTGACCAAAGTGTTTCGATGGTCTCACGATATTCTGGAAGTGATATGACGAATGAGTACTTCTTGTTATTCTCGCGCATGAATGTGAACGGATCATAATTCATGTCACAGTAGAAGCTTGTGCTCGGTTCCACCCGCCAGTACCTGCAGTTGCCCATCACATTAGCATCCCAGATCCAGACAACAGCATGTAACACCACTTTCTCCGCCTTCTTCTTCCCGTCCGGGATTGATTAGGCCTGTGGGATGATTCTCACCAGTCATATTTTTTCAATGCCTCGTGCCTCCAGAAAAAACCCGAGTTATAACGACACATATGGCGATAAGTCCGTGAATCACCGTAAATGACATTCTTCTCGGACATCCACTTAATTGTCTCTTGGAACTTATCCTCCGATATCCATTCGGGCATACTCCATTCTTTCTCCGGGATCAATCCATACTCGGTGGCGCCCGATGCCATGCGAGTGGTGTGATTTCGAAACTCCTCTGTGAATGGCTCGTCATTGAGGAAGGTCCATGGATAGTGGTAATTGCGGTTAAAGCGATCCTCTATCTGCTTCATCGCTGTGAGAGCATCTTTGAGCTCACGGTTCCTGGCGAGTTAAAACACGCAGAATGCACTGATCAGCTGATGTCCTGATAAAAATGGTATGATAGTAGTTTTATGTGGGGGAATGTCGAACAAGATAGAGATCGTACCGAACAAGCATCACCAATGAAGCCTTTTCCTTCCCTACCTGCACATTCCCTTTACTTGCGAGCAATCTCTCTCTTGCCGCTGCCTTCTCAGCGAGAAGGTCCGTTATTGACCCTGCATTTTTGATTGCTGTATGCTCCCCACTGGCGTCGAGTGAGCCTAGACCATAGCCGTAGAGGTTCCCCGTGTACCCTTTCCACGCAACCACGAGGACTCCAAATACAAACAGCAAACCCAAGACCTTTAGGGCCTTATTAACCCCATATCCCCTTTTCCGGGCTCTGAACCCCAGGTTCGAGCTACCTGAATTCCTCTGAGCCTTATATTTCTCGAATGGATTGTCGCTGTCAGGACGGCTCGGGGAAGAACTCCAATAGTTTGTGGAGTTATAGGACATGCCTCCTCCTCTGCTGATCCCTCTCTTGTTGGTCCAGTATTTGCCGTGGGGGCGTTATATGTTATTAGTCCTTCGTTTGAAGCTTATATACGTACGGTGGAAGCTGAAGCTATGTTCGGGGTATCAATAAGTCTCGTGCTGTTAAGTTGGAAGCTGAGCAGTCAGGCAATTAAGCGGCCGGATCGACACCCAGGAATCGCCAATGTCAGAGCTGCCCAAGCTATCCTGCATCTGTCCTGAGAGATGACACATTTCATATTCCCTATCGTCAAGACAAACGGGTGTAAACAAACACGGGTGTAAATTACAGTGGAGCTTCTCAAAGCCAAAGCATTTATTAACTACGATCGAGGGGCAGCCCTGGTGTTACTACCCGGACTAAGAGATGGTCGACCTAGGTATGTACTTGTACCTACTCTTTATGTGCTGCCAGCATGAGACAGGGTAGCACCAGGCAATTCCGGCGCAAGCCTTGGCAAAGTTAACAGTTTAACAGCGTAAGGGATATCGCAACCTCTCCTGCTAGTGATATATTGGCAGGATATCTTGGGGCTCTAGATCAAAGTTCACATTCTTATCCTCCTTATAACCATCCTTTTGCAGCTGCATGTCCCCGCTGAACACAGCCACCACTTCCCGTGCAGGATGTTTAGGCTCTGTTTGGAAGCACCATCTCGTAGCAACCACAATTCTCGGAATTGTATTTTGGTCAAATTGTATTTAGGACATCCAAACGCCTCTGAACAATATTTTGTTGCAACGGCTCACCATGTCCGTTGCAACGAAGATGTTGAGTGCAATTGCGTTGCAATAGAGAAGAGGTTGGATTGCGAAGATCATGATTCCAGGCTCTAGATTGAGGTTTGAAATGGTGTATCCAATTTCTCCAAATCACAATTTGCCCAGGATCATGATTTGGGGCGTTGCAGCCATTATTTGCCTGGCTTCTAAATGGAGTCTTTGTTGGAAGCTCTTTAGAGGTATATATCTTTATCCCAATATGCAAGTGTCTATAGCATGGTACATTCTGGAATCTATATCCTGCTACATGTAGGCATGAGAGGTGGATTGGGGTTACAGTCGTCCACAGGGTGAAGACGAACACTGGGTGTAGACGAACAAGGATTTTTGGACAAATAGAAAGATCACTTGGGCAGCTTGGCTGTTTCTTGCCATATTGAGAACCCTGGTTCGTCTTCACCCAGTGTTCGTCCTCACCCTGTGAACGACTGTACTGTACTTTTGTTGCTGCTAGCAAGCCAACGGAACAGAAACCCAAACCCTCGTTTCCGACCCAAAACAAACAACCCTAATCCATCATCCCATACCTGAACACTCGTCATGTCATGTCAGGGTTTAGGGTTCGCACTACGGCCACCTTCCTAGAGAGTTTCGCCAAGTCACCTCTCCGCGGCGCAGGGAAGGTGCCCGGCCGGTGGAGCTCGTTCATCTCTTCTTCCTTGCGAGCGACATGCATAACTTAGGCAGATTGTGAGATACAGACAAGATTACCTACTTACATACCTAGGTTCTACTCTAGAGTACCTACATGTTTAGACGCAACGCTCACGTTTTATTTATGGTTTCCCCCCACCCATGCAAAGGACGGCGGTGTTACCAGCATGAGGAAACATCTCCAGGTGGTGGTGGTTACCTTAGTGGGTAGGGCTTTCCTGGCATTGAAATTACTTTAACGCTTTTAATTGCCGGTTGACTGAGGGAAAATCACCATGTCTGTACCTATGCGATGACCGTTTACTCTTTCGACAATACTCGTAAGCTTAAGCCCAGTCAAAATTTTAATACGAGCCAGGAGGCGCTCTCATGCACTGTATTCACTTGCAATTGGTCCAATGATTGGTCTCCAGCGTGTGGGTATGTATCATATGTAACGTTCAGGATAAAGCTGCATATGAGGATAAGGACACCTAGATACCACTAGATTAACGTTTTCTTCTGCTGATGGTGTTGCTATTTTACTCCATGCGGATACAACGGCAGCGAGTGATACGCCATGATACGGCGCACCACTTTCGGAAGGCACCCGTGAACACAAAAGATCTTTCAGCCTTCTCCTATATGTGCAGAGATAATTTTTTGACACCATCTTCCGAGATGCCCGAGAAAGAAAGAATAAAAAACATTTCTCTCCCTGGCTGAGATGTGGCCCGAAGTGATGAGGAATCACTCTGTGTTCCTAATCGCCCGGCGTAATCCGCGCTGCACCTGTGTCCTAAGATGGTTAAGCTCAGCACAATAACCACCGTTTTATGGGTGGAAGAAGAAACCACATTCAAACAGGGAAGCGCACGGGTAGGCGCTTTTTTTTGTCGTTTAATTTACCAAGGACCCAGTCGGGTATTTTTCGACGTGTGCAGATATCCGAGCAGGAAATCACGGTGCACTGTGCGGCAGAGCACTATATCGTGCTTGTATGTACCGGGTGTTGAGGGTAAGTGATCAGAATCTGATAAGTGAATGTTACAGTGAATAGGTGTATTTGTCATCAGATTCTGATCACTTTTCGCTACACACTAGTACATTGATACCGAACATCTCATATCCTCCCGCGGGCAGAAAAGAGACAGGGTGGGTTGATAAGAAGGATGGGCTGCAGGCTTGTGCTCCGGGAGGTTGGCTTTGCCTACATAGTATCGGTATGAGCTGCATTGAGATATCTACTAATCAATTAAACTTGGCTACAGGTCTACGATTGTAGATTTGGCTACATAAAGGTGCTGCAAATATCGAAAGAGACACAAAGTGCATAGAAATAAAACGGTCGGGATTACTATCAACGGATATTAGGGCTCAGGTTTTAAATTATGCCATTTGTTCTACGGCGATTCTAGAAGAAATAAAAATACCCAAGCTTAATTGATCAAGGCCGTTACCGCCGCTAGTTAACGTCAGCCTTCAGAAGTAGCAATGGCTGTGAATAGTTCGTCCGGCTTGAGCCATATTCTCAATGATCAACATGCGTTTCGTCGCAATTGAAGCCCAATCAACATCAACCAGCGCCATATTTACAGTCAGTTTATTCATGCAGTTTTATCGTGAGATCTTCAAGGTGTTCTGAAATAACTACACGTCGTCTAAACATTCCTTCTGCTGCAATAGGTATTGATCGACGATTACTAAATACTCTCTCTGAGAGAGTTTAACATGAGGCTTTCGGGGTCACATTTGTGTCTTGAATCTCAAAATTCAAACTCTCATCTAGAGGCAACTCGCTCGAGTAACGTTCATCACGCATACTCCCCAGCTGGCCAGGCCACCCTACCTCACTAAAAAGGTGTTCTATCTCATCTTAATATTTGCCACTAAGCGAAGACCACACAACCTAAACTGTCGATCTGGGGTAATGGCCGGTGGACACCTGTGGAAAGGTAACACATTGTCAGGTATCTTCAGAAATCCAGGGCCATGATCTGGTGCTCAAAAAAAGAACTTTATGGTGCGGGGGCACCTCAAGCGTGTAAGGCTGCGGGCCAGGTGCTAGCTGATGCATCGTGAGAATTAACTAGAGGTGTGTGTCGAACATAGGAGAACCTTGAGTTATATAAAGGCGTGCACGAATCCAGAGGTACTCGGTAGTCGCTCGGCGCTGTAAGCCTGGAAATTGTTAGTCTACGAATGCTTGATAAGGGCTTGCATTGCATATTCACATGTGTGTGTAGAGTATGTGCGTTAATGGCTTTTTACTAACTTAGACAAAGAACTCAAAAGAGTGCCAAGCGCTATCTTTTTCTATTATTGGTTGCCGGGAGCATGGGAGCCGATATTGCGGGGTAATTGGAGAGCCTGGAGAACCTTCACTACATGCAGTGGACGATAGAGTGGGTATCAACTTACATGACCAAGATCTTGAGAGCTTTCACGAAGAGCCACCAGATATGGCCGGTCCTCCAAAGCCAAAAAAAGAAAAAGAGAAAAAAAGCCACAAGGAAATAGGTAGGCCGCTCAGTTGGGGTTACTAGTGACCAGTCCAGTGACAAGGAAAATTCACTGCCAGTGGTGAAGATCGTGGGGATAGTTGAGGGCCGTGCAAGAAGCTCATTCTCTCCTCCATACGTCGGCGGTGACGAGCCGGGCCATATTGAAATGAAAGATCGCCGGTCATGACGATTAGCGGAACGTGGGAAGATTGGGGATTGTTTATGATTCGTAGTATTTTGTGGGGATCCGGAGGAACGAACTAAAATGAGGTAGGTACTTCTATCATTTTGTGAGCAAAAAAGCCTTTTTTGAGGAATGCAACGTTGGGGTTGAGTTCGTATCTGGAAAAATTTGAGAAGGGCATACCGTCAGGGGCGAAACAGTACGTTCTCGAGAACTGCCATAAAGTGTAAGGTGAACACGAAGTATATTCTTCAGTCACGAGGTCAACTCTTTGTAGGATAGAGCAGAGACATCCCATCTCTCCCCATTAATATTCCACCCCTGTCACACCCGATTATAACCTTGTCTGTATCTGTTTGTAGGGTTGTACCACATTTCTCAAGTCTTAGTTGGGAAAATCGTCAACAATATCGACCCCCGCCTTTCTAATGCTTTTGTTTATTACCCCCAATGTTCTCAAGTTGCACCGCACGCGCCCGATGCTCAAGGACAGTAAGGTTACACCTAATTGCACCCTGGATAGAAAAGGCGCCATCTTTTTGTATCAACTGCTGTGTTTCGTAATCTTCTTATGCCGCCTGGTTTCTACTCCCTGCAGCAACTGTTGGTTTTAACCGTCAGTTCTAAAGCAATCAATAGTAAAAATTCGTTGGGTTTCTAATTCAAACAGCCATTAAACCCTGAAGAACCAATATTATTATTGATAAGAAAACGAGGGTGATTGGGACCCTGGCTTGGTACATGGTACACGGTATCCATTGGCATGGGAACTGAAAAATCATTTGCAACCATTTCAAAACAACAATAAACATAATATACTCTTTTTCGATCGATTTCGCGCAGGATTTCAAAGCGGCACGTTGCAATGAAAAGATTTTAGATGGGAGTCGTTGCCTTCAGGCAGTATTAATGAGAAGAAACAGGAATGTATGCTAATAAGCATACAGAAGTGGGATTCCCTGCAGTTCCTTGCATATCCTTGATGCTGCCTCGAGGTGGAGTTACTGTAGGTAGAACACCTACCTACGCCGAGTTTGAGTGGGGTGCAGGTACGTGTGATATTCAACTATGGCGGAGCTTAGAGCATGGATTGCTTGCTACCAGTAACCAGAGGTTGGCGCAAGGAGAAGGGTCCTGTTGTGTCAGATAGTTAGGTACAGGGTTACTCTATCAGCCCCAGGGTCATGACGACAGGGTGTCCAGAAGGACGTGCACCTTCTTTCACCCTCCTACTCCCCCGGGGGGGGGGAGGGCATCTCCCGCCCATCTACTTCTCCATGAGGCTACATACGTAAAAAAATCTTTAGGAGCTTTCTTTCTTTGTCTGTTGTTTCGTGGGGTCGATGGGGACCGCTTCGGCGCTACCATGCTTGCTACTTATCTACGTCTTTACCCCGCGGTCTACCAACGGCGTCGAGTCACGGAGGAGAGAGGGGTGTCCATGGACGGGATTTCGCATCATTCTGGAGGACCTAGCTTTGCGTACTTCGTGTGTGCTTCCATGGCTGGTGAAAAAAACCCTCACGGTGACAGGTAAGTGATAATATATCTGTATGTGCGTAAGTCCCAGAACTCTTGTCGAGGTACCCCTTCCGGCGGTCGTTATTTTCATTAGATAGCCGAAACCCCAATACATGCCAACGGGAATCCGGGAGCACTAAAAAAAATGGAATGAGCGATGTGTGGCAACCAACCATGACCTCGCTTTAACTACCGCACATGACCATGCAGCTTTGTTGCTTTCGTCGCACTGTCTCTATCACCTCTAGTCAGTCGGTCAGACACCGTTAACCGTTCCTGTAAACAATGGCCCTTCAACAGTGAACATTCTTTTTATGGAAAGTTACGCAGGTCAGCTTAAGGGGGAGAGGGAAAGGGAAGAGGAAAAAGAAAGTTTTTAATGGTTGGGAGGGAGACAAAAGCAAAAAAAAAAAAAAAAAAAAATCTATTTTTCAGGACCAGTGAGCTTGACTGGAGTTCATCGAGCCAGAGAGATCATGACGCCGCTTCGTGCCATACCTTACAGGAATCGTCTGTTACCGATGTAAAACCACGCCAGTAGGAACGGAGAAGCTTGCTCCGGGAAGGCTCGTAGATCGAAAGTCTCCTTGGAATTCCAGATAGAAAGCTATGCAGCTGATTTTGACCCAAAAGTACGTGAAGGAGTCACTTTAGGATTCCAGTATTAAGGTCCCAGACTACGCCAACCGCATATATATGTCAAACCATGCCCCAGGAATATTCTAGCATGGACGGCTCGGCCAGATAGCATAGGAGAGCACATAAAAAAAAACGCAACAGGAGTCGGGCAGTTCCATGGCGCATAGAGCATACAAGTGATAAAGTGGTAACAGTAATAATTGGCCTTGAGGTACAATTAGCTTACATCCACTAAAGCATGTACTCCCCAATAGAGTACATACGCTCGGGTCTTTAAATTCTTGCCATTGACGATGTTGCGTTGCTTCTAAACAAAAACACGCACAGAGTAAAGAAAAAATAAAAAAGTTACCGGGGAAACCGAAGTGGAAAAGAAAAAACCGTTGGAGGAAGTCCAAATTGACTGCAATAATTTTTTTTTTGCTCCTGTAGCTACTTGGTGATCCATGCTCAATCCTTGCATCGTCGTGAAGGCCAAATTTGTGACATTCTCATCCTCTCCCTTTCTTCCCACCTTCCAGACGCCGTCTTCGTCTCTTGGAAAATATATCAGGTTGCCTTTCGAGCGTGTCCCAGCCTCCACACTCTAAGATTTCCTGCTGTACCTACTCTACTTATCGGTTGTGCCAGACCACTGGTTACAGCAAATAATCGGCAGATCACCACCTCACCCACGCTGACCGATTTTTATCTCCACAGCATCGCGGCGTTCTGTAACCGACCACCGCACTTGCTGCTGCACTCCACTCATTTCATTTCCCTTGCTAGACTCGTAGTGTACGTACATATCCATCATACAGTGCCAACCATTTTCATAGAGGACTACTGTGCATACGTTCTTGAGACTACACTCGTTCCCACCTCTACCCCCAGACCTCCTCTCCTCCACCACCACCATCCTTCCTCACTCACTCACCCTGTCCACTCTGCACCTTCGCAAGATCCAGCACAGTCTTTCTGCTTTGTTCAAACATTGTTCAGAAGGGTTTGCAAATATCTGAGGACAACACCCGTGCAGCAATGGGCGTCATGCGAAACTCGTCCTAGCCGGACCCACAACTCTCAACTTATTGATCTCTGGATCAGACAAGACTTCCAAATACGCTATATATCTAAATTTCTCTACGTTCACAAAAAAAAAACAATAAGGTCGCCGTGATCACAAATCGAGATACTAAACCTGCAAACAAAACTTGTGCACCCTCAGCCCCCCACCCCCATCCCACCAACCAAAAAACTATCTCCCTGACAGCTTTCTGTGAGGGTTCTTAAAAATGTCGACGGAAATTGTACCCCCAAAGTCCCGGGGAGGAAGCCTGGCACCGCCGCCAAACGACGACCTATCAATGCGACGGCCTATGGAGAGAACACCTAGTATGTCTATTAGAGCTGAAAAGGAGGATCTGAAGGAAGCAGCAGAAGAAAGTTTTAATGTGATTATGGACCTAAACCTCGATGGAAAGGTGCGATGGGTTAGCCCTTCTTGGGAGGATGTGATCGGGTAAGTGTTGAACAAAGCGTTTTTCAGCATCAGAAAACCGCTAATCTTAAATCTTTCAAGGACTCCCCGCGATACAGTTCACGATAAACCCATCTCAGACTTTTTACTAGATGATAAAGAAGTTTTCAAGAGTGCAGTTGAGCAAATGCGAATTGACGACACTAGGAGTTGTCGAGTTCGATTTTCGGTAGCCATGGGATCCAAATCAACCTGGTCCGGAGAAGAGACTACAGCTGGCCAAGAAGAGGCATTCCCGATGGAAGAAGTGCAAGAAGAAGCGCCACATGTTTTGCATCTAGAAGGACAGGGAATAATCATTCAGGACAAGCAAGATGGTGAACCAAGTCATGTCAGTTCTCTTTGTGTCTCAGTTTACTGTATCTGCAAAACTGACATTGATTATCAAGACAATGTGGGTCCTTAGACCATTTGTTGAGCCTAACGAGATCACCATCGACCTTCCTCCTGTTTTGGTCGAGTCCCTTGGTGTTGGTGCAGGAATGCTTGCTCGTTACCTGACTAGCTTGGCAGAGCAAGGTGCTGGAGATCCAGCCAACAACCCTCCCCCTATGCCAGTACTCTGTCGAATCTGTGAACGTCAAATTCAGCCATGGTGGTTTGAGAAGCACTCCGAGCTTTGTATGCTGGAACACAAGGCGGAGAGCGATGTCCAGTTATGCCAAGAAAACCTAGGAATGCATAGACATGCAATTGTCAAAATACTGGATGCTATGGAAAGACGCTCTTCTCGTCCGGTTTCTGGTGAGATTACTGTACCTCCTACCCCTATCGAATACCGTGGTTTGCCCATTGGCCCCGGCTCTTCATCTTCTTCAGGCACCGCTTCTCCCGCAGCTTCTTCCCCGAAACAACGTGATTCCTCTGCATCAGGTAATCGATCACGTTCATTTCCTGCTCGACGACCCCTTGTCCGAATTGTTGAGCTACTGCTTGACTTGTGTGATACTGCCATCGAAATCAGCACTCCGGCTATCAAAGAATCGTATGCAGGTGGCGAGTTAGGGTCTTTCCGAACTCAATCCCCCAATCAGAAGCACGTATCAACCAGGTCATGCAGTGGACATCGCCAAGCTACCAAAACGAAGAAGGGAAGGGATTAATACAGCTTTGTCAGGATACAGAGGCGGTTGCCAGGGCAAAGGTTGAGGCGGTATTCCGCCACAGAAATACTATCGAATACTCAGAAAGGATACGGCTAGAGTTTGCTGTGCTTGTCCAGGACTGCATTGATGAGGCTTTACGCAAGGCTTCTGAGCAGGTAACCGACGAACCAGATGATAGTTATAGCAATAGTGACGGCGAAGACTCCGGCATTGAGGATGATACTCCATTTTTCTCGGCGTCATTTGGTCCTCCTTTAAATACCAGTAGTCTTGTGGATAAGCCTAGAGGACGCCTCAGAAGGCACTCATCACCTGCAGACTCAGGCTCTACAAGTCCAATGGAATGTCCTACCCCTAAATCTCAGCAGAGTCTGACGAAGAGCGCTAGTAGACGGCATAAATTTACTACTCATCGTGGAAGCATTCATTTTGATAACGACGGTGCAGATAGTGATACAAGTGGCAGGTCTTCACTTGCTGCTGCTATGGGTCGACCACAAACAGAAAGTCCAGTCTCGGATCACGAACTGACGGCAGCCAGGTTTGCAGCTAGAGACAAGCGAAGAACCAACGCCATCCAGATTGGTCAGGGTTTGAATTCTCCAAGACGGCAAGCATCGCCTGCAAGAACTCAGCCTTCGTCCTCGCCTCTAAGGATAAACAAACCACGCAACGTACTATATGATAATAATATGCCCACTCCAATCACATCGCCTCTTTTATCCACTGGAGACTTTTCGCCCGCGCTTGAAGGTTTCAACCATCACCATAGGCGGCAATCCTCAGTGACTTCATCTGGGGACATAGGTAAACCACCAGTTTCCCCAAGACTGCCCAGCACGAACCCTACACAGCAGCAAAACCGTGCCGTGCCACCGTCTATTAAGGATTTCGAGATCATCAAGCCAATCAGTAAAGGTGCTTTCGGAAGTGTTTACCTATCGAAGAAGAAATCTACAGGCGATTATTTTGCAATCAAGGTCTTGAAGAAGGCAGATATGATAGCGAAAAATCAAGTTACAAATGTCAGAGCGGAAAGAGCAATCATGATGGTACAAGGGGAAAGTGATTTTGTCGCAAAACTGTTTTGGACGTTTGCAAGTAAAGATTATCTTTACCTGGTAATGGAATATCTCAATGGGGGCGATTGTGCTGCTCTTATCAAAATCTTGGGGGGCATCCCGGAAGAATGGGCGCGGAAGTATTTGGCGGAAGTAGTTCTTGGGGTGGAGCACTTACACGCAAGGGGTATCGTACACCGAGACTTGAAGCCCGATAATCTTCTGATTGATCAGAAGGGTCACTTGAAGCTTACCGATTTTGGTTTATCGAGAATGGGATTGTTGGGCAGACAGAAGAGAGCTCAGAATCCATCATCAGAATCTACTCCTGACCTATTGAAACAAGGTCCATTTGCCAGGTCAAGATCCGTTGCTTCTTCACGATCTACTTCTTACGATTTCCCTCCAGGCGGTTCACCCCAAAGCACACCACTCATCACTCCAGATAGCAGTGCCCAATTGGTCACCCCATCTTATTTCAACTTAAATCACCGGGAGAGTACTTTAAGCCGCGAGAGTTCTTTGAGACGCTCATCCAATGGGAGAAGTGAAACAGGTGGGAGTGATCACCTAGTCTCGATGCTCGGTAGCTTTTCATTGGACCACAACCACGGAAGTTCCTTATATACTCGGCGAACCCCCACAGGAGATGAGGATGCCCAAAGTGAAAGCAGCACCTCGAGCGATTTTAGCGCAGGTCTTGGGCTTCAACATGTAGCCACATATGCTAGTATGAGCCAAAGCCATGTCCAACCGCACGCCCATCCAATGCTGCCCCCTCAGATGGCACTTTTTGACCCTGAAGACAGCAATCGCAAGTTTGTTGGTACCCCCGATTACTTGGCACCAGAGACTATCAATGGTAGTGGGCAAGATGAAATGAGCGATTGGTGGTCCTTGGGGTGCATATTGTTCGAATTTCTTTATGGTTATCCACCTTTCAATGCAGAAACGCACGAACAGGTTTTTGATAATATTTTGAATCGAAGAATTGCTTGGCCAGAGGAAGATGAGGACGATGAGGATGAGGATGAAGCGGGTATCTCTGACACAGCTAAAGACCTGATAAATCGCCTTATGTGCACAGATCCCACCAAGAGACTCGGTGTGGGTGGAGCCGAGGAAGTCAAACGGCACCCATGGTTTGCGGAAATCAAATGGGATACATTACTCGAGGAGACTCCTCAGTTCGTGCCTACACCCCAGGATCCTGAAGATACCGAGTATTTTGATTCAAGAGGGGCAACTTTACAGGCATTCAATGAAGAATTTGAAGATCAGACGCACTCACCCCAAGTCCTGACACCCGGTGCAGATCTACCAGAACGTCCACATGATGCCGTATCTCGTGTAAGGAAGGAGGTCAACTCAAGCAAGCGGGGGCTTATTCCTCTTTCTATCCCACCACATGTTCGCGAGGGCAGGAATAGGCGTTTGAGCGAGACGAGTGCGCAAGATGACTTTGGGGCTTTCACTTTCAAGAATTTACCAGTGCTAGATAAAGCAAATAAGGATGTTATCCAGAAACTCCGCACAGAAGCCCTTAAATCAACTCCAGCTTTAACAACTTCAAACCCTGCATCGCCTTCTGAAGGGAGTCCCATTCTTTCCTCAAAGTCCCTATCCAGAACCTTGTCAAACCCTTCGAGCAAGCATGGAAAGCGTCCAGTTTCTCCATCTAATTTGCACCATTCAAATCCTTCCCCTGCGCGTGCTTCACAGCCATCTTCACCACTTTTGATGTCATTTACGGCGACTGGACTAAATGATAGACGCAAGGCTTCTAATGCTAGTGCATCCTCCAGTTTGTCCCAACACTCACTGGGCCCTCTTCAACCTGTTCCCTTGGTTGACATTCCACGCCTTCCTGCGGTCATTCCCAACAGTGCTAAATCGCCAATTGCCCCGTCTTCTACATCCTCTTCTCCGACAAAGACGCATTCGAAGCCATTTATCATGTCTTCTGCCTCTACCTCTCCTACAAAGACAGCTCACGATAAATTGACATTGTCTATGTCTTCCCAGCCTTCACCTTCAAAGACTCACGTACATCAACATCATCACCGCAATCCCAATCCTAGAGTACGCTCACTTACGATCGGGTCCACTGATGGCGATGCGGCAGTGCTGGAGAGCTTCAAGCATCAGAAGAGGCGAAGCCAGGTGTTTGATATGTCGCCTTCTTCATCCGATAACGAGGAGGTCAAGGGTAGCGCATTGTTGCGGGTACAGAGGCGACGACAAAGCTCCAGGAGGATGTCAAATATTAGTCTTGGGGATACTGGTCCTGTGTTTAGGCCACTGGATATTTTAGGTACGAAACCTCTCTATATACGTCAGTGAATCTAGCTAATCTCAAGCAGTTTGTGAGGATCATCCTGTATCAAAATTAGTAATGGAAAGACTGCTGGAGAGGTTGAAATGTAGGACTATCGTGGTGAATAACGGAGCGGAGGCAATGAGATGTGCCATGGGCGAAGTTAAATGCAAGTTCTCGGTTCCCTTAAAGCGATCACTTTAAGCAAAAACTAACGCAAAACAGTCGATATCATACTGATGGAGTTCAAGCTTCCGCAAATTAATGGTGAAGATGTGGCACGTATGATTCGCACGAGCAGAAATCCCAACTCCAACACGCCTATTGTGGCCGTTACTGGCTATCTCAAGGACCTCAATGAGCCCCATCACTTTACTGAATTGATCGAGAAGCCAGCGACAATACCCAAACTTACAGAGGTCCTGGAACGCAATTGTCATTGGAAGCCAGCTGGGCTTGAGCGACCTCTCGCAGATAGGAGGGAGTTATACAATAGCCATAAACTTCCACCAGTCAATTACGAGGAATCTGGTCGAATCTCACCAACAGTAGAACGATTTATGAGCATGGGCACGAGGAGAGGGCGCCTGTCAGAGCAATTTTCTTCAATGGACGATGATGATGCGGTCTCTGTGACCAGCACTAGCGAGCCTGTGGTTCTTTCACGCACAACAACTAACGAATGGGAAAAGCTTCATGTTGGCAAGCCGTCTAGCCTCGGGTTGGAGATTTTACCGCCTGCAGCAGTATCATCGCCTCTTGCGCCACTGACACATCAGGAATCTGCACCTTCAAGACTTCAATCCCACACCATTGAGCGTATGCCTTCACCACTATCAACGCATGTTAGTGCAATCAATGCTGTTAGCACCTTTAGTAATATAGCTGAGCCCTTGGCATCGCCTCCCGAAATGTCGCTGCCACCCTCGCTCAGTGCAACCCCGGTATTTGGAGGTACAGCAGGCGTTCCATCCAGGTCTCCATCCAGGTCCCCTTTTTCGAGGACCCCACCTGCGGTTCCTCCTCCCTCAGCAACCCCACCACTACAAACTACCACTGAGAGGTTTAAATCCCTGATTCCGAAGAGATCACCCCCCAGAAGATCGCGCACGCCATCAGAAGACGGAGTCAAGAAATCGCCTACAAGAAGAAGGTCCTCTTCAGCTCATGTCTCACCTCCCAAAGGCAATAGCCCAACATTGGTGCCGTCTTCACCGGAATCTAAAACAAAGAGCAAAAGATCTTCATTTGAGAAAAAGAAGGAGAAACAAGAGAAACAGCTCAAGGAAGGTCTACGAGTCGAAGATGCGGATGCAGACGACGAGCTCTCGGCAGCTGGTGGAAAGAAGCCGAGCAAAAGCAGGAGCATTGGAGAGATGATCATCAGTCGGGCGAGGAGAAGCCCTCCTGAGATGAAGAGAAGCAAGAGTGATAAAGGGGAGTTTATGGATATTTGAGGAAGGTATTGGATTTATTTCGGGGGGACAACTGTTTTACTATCATGCGATTTTCTCTAAGTTGGATCTGGGGTTAACCTATTGCCTGGTTCTGGTTCTGGTTTTCTGGTAAGGGTCAGATGGAAAACGGCGTTGTGAATATTTCTTATTTTTTTTTTTTTTTACTCTGGGTTTGGTGGCTGGCAATCTTTGTTTTGTTTTTTGTTGCTTTTCTAGCATTCACGATTCTAGGTTACGATATCTCTTTTTCCCTCTTCCCCAATACTCATTCCTGGACGGCTTGCACTGATCTTTCCTTACATCTCGAAGTCACGAGCTTTTCTTTTTTAACGGCCGCATTCTGATCTGATCATTGAGCTCTGATTACTAGTTAGTGGCGTTCTATTTTTCATGTTACCAGCGCTTAATCCTCTCAGCTTTGGAAGTTAAATTTGTACCACTTATCATCCAATTTTTGTCATAGGATCTGTTTCTTATTGTTCTTTTTTTCCTTTCTTTTTTCATTACATTCCCTTGGTTTTTCGAAGATTGGGGGCCGTCAATAGGGAAGACAAAATTTGGCAAAAGGCGAAAAAAAAAATTTAGGCGAGAGTGCGGTTTGGGTTAGGGAAAAGGCGAAACACATTGCTTTCGGGGGTCTTTTTTTATTTTTATTTTTTATTTTTTTGGGCCCAAGGATATGAAGCTGAGCTGGATTGGGTTGTACAAAAGAAATTAATACTCGTACCCAGCCACGCGTGAGCTATTGGTGACTTTGGAGCACATGCGTGTTAACTTCATACCATAATTCATGAAATATCACTCTACAAGGTGGTTTAGAGACTGGTACAATTATAGTTTAAACTCCACCCCCAGAGAAACCCGCAATATATACATGAAAAGACCCGCTTTCCCGAAAAAGAACGCCCGTCATTCCCAGTGAAATAAAAAAAGAAAAGAAAAAGCAGTAGGTATCTCATTGACTCCTCTCACTTCTCCCTTATCCTCTTTACATCTATAATACTATTCAACTCCAATCAAATATCCTCACTCGATTTGACCCCTGAATTAACTACTGCCTGGGCTGGATGTACGCCAGCAAATTCCTATCAAAAGCCTCACATCTTATCGGCATTTCAATCTGATAGAATGGATTCTTCATGACATAGTCCGCATACAACTCGTAGACGCGTTTCACAATAACATCTATATTCGGCTGATGTGGTTGTGCGAATATTAAGAATTTCGTGCCTACCGTCATCCATTAGTTCTCGCGTCATCTAACGGCGAGGTGGGGAAGTACCAGTCAAGGTTTGGAAGCACTGCATCCTAAAATGCTCACTCTCCATAACTTCCAATCCTCCCGACCCAGGTACGGGAGAAATACGGGAGGTTATGGCATGGACACCGTGGAAGGTACCGGCAAGGACCAGGTAGTCATTTGAGGAGAGCTTTTTGAGACCCTCATTGAAGTCGCGTTGGTAAATTAAACCGCCGGCCTTGTTGAGGATTAGAATAGAGAGGATGCCCATTGTGAAGTGCGGGGTGGGGGGTGGGGGTATTAGGAGGTTAGATTTGAGTTGCGCGGGAGCTGGAGGGAAAGGGTTGGCGGACGTTGATGGTTTAAGCCTCTTAGCTTTAGATCTGGACCCCTCTACAACCCGATTTCCGATGTTGACAGCCCTCAGGCCAGCCGACGGAATATTGAATTTCGACTCTATCCCGTCTTTCTATTTTTGTTCATTTAGCTTCTAACGAGATGAACTATCAAACATTTTGTCATGATTTTTTTTTAATATTTTTTGTCAGTGATCTAATTTTGACCAGTGCGTTCCGCGGCACCAGACAGAGAGAGACACCTCCCCATTCATCGCCTGTCCAGACACCCACTCTTTATTCTACCATTCAGCCACTAACACCCACAACATAGTTAACAACATCAGTCTTATCCCATCGTCTTGCCAATTCAAACCAGGAATCTCAACGCATAGAATCCGACTCGCCGCACCTAAGCGAGCTCTTTTCTCGGGGTACAAATTGAACCGAAGTTTTTCCTCCCTTCAGCTCCGCCGAACACGCACACAGAGGAGCCAGCAGCTATTATTTGATAGTAATAATAACAAAGATGGCGACCAACGGCAATAATGCACCCCCAATGACCCGTGCGAAAGAGGTGATTCACGGCGACGAAGAGGCCGGCGCTGAGCTGAAGCTCGGGGAGTTCCAGAACGTGTCCAGTCTGACACTTTCGGAGACGAAGGAGGTGCTTACAGCTGTGTTCAATCACAGAAGGGAGCAGGGGAAATTTAAGGTGCCGGACAATGAGTATATCCCCCTTCTCCCTCTCTCTCCTTGCACAAGTAAGGGAGATGTGCGATGAGTGGGGGTCTGACGTCGTTCAATAGCGTCGTCACCAAAACACAGGCCTATCTCGAGGTTTTCTCGCGCTTCAAGCAGCGTGAGAGTGTCCAAGCCGTAGAGCGGATCCTTGCGCAGCAGACGGATCTTGTTGCTTTCGAGAAGTCACAGCTAGGTACCTACCTCTCTGTACCTCCTCATTTGAATCCTACCATCTAAACCACACTCTGCCAGGTACCCTATGCTGTGACTCCGCCGAGGAGGCGAAAACCCTCATTCCGAGTCTTCAGGATAAGATTTCAGATGAGGATCTACAAGAATTACTTAATGAGGTATGGATAACTCACTCTTGACCTTCTAAATACCTTTCTTTTCACAATAAGGTTCCTTAAAAGTGGAATTTTCGGACCTGACGTGTTTTTCTGCGGCAGATCACAAAATTGAGACAATTCGTTTAAAAGTATCGAGGATACGGGTTCAAAGCACTTTTCGTTCTTTCATCCTGCATTGAATCATCATCATCTGTCGAGTCTCCTTTTTCTTACATTTCTGAAAAAAATTGCGGGGGTTATTTCACTTAATTTCAAATTTTCTTCCTTATTTTTTTTTTTCCTTTCAAATACGGACTACTTTTTTTTGGCGGGGGATACGAGGCCTTTTCGCCTCTATCATGAGGTCAGATGGCGATACTACATAAAAAAACATCAATGCTAGTACTTGAAGTACGCATGACATATAAAAAATATATAGAGGGACTGCTCAATGATTTTGTTGGTGTCGATTGCTTGTGGTGGGTGATATTCTCGCATCCGTTACAGATCAAGCATAGCACACACCATATTTTGAGTGTACAAGACGGTTACTACATGCATTCTGTAGAACTTATTACCAACGTCGAACGTGTGCAGATCTAGAGAGGCCTTGGGAAATGTTTCCCTTTCTTTGTTTTGGGGTTTCCGACGAGCTTCAGCCGAAGTTTATATAAATAGTTGTAACTAGAATAGAGTTTCTGATACGAATGAGGAATGGTTCCCGCATACCTGTATCTTTTTAGCTGGACTCACGGTGTCTTATTGATTTGTTACGAGAATAATTGTTCCAAAGGGTTCTGGCACGAGGACATGATCTTCTCTTTTCACACTAAATACACGCCTGAACGTGATCATGACTAATTCATGCGCGAATATGTAGTCCACCATATCGTCTGGGTTTGTCTCGGCTCTTCCATTATTTATTGTTTTAATAATGAAAGCTTAAACCGACGTAAGGTAAAGTAGTAAAAAAGTATGTGAAGTCACTACCCTATCTGGCAGAATACAGTGTTGGATGGAGATTTAGTTTCTCAATTTCGCATCTATTCAAGCTCCTCTTTTGATGCTGTTTTTAAGTTGATGGATGGCCTAAGAACTCAGTCAAGTTATAAACTTTATTCGATTAAATATACGTATGTGTGTAGATATATATAACACAAAATTTATACACAGCGAGATTCAAAAATGTGTGGGGTTGCCACCAAATATTGAATGTCTTACTTAGAAGGAGCGCGCATTAGGACTTGAACCTTCGACCGGACAATTTCAAAATAAAAAAAACTGTTTAGCTCATCTTTGTGAAGCGTGTCATCCTTAGTGCAGGGGCCATGCTAATCTTCTCTGTATCGTTTCAAATTGACCAAATGTCCCGAAGGACGATATGATCTAGTTTTTGGGACACATAACGAACACCCCCCTGTCTCTTATTGTGTCTCAAAAGGGCACAGCCCAATCAGACCCCCTACCAACATCATCACGGATGCACATGCTCTATTGGATGACAGTACGCGTATTCATACTTGATTTGTTCTCGTCGGCTGCGGTTGGGCTTTTATCGATCATCAAGTCGCACTCGTCATTTCGATGCCGCAAGAGCATGTCTTTCAACTATATTGTCGGCTATATGTATCGACTTATAAGCTAATAACTTGTAGTAAACAATTCCAAATTTCTAAAATGTAGATAGGTACGTTAGTTGGGGAGTGTATTCTTTTTTTCTTTTCGGAATAAGGCACCTGGGCTGAGTGACGCGCTGTGACGGGAATAGACACTGATGATTGATAATTTATTCCGGGAATAGAGCACAGGAGGGGGGAAATACTTCCCACATGATCGTCGCTGATTAGGTTAGCCTCAGCTCTTCATTCCTTCGATTTCATCGCTGTCTTGAGGTTTTCGGGTGAGCACGTGGTTACCTTCACTCGATTCCGATCGACACTCTACACGAAGGACATATTGACCTAAATATTCTAACTAGGGAGGGCCCGATACGGTAGTGTCTGTCGGCTGGAAATCTGTTGGTACATTATAGGGCCGCTGATAGCTTCACTAGACTAATACAATATGTCTGTTTGCCTGAGGATTAAAACTCGACATTGCTTAGTTATCATTATACTGGATTTATAGAATTCGATATTCGACTTTTCTGCGAGTCCTAAGGCTTGTAATAAGCACGCGTAGGTACAACGAAAAGTTGATGAGAATGATAAATGACCCCTAACCCTAGTCCCGAGTCAAACTCTATGAATAGATGTAGTCTCGAGTTGTCTGACGTACCCCATGAGAACGCATATGGAATCCCGAGTCATGCCAGATTCGATTCCCCAACTCTATGTGTACTCCTCATGAGATATTTCCTTTGTAGCTGGGCCAGCTTTGAGCGTTTAAGACATACATTCTATCGATGCTGTAGATACTTCCATTCACCTCGGTAGTTTTCTCAGGACTATGCAGCTTCAGTTATGAATGTTATTCTATGGTAATATCGATCAGCCATTAGGAGAACAATACTACTATAACTAACATTTTCTCACGCATGTTAGACGCTGATCGGAATGGAAAGTATCTAACTCGGATCCATCTAAGCCAATATACAACCCACAAAGAACCGCTCTCAGGCATACTATTCTGGTCATGGCACAGAGCGGCATCAATTACCCCGTCTCATTGAAGCATGCATCAAGACGAATTACATATTTTAATAGGAGGTACAAGTCGACTGAATCTAAGTGTATCTACGTATCCTCTCTTAGTCACCCGCTCCCGCACCCATGTGCAATATAGATAACTCTCTATAGCCCCAACCTCCATCTACCTACCATTCAGAGACGCATACCTATCACACTCACCCCCTGTGGAGTACAATTAAAGCTACATACGCCAAAGTACTCCAACAGCACGCTGGACAGTGCACTGCCGGCATGCCAAAAAATGCACTACTTGAAGCTTCTGTCAATATTTCCATCACATTCATATCACATTCATATCACATTCAAGACATGCATTAGCTTTATTATGGGGCCGGCCAGCTTTGACACTAATGATAGCCACGCAATGGCCTACTCTCACCGCAAACCGCGCAACAAGATACGGTTGGGGGCCGTGGAGAAGTTTCCTGAAAGCACCAGATAAGACACCTTACTGACTTGATCGGGCCCCGGTCAAGAGGCTTGCGTTGACTCAGACAGATCATAGTCCAAGTGGATCAGAAGCTGGGGTAGTCCTGGGAGACAATGTGTGGGATCGAGAGGGGGGTTTTGCAGGTATTTGAGATCCCATTTAAGACAGTCAATACAACCAAACGACGACATATGAATCAGTGGCGAGAGAAGGTATCTCAGACAGGATCAATATACCATACCATGTCTCTCGCATCTATTGATATATCACATACATAGCTACTAGTTCTTTCAATATAGACTTTGAGCGACTGGACAAAAACACCCGTTCTCCATTTGCACCATAGGCCGGATGAAGGTATGTTTACAGTAATCTTTTTGAGTCAACGCTAAGACTCAAACCAAGGCAGACGAGCAGATGTTTGGCGGCCGATATAGTGGCTTTCGGGCTGATAGATAGTTGCCCACCGTTCTCCGTTCGGTTGTACTATATTTACCCACCGGTTTGACATCTATCCTGCTGAAATTCATATGAGCCATTTCTTTGCAGCGTAGTCAATGGGAATGAAAAACATAATCGTTTAGGCCAAGAGACAAAAGATCCCGCGGCTTGGCTGTGTGTTGGTGGGGTTGCATGCAATTAATGAATTAAACAAAAAAAAAAAAAAGGTTTGTTGGTGGGGGAGTTTAGATCGCACTTGGGGTGCGAGTGATCACTCGTGCTCCGCGCCTACAAATCAACTGGCGCCACGTGACTGGCCACTATTTCCGGTTGCTACGATCATTGGTCGCTACTGATTAGCAGCGCGGGAAGGCAACAGCTGCTCGTCAACAATCAACCACATAGCTCTGTGGTTATTAAATACACTCTAGTGGCTACTGCCACCCTCGAACTTACTGTAGGTACTCTAAAGCAAGCCCCTCAATGCTGTACATATATATCTCAAATTGGCACCCTCAATATTATTTCAAATGTTTTTTTTATTTATTTATTCTTCTGTCTGTTCTGCTTGATTCGAACATAGTTGTAACTACGTATGTAGCTATATATTATATAGCTATAGCTACCCTTCTTCTTTCTTCTTCTTCTCCCCCCACACTTAAGAGAATAGATTTTTTGTGCCTCGCCCCCCCCGGCCCCCCAAACCCAAACCCAAACCCAGAAAAAGAAACAGATAAAAAAAAAACTCCCAGCCAGACACCGTTATAAAGACAAAATCAGGGGGACATAAGAGATTGATACGTTTGTGCGTGTTGTTATCGTCCGGCCCGGCCAGGGGATGGATGGATGGATGGATAGGATTTGAGGTAGTGTGATAGGAGAAGAGGAGTGCGGTGTGTGCGTGATATAAAAGAGTAAAGGCAATTGAGAAGAAAAAGCAGAAAGCCACCAGAACGCCGGGTAAGAAGGGGGGGGTTGCAAAGAAGGAGAAGAGTAAAGATAAAAGGGTTGGTAATGGTAATGATAATGGGTATAAGAGAGAGAAAAAAAAATAGACAACGAAGAAGACGGCGAGGAATAAATAGATATGAAGAAAGAAAGGAATATATGTGATATGATAAAAGACCCCCGCCCAAAAAGGAAGAAAGAAACCCAATCCCAATAAAAAAAGATAAAAAGAACCCCAAAGAGAAATCAACAACAATCTCAAGAGAGAAAAAAAAAAACTCCCAACTAAAACTTGCGATCCACCCTGACGAGGATATCCTTCATCGCCTCCCCAAACTCCCTCAAGCAGTGCACCTCATCCGCCGTAAACAGCGGCGCCCCCTCCCTCCCGCCCTCCTTCGTAAACGCCGCCAGTACAATCCCCCCCGCACACCCCTCCCCGCCACCTCCCATCCCTACACCCCCCGGCCCACCACCACCACCGGAACAATACCCCTCATCCGCCACCTCCCCCCTCTGGTCCCTCACCAGCGGCAGCAGTATCCCCAACCCATACCCGACATCGTCCTCCTCGCTGCTCCGTGCGGGGTTGCGGTACACTAGCCCGCCCGCGCTCCTGAGCGCCCTTAGATGCAGCGCGGCGTCAAACACGGGCAAGGGATCGGGGACGCCGTGCGCCACCAGGATCTTGGTGTACATGTTGTCGACGGCGCATGCGGTGGCGTCGTCGTAGAGCTGGGGCTCGGGCGAGCGCACGGGCGAGACGCGCAGGAGGTAGACGAGGTCGTAGTTTAGTGAGCGGGCGATGATGGATGTTGCGAAGGAGGCCTCGGCCATGGATGTTATTGGGCCTGGGGTTGCTGGGGGCTGGTGGTGGGGGTGGGGGTGGGGGTGGGGGTGGTGGGTGATTATTGTGGTTCCGTCTGCGGCGGCGGTTGTGGTTGTTGGTGATGATGCGAGATTGACGGGGGAGGTGGGCGAGGTGGGGGAGAAGGTGTGGCTGTATGAGAGCGACAGTGACGCGGCGGTCGAGATTGAGAATGGCCGGCTGGGGGTGTGTGGCGGGGTGGGCATCGTGGAGAGACGGGTGGATGTGCGCGATTGGCGGTCGCAGCTGGTGTCGCGCGGGATGTTGATGGCTGGCGGGACGTGGGCGCGCATGATGGGCAGCGGGCGGGCTATTGGTGCTGCTGCATCGCGCTTCAACACCGCTGCTGCAGGAGGAGTCGGCGTAGGTGGACAGCTGGTACTGCCGCTCGTGAAGCTGCTGCTCTTGGGCGACGACAGAGGGCGCTCCAGCGTCGTGGTGTTGGACGTGCACCGTGACAGCATCATGTCGTGCTCCTCCATCACCAGCTCGACCTCCGTCATGGAGAGGCGCGCAAAGTCCATGAGCTTGCGGCGGCAGGCGACGGAGAAGGTGTCGCGCGGCGCGGTGTCGAAGACGGAGAAGGTGCCGATTGTGTGGCCGTCGTACGTGACGATGGGCGCGCCGGCGTAGAAGCGGATGTGCGGCGCGGAGGCGACGAGCGGGTTTCCGGAGAGACGCCAGTCCTGTTGCAGACACCGAGATTAGCCGACATCTCACACCACAGCCAATCGACCAGCCAATCGACCAGCCAACCAACCAACCAACCAACCAACCAGCCAACCAGCCAACCAGCCAACCACCGGTTGGATTGTTTATTCTCCGACCGGTATAACGGTGCGGGATGATCACACAAACACAGAAAAAAAAGATCTACACACCTTTGCCGCATCCAGAATCACCATCGGCTCTCCCGACAGCAGCACATGCGCGCCAATACTCTCGTCGCGCGCCACGCTCCGCCGGCCCAGCGCGTGCTCGGCCTTGAACAGCTCGCGCTCGCCGTCAATGAAGCTGATCGCAGCCATGCGCGTGTGGAACACCTTCCTGGCCAGCTGCACGAGCCGGTGGTACTTGTCGTTTGCGTTGTCGGGCAGCGAGACGTTGCAGGCCTTGACTGCCTGCCCCCCCAATATCTCTATCAGCATATGAAAAACTAACAAACAAGAGGATAGCACATACCTCGAGCCTGGCCTTCTCCCCCGGCGGCGTCGGCGCAACAAGATACTCGAACCCCGCCCGTCTCGGCGGCGGGTCCGGCGGGTTCGACAGATTAAACCTGCCCTCCGCATAGCACTTTATAAAGAACCCCCACTCCTGCACGAACCGTCCCTCTCCCACCCCTCCTCCCATCCCCCCCGCTAACCCCACACTCCCCCCCTCCACTCCCCTCCCCCACTCCCGCTCCCGCACCGCCAGCACACGCCGCGAATGCACGAACCCCTCGCCGCCCGCCGAGATGGTCCCGTCGAGGTGGGAGTACTTTGCCAGCGGCGTGCGGGGGCGGAGCTCGTCGCGCGCGCAGGGCTTTGCCAGCAGCGGGTGGGTGTGCGGCGAGGGCGCCATGGACGTGTGGTGTGGCGTTGTTGTTGTTGTTGTTGTGAGTGTGGTGGATGTGCTGGATGTGGGGGAGGGGGTGCCCCGTGGGCGGTGCCGGTTGAAGAGGCGCTTGAGGAAGGATTTGTCGGGGGGTGCGGTGGAGGCGAGGGATGTGGTGGAGGCGGAGAAGGCGCTGCGCGGGTGGACGTAGACTACGCCGGTGACCATTGTGGTCTTGGGGGTGGTGGGTGATATTGGAGTAATGATTGTGGGTTGGAGATTGGTAGGAATGGCAATTGATATAGCAGTAGTAGCAGCAGCAGTAGTAGTTCAGGGTCAACAAATAACAGCCGTAATATATGGTAGTCAGTCCAGTCCAGTCTACACCCCTAGCTAGGCCTATAGATATAGATAATAAAAAATAATCCACTCGCTCGTATTCCCGTCCGTCTGTCCAACAACCCAACAGCTAGGCGTGTCGAGGTGTGCAGATAGGTAGGTATATGTTCGAGTACTGTGTGTGGTGTGTATGGTGTGTGTGTGTGTGAGTGTGTGCAGCCTGGCCGAGTGAGTGTGTGTGGGCAGACTGGACATCTAAGTATTAATTATAATCATCCATCCCCCAATCCCCCAATCCCCCAATCCCCCCATCCCCCCATCCCCAATCCCATCCGTCCCCCTTTGGGGGGGGGGGGGTCTGAGCTACATCTGCCATTTCTGCTCTAACCTCACTCACCCTCACTCACCCTCACTCACCCTCACCCACCCTCACACCCACCCCTTCTCACCGCCCACCCACACACAGCGAAAGAGGGAGAAAAAAAAAAAAACCTTGAAACTGGCGCACGGATGCTTCCCGGTACCCTGGATGCTTTCTCCCTAGCCTCTCTTCCACTCTCTCCCTCATCTGTAGCGTAGGCAGGAAGGAAAAAAGGCCAGGGCCAAAAAAGAAACCTTGCGGGATACCCGTCTTGCTGCCTGCTTGGACGCCTGCCTGCCTGCCTGGATGGATGGATGGATGGCAGGGTAAAACGTTTCTGTTTCCCTTTGTCTGTCTGTCTGGCTCTGTCTGTCTGGCTCTGTCTCTGTCTGGGACCTAAACTACACTTCACTACTACTACACTACTACACTACATTTCCAAACACCCCTCTGTCCCGTAAAAAAACTCTTCATATCTATCTGGCCATGGAATAACTACATGTAACCACTCTAACGCCGGCAGTGCAGTGCAGTGCAGTGCACTACCACCCCTTTGTCCTTGTCATACCCACACACTCCATGTCCATACTCTACTCTACACTCCCGGAGCAGTGGGATTGGGAGATCGACAGGAGCATGTACTCTGCACTGGGTATATTCCTACATACCATAATCGAGCATGTCATTGCACCAACCAGAGAGGCCAGGAGCGAGGGCGGGCAGGTCAGATGTGATATGATATGAGATGACATGCTCCGATCATGATTGATCAATTGCAGTACATCCCACGTAGAGTATGTAGGTACATCCCACATCACAATTGCATCACTCACGAACTCGGGATTGCCAATTGGATGTGCAGGTACCGAACTGTAAAAGAAAAACTTGGATTTAGCCCTGTACTCTACCGGCTCCCGATCTACACCGTACAAGGTACCAGACGGGTTGGGCCCCGGGGGGGGGGTCTCGCTAAATGCTACAAGTAAATAAACGGGGGGGTACTAGATGTAGGTACCTTTAGATTTGTGTGTAGGTAGGTAGGTATATTGGGGGCCGAAAACATGGTCAAGTTTGAGAAATCCAAATCCACAGGTACATATCGTACGTGGACGGTGAACGCCCTTCCCCCCCTCCCCCAAAACCTAATCACAACCGGGACCAGCACTCGACTTGGACACCGTTAGCTATGTACCATGGCAGCCAAGACCCACGACAGAAGAGAAAAAGCCCCGATTCTCCGTTTTGTGCTGTAACGGGAGCAGACAGCAGCGCAGCCAGTGGGCAGCGAAAAGGAAAGAAAAAAAACAAGAGGGGACGTGCACCTGCACCAAAAAAGGTACAGACAGGGGGAGGGGTTCATGCGGGCACAGGCCACTTCACCTACATGTAGTTTTGTAGCTAGCTAGATTCGCTAGCTAAGCTGTAAATACATGTATCTACATAGCTAGTGGTCAGAACGGATGTCAAGACGGGCATCGTGGGCTGCGGATGTGAGTGGGTTTCGATCTTGTAGATACATGTAGGTAGCTATCGAGGGGAGTGATAGATGCCATTGTATAGATACACGGTACCTTAATTGATGGGTACTATCATGGTATCTTCCGTTCTATAGGTACAGGTTACAGGTTGCAGAGGGAACAGCCATCCAATCCCCCTCCAAGTCATGTGTGCAAGCCAGACCAGCCGTCTCGATCCCTCATAATTCTCGGTTCCTCAATTCTTCTCGCTTGCCAGCTTGCCATCGCCATACCCAAGTACCGATTGGATCCCGACCGAACGTACGCGAGGCGGGAGTCGTGAAGGAAATGGTGTTGGGTCGTCTATTGTCCACTCACCTAGTAGTACATGTACCTATAGCTACCAGGAACTACTCTAATGTACTCTGCAGGCAAGGTCACCACCCCTCCTGCCTATGGTGGATGGTGGACATTCGGAACCCACCCACCCCCAACCCACAGCACTTCTCATGCACGAGAAACCGGTAGCGAAAGGCACAAAAATGACTCCTTTGCATGGGAGGTTGTCGATCGTTGCATGTCTTCTGTCTCTCCTGCCTGTCTATCGATCCTGTCTGGCTGGCTAGCTAGCTGTTCTGTCTTTCTCAACACTCACGCTCATCCATCCACCCAGTGCGCCGTTTCATACCGACATGACATGATGCTATGCTATGCTATGCTATGCTCCTCCACCCCCTTTGCTCGCTACAAATGCTTTCTTCCCCCTAAGCTACTCTACCTCGCCGACTACCCTCCTCTACCACGTCCGCGGGCTATCGCTGCAGGTAGAGTAGGAAAGAAAAAAAATGTCCCGTTCTTGCTGGGTAGGGGTGCCCGCTGTCTGTACTGCATGCATGCATGCATGGTAAGGAGAGGAGAGAGAGATCGGGAGAGAGCCTCCCACGCCCGGGCCGATGGGGGTGGGTATGTTTTCTATTTCTGGTTTTATTTTTTATAATTTTTTTTTTCCCCTCTCTTTTACTACTCTACTGTTCTGCATACCCTGCCATGCTCCTGTCATGCTCCGGAATGTGATAGGAGTGGACTGGACTGGATATGGTAGCGAGAAATTGTGGTCATGAGATATAGAGTAGATTGCCATGGGGGGGGGGGAGTACCTAGGGGAAGGGGTGGCGGAGAGGAGAGGAGAGGGTGATAGTAATCATTCTCTAGATGACCTTCTCCTCCGCGTTTTAGCCAATGGTGAGGCAATGGCTCCGATATTCCTTCTCGCAAAACCACACGTGCACGTGGATGGTGATGGTAGATTACTCGTAGAGCAGAGTTGCAATTGCAAGTGATATTGATGTTGGATGGAGGTACAATACGGAATCATCCATGGCATTCCAGGGGACGGAGGGTGGGTGGGCGTAAATAGTAGCTACAATTAATTACTTTGATGGAGATATGGACAGATGGGTATATTATTTTGACATGGGGGGTGGTTTTGAGCGGCTCTACTCTACTGATGTGATATGGATATGAGTATGATAGTAATCCTGATCTGAGCCTCAATTGAGCATCATGATCGGAGTCCGGGAACACTTATTTCGGCCTCTGCTCTTGCTTTGAGTACTACCGGCCTAGCTTAGCTACCTTCTCCAACTGTCTATCAAGTATATATACCCGTGGGGGAGCATCGATAGATCTCGCAATCCGCACGATTATCACTACATCCAAATCTCACTACATACATACATGCCTCATATCTAAAGTAAAAGTACCGTGCTATCGATACCATATCGTATCGGCGCCCGGCGCGGGGGGGGGGGGGATCATCCAATTACCAGCTAGAGCTGATCATGAGCTCCCCTCCGTGGGATCCAAAACCCAAACCAAAACTCTCCCCACGCGGCCCCCCCCCCCCCCCCCCGTCTGTTTCTTTATCTCGCCCGGCCGTACCGTACCGTACGTGCGTGCGTGTTCTCCGCGGGAATCATTGGCTGCGGAGCCCTACGGGGAGGGGAGCCGTGCCCATGTGTAGGGTAGAGTAGAGTCATGATATCGATAGGTTAGCATGGAAAGTAGAGTAGGCAGCTAGCTGGTAGGCAGAAAGAAATGCACAGGCCACGAAACGGACGGGGTGTTTCAAACACTCCGGATCCCCCCACTTGCAATTGGGGGCACTTGCAATTGGGGGGGAGGGGAAACATACCCTCCGCGTGAGCATAGGCGTCGGCGTGGGATTCGATAGTGGCCAGTAGCTAGCACTAGTTGGAGGTCTAGCTGTCAGTCACGTCAGGGTTCAAGCTTACATTCCTTGCCTTACCTTGCCTACCATACCTCCTGCCCCATGCTGCCCCGTGCCTACACTACACGACACCACCCAGCTCGCTCGCTCGCTACGTATCAATGATCATTGGCACCGGATGTACGTGCATGTATGTAAGCGACTCTACGTAAGTTTGGGGTGGCGGTATCTAGCCAGCCTTACGAGATGGATCGGCGCCGGCGCCGGCAAGATAGATGTGATATATACAATTGCCGTGCAGAGATACTAGAGGCCAAGCTATAGTAGCAGGCAAGAAAAGTGCCGGATGCGCCGGCGCCGGATCGATCTGGATATGTATGTAGATACAGTACATGCCGGAAGCACTGTGATAGCTGTACTCTGCGATACTTGGTACATACCTCTTGCTGGGCTGCCGTGGTGTGGTGACACCCTGGCGGAGCGAGGACGGAGGGGATGTGTAGAGGTAGGACAATGGACGGAATTAAGGGTGGGTGTGGGTGCTTGGGAGTTCGGTATGCCGTGAAGTGAGTCTGTTCCTATGTCTATCTACTCTACGTACAGATTCTATTTTCATCTGCCTGGTGTCTCCCACCACCACACCGCCCACCACAGCAACACGTCGTTGAATCCGTCCGCACCCAAACCGCCGGTTCCACCATCCGGCGCTTGGCGCACAATTGCGGCAAGCACACGACACCACTCTCTTCTCTAGCCGACCGTTTATGTCGGCACCTCACTCGCTTCACCTCACCTCACCTCACCTCACCTCACCTAACTTTACCTCACCCTCTTCCCCGCC